GAGCAAGCCTCTTCATCTCTCCGCGGCCCATTTCTTGCCTCCAGGTTGTCCAACCGGCCAGCTCTCCAACAACCACCTCCTGAGAATATCTCAGTTCTCGGCCTAATTTCTCAATCTCCAATCCTCTCTCCAAGATCTTCTTCTCCGTATCTTTAACAACCTTTATACGTGATTCCTCCGTGCCCGGAAAAGGCAGATTGAGATTCTTTAAGACTCCTTTTCTAGGAGTCGAGTTATTCGCCAAGTTTGACTTATCCTTCTCCATCGCTCTTTGGGCGGCCGTGATCCGGTCAATCAATGCGCTCGGCTTCAGTAGTGCGGATTGCACAGCCGCAACTGTCGATTGAAACGAGGACAAACTGCAAATGTAGTTCTGCAGAGGAGAACTCGCCGGCTCGGAATGCATCAAAGCCGCAAATTTCAAAAAAGCGTCGACGTGCATCTTCGAAAGTGTCGCTGCAGGTGTTCCCATCGTTGCAAATGCCACCGAACATAAGCTCAACGCCTCTGCAAAATCCGCCTGTGCTTGAACATAAGCATGACCCTTCCGGATGGACGATCTGGTGCAGATATTGATTTTCCGTACAATGTCTCTCGAATGCGAAACCAGACCGTCCACAGCAATCATGTCTGCCCGAGATATGAGAGGGTCATATTCGTCGTTAATCTTTTCTTGTATCAGTTCTGCCTTCAGGCGGGCACGATCCGCTGTCTGTTCTTGCTGCATATCTGGGACGAGGAAGAATTCCCAGAGCATTTCGTGCGTGGAGAAAGTAGGATGTTTCAATAGAATTTTCAGGAACCGGTCGAGATTGGTTTGTATATCATACAACGCGGCACGGGATGGTCGGGAGTGTAGCTGGAATGGATTGCGGAAGTTCGAGGCTAGCACCGTCGGCATGTATGACGCTGGAAAATCCATCAAGAGCCATTTTGCCAGGTTTTCGAAGTCTTGTAAGGAGCGCCGGCTTGTGGTGATGGTATAGGTTGTGCTTGAGACCGCAGGGTTTGGAGCCCCCGACTTGAGAATAAATCTTGTTGAACCATCCTCGACGAAGAATGACCGGACAATTGCTGTTATTCTTCCCGTGGCATCGGCTGTATTGGAAGGCGAGAACAAGGTCAAGTCGTCAATCCGATTCCGCACCTCGTCATCTTTTGCCAGCTCCACAGCAGTCAGCCCGCGAGACTCTCGTAGATGCAAATCTATTCTTGGGTCGCTCAGGAAAATCCGAACCATGTCTACTCTCCCATATTTGCTTGCCAGCATCAAGGGGGTAAATTTCTTGTCGTTCATGGCATTCAGATCGACTTCGCAAGTTTGTAGGATCCGTTGCAGGATGGCAGCATCATTGACGATATGCAGCAAGGAGTTGCCCTTGTTGTCTATGTGGTCTTCCACACGGAGTGGACCCCCTTCGTGTTGAGCTTCCTTTGCAGCGGTCAGGGCTTCGGAAACCATGCTGCTATAGTCAGGGTGGTCATAAGTCCGGCAAATCGCGAACAAAGGGGTATGGCCGATTCTATCCTTTTGCCGCCACGGAAGGACATTTGCGAGTCTCTTGATCAGCTGAGGAGTATTGAACAGGTAGTGTGCCACACTCCGTCCTCGAGAGTCCTTTACAGATAGATATTCGCGGAATACTTGCTCGTCGGCGTGTTGTTCGGCATAGCCGAGGATGATATCAACCAAATCCATGTTGGCCAACTGTACCGCGGCGCTCAGTAATGTTGCCCCTTCCTGTGTTACATCTGACAACACTGCTTCAGTGCTGTAATATTCTGTAAGACTCAATAGGTATCGAAGGCATTCTGATCGCTGGTTTTCGACTGCCATCATCAGGACCGTATTTCCCGCAGCATCTTGTGTTTGAGCCAGACTCTGCACAGACGTGTCGCCCTCAATCCCGCTCAGCGATGTCTCAATTGTTGCGGCCCGAGAGGAATGTGAATACGCTGATGAGACTGACATGCTCCTAGCTGCCATTTGCACCTTCTTCTTCTGCTTGGGTAGCAAATTCTTTCTCTCTGCTGCTTGAAAAGGAAATACGTGTGACAGGCCACCCTCACTCGACGAAGTTCGCGACAACGTCACTCTCGGACATGATTCGGACGATTTGGCTGATGATGTTGTTGCTCTGGACAATGGGATCTCTGCAGGTTCATCGACGAGGCCGTCTGATAGGATAGCCGACTCTTCAAATATTGATTTGACTTCATCGATGTTTCCGGTTTTTACGGCTTTCCATAGCCATTGATTTTGCTTTGATGCCTTTCGCAAACCAACAGCATCTCTTGCGAGATATGTTAAGACAGCCTCCAACGTACTCAGAGAATATCCGATTTCACCACTTTCGACGTCGTCAATATAAATGAAGCGTTGCATGTATGACAATCTTGCCTGAAGATGCCTGACGGAGGCGCGGACAACCACCAGGAGGAGCATGGACACCAGAATATCTGCATTTATTGTCATTGCAGCCACTGCCCTTTTTTCTTCGTCCGAAATGCCTTGTGGCTCCGACACCACTTTCTGGGTCTCGAGAAGGATGTCGAGCATTTCTTGAGGACTCCCGGCAACGCCCATCCTCCGGAACACGGCGACACCACGGTTGACCCGGTTGATGAGGTCTCTTTTGCCCTTTCTGCCGTCTTCGAGCACTATGCCAACCTGAGAGACGTCTAAACAATCCATCTGTCGTATCCGCCTATCAAGTTCCTGATCTTGCGCCTTATGAAATGAACATAGGCGAGGAAATAATAGAGTAGGATGGACATATTCTGCCACGTAGCGCTCGATCAATTTCTCCACGTCGGGACCAGTCAGATCGGTCGTGGCACCCAAGTAGGAAAGCTGCTGCTTGTCGACGCCTTGGAACAAATCGATCGCAGCTGTGACGGCAGTCTCCAGAGCTGTTCGCATAAGATCTTCTTCATCCTCGAAATAGGCGGGAGAATTGAACGGCAACTTAACAGACCCGTTCGATCTGACAGACCCGGTTTCCGAAGCTTGAGTCGTCCCATCTAAAGTACTGGGTGTTGGACTGCGCGAGGGTGGCGGTGGGAGAGGCTTTCCTAACTCCTTGCTGAACTCGTTAAACAATCTTTCAAGTCCGGGTTGCATCTGTCGCTGTATCATAGGAAAGTTTTCCAATAGTTGTCCAAAGGTCTTGATGTCTTTCTTTTTCGGTGTGGGGGGCTCAGATGATGAGGACGAGGAGCCAGGTATTGCGTGGTTGATTCTGGTCTCTCCGATGATGGCCGGTTTGATGGGCAACGCCTCGAACAGCCCAGTCAGAGGTTTCGATATGTAGTAGACAAGCCATTGTTGCATGTCATTTCCTGGCGAATAGTACAGCAAGTCGCTCAAAAGAGTCGCCTGATTCAGATGTTTGAATCCCTTGTTACTATACACGGTGTTCTCCTTCAGAATCACCGTGCGCCCATTAACGGTTGAATAGTTTTTTGCCTTGCCACGACTGTCACGGACATTCCCATCTTTCTCCGCCGTCGCAGGGATGATTCGGAGGATGTGGCTCCCAAGGAAATCTTCGTCTTCGACATGGTCGGCGTACCTCTTGTTGGTTTCGCGATCCTGGCCGTAAAAGAGGGATTCGGTCGTAGGGACGAGAAGGACGTAGTTCTGGGCGGGGAGCGCATGACCTAGCACACTACTCTGAAAGAGCGCGCGCAGGAAAGGGTTCAGGACGGGCATCCAGGCACGATGGGCCTAAAGATAGCAGTGCGAATCATCGAATCATCGAGCCGCTCGTTATGCGCATGGAGGTTGAAATGGGCTGTCAGCAGAGGCTGACGGGTATTAACATGTGGGAAAGTGGCTTGTTAAAAGGCGTCAACAACAGCGTCTAAGTTATATCTAGCGGTTATCTTTGAGGAGTGTAGACAGCAAAGTGAGAAATGGAAGAGCAGTTGAAATGCCACATGCCTCGTTTGTCAGCCCTGTTAAGGTGTCAAGAGCCCTGCCCGCTGCAAGCCAGTCTGGGTCGGAGTCTAGCACCGAGAGCCTGCGTGCCTGGCCTTCGCCTCACCAGCCCCAATAATTAATTCTTTCTTCCCCGGACTGCGGATCTCGTCTGAGCCTCACTAGCCTTGGCACTCGCTCCGGTAGTGATCAAAAGACGATAGACTTTGATTTCATTGCCTCTCACAAGGGCCCCCGGAGATATCGGAGCTCAATACTTAGCGCCTAAAACGCCTAGCGAGACCAGAAATATAGGTTAAGCGGCCGCCTATTAGATCTGACTTATAGCTAAGAGATAGGTAAGAGTGCCTACAAGCTCAGAAAATCTCCTTTCATAGTAAGTAATATTTGTCATTTGAATTAGCGCAAACAGTCCTTTTTGTGCGCGCCCTCGTAAGAGTTCAGACGCAATGCTCGCTTCGCATGCAGAGAGCCACCTTTGGACAACACCGCGTCTGGTGGCAGGCACTTCTACGCACCACAAGTCCACGCTGTGAAGGTCGCGAGCAGGAAGGGACTGGAAAAGATGGACAAGCGTCTCCACTCGCTATCACTGGCCAGGCACAGGAGATTTATAGGTTGCTGTTGTGTTGATTCAAGCTGGCTTCTTCTATCAAGATCTTCATATCTGAACATGGTAATCCGGGAGGCCGACCACCGATTCCGAGGCCCATCAGAATTGGTATTGATTCATTCGGTCCATCGAAGCGACAACCTTGACTCAATATGAAATGGAGGAACCCGGGTCTGCCAGCTCTAGGTCTAGTGGAAACCTATCCCGGACAAGAAACCGATTATAGTTCCCCATTTGACCCGATAGCAATGCAGGATGAGGATCTTGTTCCGCTTAGCCTGCTTCCAGCTCTGTATTTGTTGTGCGACTCGCACTTCTCAGCTGCGAACCCTAAAGAAGTTGTTCTAGGTTAGATGCAAGGACTTGGAACCGCGATTATACAGACGATGGGCTTCATTTCCGAGATCATGTTCTCCATTACGGCACCAGAGCAAACGTCCAAACATGGGCAAAACGATGGCCGAAGACGAGCCTCCAGCTCTGAAATATCACCATCAACGTCGTAAGTCGTTCTCTGCCCTAGCAGTTCATTGCGAGGCAGATTTCTTAGCTTCTGTCCGGCATGCCTGTGTCCTCAAGTTCTGGCATTTTGATGGTATATGCACGACGCGCTTTCATCTCCATGCTGTTTTGTTCGGCCTTGACGACAAAACGATGCGACCGCGACCGCGATCGTCTGAAGATGAGGACAGCGCAGACAATAGAAAAGATGATGAGGAAAACGGACAGCTCCGACTCCAGTTATTGCGCCCGGAGGGAGCTTACGCTGGATCCAGAACGGAAGAGCCAGTACGAGTGGATAAACCCGGATTCGTGGTTGTGGATGTACTAATGATTGCGCTCGAGCTGTCACCGGTGGTCGTCAGTTTGAAGGATCGGGATAGAACTATCTGTCCTGATGTGGGTGCCTGGTTTTGGGCTAAATTCACTCGCAATGGACATCGCAACCGAGGGAAGGGAGCTCGAATCGAGCAACTGCGCAGTGACAGTGACCTCAGCGAAGGCCGCAACCTTCGTAGACGGAGCGATACCCGACGAAAGCAGACGGAACAATCAGCCGGTGTGCTGGAGACAATGGAGAAGAAAGAAGAGAAGTGGTTAAACGGCAACCAGGCTGAGGAACAACTTATCGACTTGGGCCGAAGAAGAGCCCCCACCAGCAGATGGGTGGCAGATTTAGTGGATAGATGATATGTCAACAAGCGCCTCCAAGCACCGATCCATACCCGGAAGCAGCAAAGTGTGTCTGGGATGGCTTGGTGAACGAGCATCTCGTCCGGAGGTACGCGGTACTCATACATACGAGTATGAACTCGTATTCGTACTCGTATGCACCATATGTCGCACTATAGCAAGCCACAGAGTGCACGGGAGCGCCATCTGCACAAGAACGGAGCCAATGTCACCTAATAAACCGTGCCAGCCGTGGTCGCAGGAGACTGTCTTGTGGAGAATGGACATTGCATTGATAGCGCCAAGCGATGCTTTTGGGTATATATAAGCTTGGCCTGTTCGTCATTATTGGGCAAATGCTATTTATTATACGGAATATTTGTATATAGATCCAGTAAGGCCACCACATCTGTAGCCTCTGCACCTCCGTCCTGCCCACAGCTCCCTTGCGACCTTGAGACGATTCCTCCAGAGTACCAGCCCCAGCACCATGAACGACGGCTTTGTCAAGACTTGGCCACGAAGGCTCCTGCAGCTCGAAGGCGCTTGTATATTCGGTTCCACCATCTGGGCCTATTCACGTTCCGGACAGTCTTGGTGGACTTTTGCCGCCCTCCTGTTGACCCCTGATCTGGGCATGGCTGGATATCTCGCCAACACCTCAGCCGGCGCTGTCTTGTACAACACCTTCCACACGGAAACGCCTCCTATACTTCTTCTCTGCTTTGGACTGGCACGAGACAACAAGACCATCACTGGACTGGCTTTGAGCTGGCTCGCGCACATCGGCATGGACCGTATGCTGGGCTATGGGCTGAAGTACGGAACCAGCTTCAGTCACACACACTTGGGAGACCTGGGCTTCTCACGCAAGACGGAAGAGAAGAAGCAATAGTGTGCTTATCCTCTGAGGCGCCAGCCGTGTTGCAATCAATCCAACAGCGGTCTGTGTGAAGAGGCACCCAGCCCTTGGGTCATATTAGCTGGGCAAGGGCTATTTTCATGCGATATGGCAAGACACTGGGCAGTCAAGGCGGCTAGAGGACGAGTACGGACACCGATATGAAGACATCTGGGATGCGCTCTTCTCCTGAACCAAAGCAGAATTGGGGTACTTGCTTTGTACATGTCACTCTCGAATAGTTCTACAGCAGTTGACAGGGACAACGGGTAACATAGTTGACTTGCATAAAACCACCCTGTCTGGCATCGTACTGCTCCTCAATGTTTATGCTTCTTCATACAACTCGTATAGTCGGCACTGCGCTTCGTAGAGTAAATGATCCGCCGGAAATTTTCGAGACTAAGCGAGGCTCAAATCCGGGGAGGCGACGAGACAAAAACTCGTGAAAATGCGCCCACTGAAACATCCCACATTTTGAACACATTCTGAATTCGCCGCCTTCTTGAGCGGCATGGCTCGAGCAGGTCGACGTCGTCAAACTTTAGGCCAGGGATTGGACAGAGAGGTATGCTGGGGCTGTCCCTCCATTTTCACACGCCGAAATTTTGTGCTCACCACAGTGTTGGCAGGTTTATCAAGTTGTCCGCAGAATCATCGATGATCGCGCGCAGTACGGAGACGCTCAGAGTACGTCCTTGTCCTTCGCCGTCGTGTACGACGAGATCCGAGCGTCCAATTCAAGCCTGAACCGGAGACCGAAAAAATTGCTCGAGGACAGTATCCAGCGAGTGCTCAAAACCATCCAGCAGGATCAAGAATCTGGTTCCGAAGACTTTGTGGCTGTTGAAGAGGAAGAGCCGCGGCAGACACACAAACCTTTGTCAAATAAATTAAACAAGAGCATCGTCAGTGCCTGGTCAACCTCAACTGTGCCAGTTGCCCCTACGACGAAGCCAGCATCGACTCCCACTATGGAATCCCCTCAACTCGCCACTGCGCAACGCCTCACGAATGGCGAACCCCGCCCTAAGAAGCGTCGAGCTGCCAATGTGTCAGTCGACAGATCACCACCGACGCACGTCTCGTTGGAGTCCTTGGGCGGTGTGACCCCGGTGATTCAAGAATTGAGACGGTTGCTCGTTATCCCCATGAGCAAACCAGAGATTTATGCCTCTAACAAGGTGCAACCACCTCGCGGCATCCTCTTGCACGGACCTCCAGGTTGTGGTAAGACGATGATAGCCAACGCATTAGCCGCAGAGCTCGGGGTGAATTTCATCTCCGTTTCGGCCACCAGCATCGTGTCTGGCATGTCGGGTGAAAGTGAGAAAGCTCTGAGAGACCTCTTCGAGGAAGCAAAGAGTTGTGCCCCTTGCTTACTATTCATTGATGAAATCGATGCCATTGCTCAAAAACGAGAGACCGCGCAGCGGGAGATGGAGAAACGAATTGTCGCGCAGCTGTCCGTATGCATGGACGATCTGACGCTGGAGAAGACGGATGGCAAACCAGTGATCGTCCTGGCCGCGACGAACCGATTGGATACGCTCGACGCAGCTCTGCGAAGGGGAGGCCGCTTCGACAAAGAGATCAATATGAGAGTACCCACCGAGCCTGACCGCGCAAGAATTCTCGAGGCTTTGACCAAGGGCATGAAGATGGCCGATAACGTTGACCTAGACGTCCTTGCCAAACGCACACCGGGATTTGTCGGCGCGGACTTGAATGACCTTGTACTGACAGCTTCGGCGACGGCCATGGAGCGCTATCTAGACGTCCTCCAGGCAAATTCTGACAAGTACATCATGGACGTGGACGGCGACGGTGACGGTGACAATCACCTCGACAAGCATCCCGATGCAGAGAGCATCAAATCCCTCCGCCGACTTGTCAAGTATATCAAAGGTCAATCGTCATCGTCCGGGGCCGAAGAAACCCTCCTCGTCACTTTTGAGGACTTCCTGACCGCACTCCCGAAGATCCAGCCCTCTGCCTTGAGAGAAGGGTTCGCCACGATCCCCTCGACGACATTCTCGTCCATCGGCGCCCTGGACGACCACATCAGGGAGCTGAACGAGACGGTGATTTCACCCATCCTCGACCCGGCCGTCTACACCAACCTAGGCCTGCCCGCCTGGTCGGGCACCCTCCTCTGGGGCCCGCCGGGCTGCGGGAAAACGCTGCTGGCCAAGGCCTGCGCCAACGCCAGCCACGCCAACTTCATCAGCGTCAAGGGCCCCGAGCTCCTTAACAAGTACCTCGGCGAGTCGGAACGGGCCGTGCGCCAGGTCTTCACGCGCGCGCGCTCGAGCGTCCCCGTCATCGTCTTCTTCGACGAACTCGACGCCCTGGTCCCCACGCGCGACGGCGGCGTGGGCGGCGGCTCCGAGGCCTCGGCCCGCGTCGTCAACACCTTGCTCGCCGAACTCGACGGCGTCGGCCACTCCCGCGAGGGCATCTACTTCATCGCAGCCACGAACCGGCCCGACATCATCGACCCGGCCATGCTCCGACCAGGGAGATTGGACATGTTCTTGTACGTGGGCCTTCCTGACGCCGAGGGACGGGTGGAGATCCTGAGGACCCTGTGCAAGAAGGTCAACGGCTTGGTGTTTGACGAATCATTGGCAACTATCGCCAGAGAATGTGACGGGTTCAGCGGTGCAGACCTGGAGTCCTTGTTGAGAAGGGCTGGCTTGGCCGCCGTGCGCCGTATCAAATCCTCGGGCGGCCCTAACACTATAATCACAGAGGACTTCCTGCATGCGAAAACCGAAGTGAGACGGAGTGTTGGCGTAGAGGACATAAGAAGATTTGAAGCTCTCCGTAAAAACTGGCGCAAATAGATTGGTGGACGCTTTTGCGGCAATTATAGATAGACGAACATTCGCGGCAGCGAACCTCTCTGAAGGCATGATGATTATTATCATTACGGTGGACAAACAATGATAGGTCAGTGCTTGCTCTATGGGAGCCTCGTGTGTTGTGCTTAAGCCATGTCGGACAACCATTTCCCAAGACAATCGAGGTATGCCAACGAACATCCACTGCGGACGGGATTGCCACTGAACAACGAACGGATAGCCTCGTAAAGCCATGCAGATCCAAAGCTATAAGAACCCTATTCCAACACGGCTTGCAAAGTCCCCACCAAACTCAGAAAATTGGCAAACGGAAGGTGTCACTACTGCGTCTCCCACTTTCTGTCGAACTTCGACGACTTCCAGAATCCGAGTGTGGCCGTTTCTTCAGCTTCTTAGGCTTCTTCCTCATGTCCAAGTCCTCATGTCGAGTTCCAAAATCCTTGACCTTTGGTCCCTTCTCCAGTGTGCCGGCAGGTAGTACTTCAAATCCATCATTGATTTTCCGTGATCGAGTATTCGCAATCGAGAGCGAATCCGTGGGTGACGTCGTTGCTGTCGCAGATGTCGAACTTCTAGAAGAGCTCGGAGTATGCCGAGACGTGTTGGATGCAGTTTCACTGGTTTTCGCGGAAGGGGGGATTTTTGCGTCGACTCTGGCCTGGGTCTTATCCGTCCATGCCGAAGGAGGGGGTTTTGCGGTGGGCAAGGCATCGACGAACGCGCGGAAGGGCACCGGCCTCGGTCCTTCCATCCGTTTTGCTCTGCGAGAAAACTGCTTGCCGAGATTCATACTGCCGTTTCGAGCCGGCCATGATAGAGTACGGGACGCTGAGTCATCACTGTCCTCGCTATCTGAAAGAGACGAGGCCAACGCGGGCGTCAGAGCCATGTCAGTATGCCTGCGGTTCCTGGGGAGGAGTTGTCCACTTTCGGCAGCGTGGAAGCGCCTATGAGCTTCCATGCGCTCAAGAGGGTTGAGATCAGACCGAACTTCAGGCCTCTGGTGTCCCTGAATGTTTCTCTGCCTGTTACCAATGACAAACTTACGAGTTCCTGATGACGGCAGGTTGGTAACGGGACGAAGCTGCAATTTGGAGGATAGAGGACTCGCTTCGTCCTTTGTCATGGAAGAAACACCATCTGTGTAACCATCATCAGTAAAGTCCGCGTTGAGGACAAACTCGGAAATTGCCAGACCTGGCACGACGTCGGCAGCTTCCGCGTGGAGACATGGGCCATTGTAGCTTATGACAATAGTCTTTCCTTTCTTCGAAGAGGAAGATTCAGCAGACGTATCGGCAACTGCTGTGGTGTCCGTGAGCGGTGTAAGGACTGTTGAGCGTCAGTGAAAGGTAGCGGCAATTGTGACTTCTCTCACCATCCGGTGGCGTCAGTCCTAAACCCGTGGAATCGGATATCGAGGTGGAAGAGATCGACGAATATCGAATAGGTTTGATTGCCACCTGCGAGGAAGAGGGGGCCCTGGCTGGATCGAAATGTAAAGAAGTTGCCGTTTGAGCGTTCCACACACCTTCGACCTCCGGATCTTCGATCAACGCGCGGATGCCAAAAGGTATATCTTCGTCCAAGCAGTTGACCAATGTCATGTCCCCTCGTTCGGCCTGTTCTTCTAGTGCTCTTCTTTCCAGAGATCTGTCCCGTGCCCAATTTCTCAACTTGACAACGAAGGCGGTAGTAAGGATGATCGTCTAAAGAAGTCAGCAGGATTTCAAACGGACCCGAGGTTACGCACAAGCAAACCACCTAAGATCTGGCACAAGAGTCAGCCAAGTCCCTCGATATGTCGCATGTTCGTTCTTACAAGGGCTAATCGGGCCCACATTGGCCACTCCAAGAAGAAAACAGCGCCCTCCGGAACGGGGTCGAGCATGTTGCCGGAGAACGGTATGGTAGGAATGCTAAAGGCGAGGAAGGATGAAAAGGAAGAACCCCATTTCCGAAGAGCAATGGAGACCAGCACCAATGAAATGATAGAGCAGTTTGCGATGTGGTCAACCGAACTGCTAATGATGGCTTGAAGGAAAACTCGAGGGAGGGGGAATGTAACTGTTAACGTGCCAGGTGCTTTCGACTTTGTGATCGCGGTGGTAGTTGTGACGCAGGAAGTCAGCAGCACTTGCTCCAGCCGTGCACGAAACCGAGCAGCGGCCATCTGCGATGTGCAGTTTCCACTAGTAACATTGAAGGAGAGAGAAGAAAAAGGGTAACGGTGCAATCGACCAGATATTGAAAAGTTCGCTGACCGTCTTTCGACAGACGAAGACCTGGACTCTGTGTGGCGCGAAAGAATTGGACAGATCAAACTCACCATCCCTCTACCCACCAGTATGAACATGCATTCGTCCGCCTTGGTCATGCAATGGTCTGATTGTATTCACACGCCCATTTGTGAAGACCCTACTCCTGTGAAGTTGTGACCGCATCACACGCATGAAGCGCTCGTCTTGCATGCTTGCCACAGCTTTCCCTTCCCATAGTCACCAAGAAACAGATCGCATGAAGACATCGCGGCGACACGGCAACGCGAGGTATAGAGGAGTACTGGGGACGGCAATCTGCACAATGGCGTGCATGTCGAGACGCAGGTACCCTGCTGTGATACAGTATCGACCAGGAGACCAGAGAGCCACAGAGCAAATGATGAAGGGGGAACAGAAATGAGGCTAAGGCTCACTAGGCTGATACGGCTTGCCGAGGGGCGATCAGATAATAGTCGTCATGCCGTCATCCGAACTTGGGCATTTCTCCAAGTTTTCAAGGTAGAGATTTGTTCATCGACGTCATACGATTCGCTGAGGAATGGCAAAGGGTGGAGGAGGATCCCTTCATCGACATCGTTGTACGTAGACGTTGATGCCGGGTGCTCTGGGTAGTACCTAAATGGTAAACAGTTGCTGAGATGAATCATCAAAGTTATGCTTGGCTTGACCCAGTTCGATCTCAGTAAGAAAGAAATCATTGTCATTGATGAGAAAATTTTTGCTCCCTCTGTTGTACCTGCATGCAAAGCATAAGACCCAATACTGCTTCAAGGATGTGATGGACGAAACACAAGCTGAGATGCTATCTATGGTGTGCGATGCGACAAGCCTATGCAGGGTGGATGACAGGAGTTGACAAAGCTGCCAGGTGCATTGCCCATTGGGTGCGGGGGATGCCCATTGGATTGAGGGCCTACGCAAGGAGGGGGGCCCTTACTCCGGTTAATGATCGGCGCCAAACGATGCCCAATGACCCTTGAGCAATGCCCAGCTACAGTGGCGTAACTTTGCCTACAGGACCCTACTAGATGCCTTCAGGGCCCATGGAAGGCAAGAAAACCTTCCCGGCTTTCCGGCACCTTTCCGTACTGCCCAGGTGCTGGCCGTGGTGTTACCGTTACTGTTTTGTTGCCCGTCTTCGGACCCGGTTGTTGGCTCTTGGGGTCAGCATTTCTTCAAACACTGCCCGCGGCACTACCCACAACAATACTACCGGCACTCGTGACAATGATCTCTTTTGTACGCACCTCTTCCTCTCATACATCTTGTCTCCCGACATTTTCTCTGTGATAACATAAAGCATTCCATCCCCTCACGTACCGATTCTTTTTCTTTGGCAGTAGACTTTTAACAACACATACACAACCCTGGTCCTTCAACATGCCTCCCTTCCGCATGCCCTTCACCTCGAAGCGCCCGACTGCGCCCATTGAGACCAACGACGAGAACATTCGTCCCAATTCCTTTGACGGCAATGTCAAGAGTCCTTACAGCAGAGACAAGCCATCATTGGCACTGGGGATCAAGGAAAAGACGGTCGAGCCCAACGAGTTCAAATTGAGTTGTATGCGACGTTCCCATCCCCCACCAGATTAAACGTTGTGCCGAAACTAACGACGAACAGCCGTTAACGACAGCGGTGAATATCTCCCGGTATGAGAGGCCAATGAGTTAAATCGCAACACAGGAGCTGACTGTGCAACAGCCTTCGCCCACCGAGAAACCATCCTTCTGGGCAAAGTCGCCGACCTCTGCAAACACCAACCATCGCCAGTGTTTCAACGATAACGAGGCGTTCACAATCTCTCGCGAATCTTTCGAGTCATACCGAAGATCCTTTGTAGGTTACAACCCTGACATAAACTTGACAACAGCCTGACTGATTTCGCAGGATATTTCTGGCCGCTCCCCAATTCTTCAAGCCGACAGCTTCACTTCGCGCACATCTCTAGACTCGCGACCGGCGACCCGCTTCCCCACGCGCTCGACACTAAGCAGCACTACGTTTGAGAGACCCTCCACTGCAGAGGCTCCGATCTTTGAGGAAGTAAAATTGAATGAGGAAGCGAGCAAGCCACAAGAGCCCAAGAAGAAGAGTTTCCTGTCCCGGTTTGGCGACTCAAACGGTGAAACCATTACCACGAATGGGACCAACAAGGAGGAAGGCAAACACCACTTCCATTTCCTCCCGGGACGGAAACGGGGTCAAAGCGGGACCGGTAATGAGCTTGGAGATATTCAGCGGCCACAGAGTAGGGGTAATGCGGAAGTAACAGTACGATAGAGGATGCGAAAAATCTTTGGTTTTTAAGGTGCTCGAATGGGGGGTTATCATTCTATGGCATGCATTACGAAGAATTGGATTCCAGGGATCAACGGTCCGACCTTTCGGAGTTTATCAGGTAGCATTCCTGCAAGAGGGTGGGTTCTATGAGTTTTACGATGACTTGCATTTGCAGGAGAATGATGCACTAAAGACAAGAAATGGGGCTGGGATTTGCGAAATCGCACGGCCTGACATTATCGAGGAGTTTCTCTTTTCGAGCTCGGAAGACTGAGTGAGATGGTGGACCTTGTGGTGAATGCCAGCAGCGCAGGGTAATAGTAATAAGAAGACAACTTCTAATCTTTGAAAACCCCGCTCGAGTCTTGTTTGTTTGTCTTTCAAAGTTCAATATGCCTTTGCATATCCATTCGCGGCCTTGTCGTCCTCACCCCAGGACTCAGCATCCACTTCCTTCTCCAGCCGGTCATACGCCGTCTTCATGAACGCGACGATCTTCCGCAACTCGTCCTCCGTCACGTTGTACGGCGGGCTGAGGATGGCATGGTCGCCCTTCTTGCCGTCGACGGTGCTCGAGCCCGGATACACGGCGACGCCCAGGTCAAAGACGGCGGACTGGAAGCGGGCGCCGAAGGAGACTCGGGGCGGGAAGGACTCGCGCGTGCTCTTGTCGCGGACGAACTCGATGCCCCAGAACAGGCCGCGGCCGCGGATGTCGCCGACGTACTTTGCCGGGGCGAACGTGTCGACGAGGAGCGGGTACAGGAACCCGTGCAGGCGGGCGACATTCTCGACGAGTCCGTCGCGGCGCAGGATCTTCTGCACGGCCAGCGCGGCGGCACAGCCGACCGGGTGGGCCTGGTAGGTGTGGCCGTGGTTGAAGCTGCTGGAGCCGGCGCGGAGGACGTCGACGACCTTCTTGTGGATGAGGACGCCCGCGACGGGGGCGTAGCCGCCGCCGAGGCCCTTGCCCACGGTGACCAGGTCCGGCACCACGTCCTCCTGCTCAAAGGCGAACAAGGTCCCCGTACGGCCCATGCCGCTCATGACCTCGTCCAGAATCAGGAGGATGCCGTACTTGTCGCAGACGCGCCTGACACCCTTGAAGTAGCCCCTAGGCGCGGGCGTGCATCCGCTGGTGGCGCCGACGAGCGGCTCAGCGACGAAGGCGACGACTTTCTCCGGCCCGATCGCGACGAAATGCGCGTCCAGCTCGTCCACTAGCCTCTGTGCGAACTCCGTCTCCGTCTCCCCCCGTTGCCAGTCCGAGTACTGGTACGTGTACGCGGGCGTGACCCAGCTGAAGTTGTCCAGCTGGAAACACGCGTACGGGACCTTGCGGGGCAGGTTGCTGCTCACGTTCATGGCCCCGACCGTGGTGCCGTGGTAGCTCTGCTTCCTGCTCACAAAGTGTGATCTGACCGGCGTCGGTGTCGTCGGCGACGTCGGGTTCTTCTGGGCCAGCTCGAAAAAGTACTGTCTCGCCAGCTTCAGCGCCGCGTCCATGGCCTCGCTCCCCGAGTTGACCAGGTACACGCGCTCGAGCCCGAAGCGGCCGGCGCCCTGGGGCCCGTCGATGAGGTGGTGCGCCAGGTCCTCGGCCGCGTCGGTCGTGTAGGTCAGCGAGTGGATGTAGCTGACGCCCGTGCTCATCTGGCGGGCGACCGCTTGTTGGACTTCCTCGTTGCCGTGGCCCAGGCACGCGACCGCGGCGCCGCCGCAGGCGTCCATGATGGTCCGCCCATCGGACAGGGTCAGATACAGCCCCTTGGCCTTGGTGACTTGATAGGGTCGTGCCTGTAACGAGCGATGGAGCAGTGCTGGCGGCGCCGCCGACTCTCCTTCTTCCCTTAGGCTTGAGGTTGGTCCTGGCCCTGGCGCCGGTACACCATTGTTCTCGTCAAGATGATTCCCGCTCATCGCAATCGCAATCGCAATCGCTCTGAATCTGTTACCTGCCGTCTTTCCCACAATCCAACGCTGCGAAATCTGTTACCAGCGTCACCAATGCGTGGTGCCTGGCTGATAGACCCGCGTCCGAGAGTTTGCAGTTTTCACTTTGTTAGCTATGTACAATATATAGACAGACAACAAGAAACGCAAGGAGATCAAATGCGAAAATCACTCTCAACTATGTATCTCCACGAAGTACTCTTCGTATGAAACCGCCTCGTTTAGTGAATAGTCGGATAGTCATATAAATCCAACCCCAACCTTGTCCAGGTCAAGTCAAGTAAGTCAAAACAGAGCCATACAAATAAGTACATCTCATGTAGATACCTAGGTAGGTTGGTAGAGAGGTATCGATCCGGGGGAGTGAGTGAGCGAGTCACAGGGCGTATCGAGATATGGACGTACCACTAGCCTTTGGGAATGCAGCGGTCGTTGCATAATAAAGAGCGTATAAAACCCGAGACCACCAACAAACGTCACGGACGCACGCTCAACTCCGCCGTAAGCCAAAGTAAGAACTCAACGGGAACTAGCCATTGGAGGGGAGGTGGCACAGGGAAAAGATATCAAAAAATGTCACATGCACAAGCACAAGCACATGCTGGCTGGCTTGTCCTTGTGCCTGTGATACTTCGGTTCTTATTCAATAGTTGGGGCCCAAACATACCTAGGAATATTGATCCTCCGAGCAATTTACTTGAGAGGTCCAGTGTATGTCGAACAATATATGGTGTATGCGTGTACCTACCTGTACATGGGTATGCATGAGAAAGAACAGCGCCTTCAAAAGTTCCCCTCCGTCAGAGGAAGCTGACCACGGCATTGTGCGGAACGTAACGCGTGTTGATAGAAAGATAATAGAACGGCATTGCTGATGCTTCGTCGGTTTCCACATGTCAGTTGTGTCACAATGTCGAGATTGTGGCAGCCACCAAAAAAAGGTGGTATTGTCTTCCTTCTCAGCGCAATGGCCGATTGAAGAGATCCATCCTCAGCCCGGCTTTGGAGGTACTTTGGGCGTTGCGTAGCTACTGGTTGTCGAGTATCTGTCCCCTGAGAGAACGCGGTTGCAAGTGGTTTGCTGCCAAAGCGATATCTGGGAGCTTGCAACAACAGATGAGCCCCCAACGAGATAAGAAAAAGTCCGAGACACGTAAACAAGGCCACGACGATATTCGTTTGTGCTTCTCCCTATGGTCGGTTTAAAAACTGGTGACGCCGAATAGATGTAAACACAAACCCAGCCCCTAACTCCCTCGCTAACAAACGCAGCGTCAGCCTTTCTCGTCAGCTCTTGTCTAGTTGCATTGCAGAGAAGCCACGTAGCATTTCATCCCGTTTCGATTTGTGCTCGTTTCCAACGGCGATTTTCACTGTCCTTCTGCGACTTGTGTCATTTCTCCGAGTGCGTCCCATTCACTGCCTTGCCATCACCGGTCTCTCACAGCAAGCCTCTATTTAATTTGATGCTGTCAGCTAGAAACACTCTTCATATTTCTTGCTGTGTTTGTTCGAGGCGTGGTCTTCCAGGCCTTTGCGTGCTGAGGTGCTCTGGAATGTGGCAAAGCAAATTTTGCATTTGATGGTTTGCGCCGCTGCATTCTGTATTATTGTCAGCATCATCAGCAAGCCAAGTCAGATTGAATCAGATGGGTAAGAACACGGATTAGTACAATGTGGATAACAGGCGGATGGCGTGGCATGTGGGCATCATGACTAGGAAGGGTTCGTGTACATGGTCTTCAACAACCAAGAACGACTTTCAGCAAAGCGTTGCAGGAAGACCCTGTATTATGGCGAGAGATCGAGACAGAGAGACCGGATTCCGCAGGTCAGACTCCCCTAGAACACAGGTTCACGTTCTTTCCCACCAGGATACCGTCACAACGACACAGTGGAGGAGCCGGTCAAACCCCCACGAAAGGAGGTGTTCCGCCGTACAGTGAACTTGGTCTCGTCACAACCGCCAGCAGATTCGACTTTATCGACATTCCTCACATCATCACAAAGTCACAGCCACAGTCTTCTGTCGAATTTTGGTGTAGGCAACGTTTGAAGAGGCGAACCGCGGAAATCAAGATCAAGGAAACACTGATCAGGACATCGAGTAATCGAGCAAATCGAGACATACCTTTTTCAACTGACTGTTCGGTTCCTTCTTAGCATCTTTCGTATTACGCTCCCTTTTTTGGGCAGCCTTGGCTCCGTTACCCATTCTGAGAGGTTTTTATTTGTCGGACGTAGACGTGAAGCAATCTATGTTGCGCGGTTGGTGATGCCGGAGTGTGGAGCGGTGTCAACGCGTTGCTCGACTTCGTTAGGTCCAGAGGAGGAAATAGTAGACTGGAGGACGAGAGGAGATTCTTTTCGAGAAGGGAGGAGAGAAAGAGCTAGACTGAGAATCGTGTAAAAGAAAATGGGCGGTCAGAAATAATTTGTTTGGGCGACGAAAAGAAAAAGGTGGACAGCGTGAGAAGATTATAGGCCAACAAACCAGCGGCAACAGCGGGCTTCGGCACAGGAAAATCTTACAGCCGGCCCACCTGCGATAACATGACAAAGGGCACGTGCATGGCAAAAACATGGGAGACCCAGGCATATTGGCACGCCAGGCACCAGATGTGCTGGGCCACCCAGGGCGTCTTAATTCATAGAGTCCTCTTTGTGCTCTCCAACTAATAATAATAGGAAGCTAACGCCACGGTCAACGCCCAAACCAAACGAACACCCTTTCTTTTTGAAACCAAAAGACACCTCACGACCATCTTTCGTCTAAGTTGAAATCCTGTTAAACTGCAGCCCCGTCCGGATGTCGCCGAACTTCGCGTGCCAGATGTCTCGAAGGTACGAGCTCCTAGGCACCCACGGTCCGCGATTGCCACCTTTGGGCAATGTATTGGCCTCTTGGGCTGCCTTGATGTAGCTACTGTTCAGATTCAAGAGAGGCACTTCACTGATGTGATCCTTTTCATCAATCCGCGGAACCATACTAGTCATGTTCTTTTCCTTCATCTCTTTGAGGAGACGAACCCACAGCTGTGCCGTGGCATCGGCGCCCAGGGTCCAGCTAGCATTCGTGTAGCCGAAGATGAAGGTGAAGTTTGGTAGATCCTGTAGCAAAGCACCACGCCAGATGAATTTTTGATTCATCTGGTAGGGCTCACCATCGACCGTAACATTAGCACCACCACCAAACTGGATTTTGAGACCCGTGGCGGTGATGATGATGTCCGCAGGGAGAGTCGCTCCTGACTTGAGCTTGACCTCGCCGGCGCTCATGTCTTCGATTGTGTCGGTCACGACATCGGCTTTGCCAGTGCGAAGCGCCGCGAAGAAATCGCCACCTTGAAGAAATCAGCGATTTGCCCAGCGTACGGTTTTCGACGGGTTAGTAAAAACTCACCTGGAGTAATACACATTCTTTGCTCCCAGGGATTGTAGCGAGGAACAAAATGAGGGTCGAAAGGAATATTGGCAGGTAGCTCCTTTTGGGTGGCATCACGCAGGATAGATCGGCCCTTGTTGGGAAAGAGTCGACAAAATTGAAAAAAGAAGAAGCCGACGAGGAGGAATCTGAGTCGGATGAGTTGATATGCGAACTTTTCAGGGAATACCCGCTTGATAAGAGCATCAATGGGCTCGCTCAGGGGGACGGGCAGGAAATAGCTGGGCGATCGTTGAAGCATCGTCACCGACTTGGCCTTTTCGGTCATGGCAGGCAAGAGGGTGACGGCGGTGGCACCACTGCCGATAATGACGACTCTCTTGTCTGTATAGTCGAGCTCCTCGGGCCAGAATTGAGGATGGACAACGGTGCCCTTGAAGTTCTCAATGCCAGGAATCTTGGTGCTGAGCCCTTGAGTATAGTCATAGTAGCCGGTACCCAGGAGGATGAATCGAGAGTAGTACTTTCGCTTCTCGGTGCCATCGACGGTGACTTCAATTTCCCAATGTTGGTTCTCAGTTGACCAATTCATCGACTCGACCTTGTGGTGGTACTTGATGTTTTTGTCGATGCCATGTTTGGCGGCAGTAGTCTTGACATATCGCAGAATCGAAGCAGCATCAGCGATGGAACGGTCTTCCTTCCATGGATCCCAAGGAAACCCAAAGGTGTGTAGGTCAGAATCAGATCTGATGCCAGGGTACTTGAACAAACTCCAGGTGCCACCGATCTCGGCCCGTGCTTCGAGGATGGCGTACGAAAAGTCAGGGAGACCTTCTTGAAGACGGTATGCAGAGTTGATGCCGCTGATGCCGGCGCCAATAATGATGACGTCAAAAGTGTTGTTGGCCGCAATCATGATGAATTGTAGTACAGGGCGTTAACTAGGGAGCGATAGAGGGAAGACAATAGGAGGCGAGTTATGGCAATATATGCGCCGGAGGACATGCCTGGTCGGTGAGCTGCGTGAACAAAACGGCTAGGGTCGATTAAGGCCCGAAATCCGTGCACCAGAACCAGTCTCGCCAGCAAGACTGGAAATGGAACGGCGAACCTCGGCAAAGCATACGAGTAGAGTCTAGGCCATCAGGCCTAGCAGGAAAATTAGGGGCAGTTGAATGCTATGATACAGAGACAATCTGGGCACGACAAGATCGATTCGAGATTTGGTCCAGCGTCTACGACATTGTAGGTAATCCGCCGACAAAACTGGTAAGAGTGCGCCTAACAGAGTGCTTACTTACGAATGAATACCCATACCGAGCCTGCGAGCCCACCAGTAAAAGGGAGGCGAAGTGGTTGGAGGTTGTGGGGGACCCCCCTTGGGCGCCGAGTAGCCCTGGAAGCCTTAATAATATCTGACCACATGGTGGTGCACATGCCACTCGCTACCCACTCCCGGCGGCCGTATTTCTTGTCTGGGTGTCACTAGATGCCTATGCCGATTTGCACCCTGCGGGCCTGTCCCACCCCCACAATATGTGATCCTTCCCCCCTCTGACGACTACACCCGTATCTCGTATCCACGAATGCTCGGATGCTTCAGGTGAAGAAACACCGAGGTATCATTGACAGAGACGCTCACTGCATGCCAATATGCAGATACGAGGCAAAACTCTTAACTTGCAGTGTCAGTCGAAAATTCATTCGTCGTCGTATACGAATGCTTCCTTCTTCACACCTGACATTCAATCATTCCACCAGAGCATTCCCTCCTTCGTCGACCAGATGGCCCTCCACCCTCTCTGGCCCTCCTCCCACCGCTGTGCAAATGACCCGATTGACACCCGCCTTCAGCGTCATCAGCGTCTTCTGTTCCAACCCTCCATATTCGTTCGGTCGAATAGACTCCCCGAACCCGCCTTCCCAGCCTGCGACGCGAGGTAAAATGTTTCTGAACACTCCTGCAACTTGGTGTGTATGTTCTTCCAGGTAGTAAATCACTGCATTCGGCCCTGCGTCGAATGTGTATGCGCAGATGAGCTTCCCTGCTTTCCGATTTGCCGTCTCCACGGCATTCATCGCTGCGCGGGAAACATCGTTCAGGTAGTGAATGGGGGGCCATGAATCCAAACAGATGGCGTGAAACGAATTCGAATCCTGCATCGTAACCCGTGCAAACGTCTCGAAATCTTTCTCCGCGATGGCCTTCTCTATTTCCTGCATCCTTTTGGGGACAATCTCCTTGAATCTCGTGGGTGCTAGGGTGGATGTCTCGACCGTGGTCTGCATACCTGCGGTTGATGCGATACCCTTCTTCTCAGCACTGACGACAAGTATCAGTGCTCGCATTTCCGGCCAATGTGATACTGGTGCCACCTCTTCAGCCAAGCTGTCACTTCCATCCGCCTTCGTACCAGCTCGCCATGCCACATAGCCGCCCATCAGACTTCTGCAAGCTGATCCAGAGCCTTGCCGAGCAATCAACGAGAGCTCTTTCGGCGATTGAGGTAACTCGTAGAGGTCAGCGATTGCTCTTACGAGAGCGGCGAACCCCGCAGCCGAAGAAGCAAGACCGGCCGCGGTAGGGAAATTGTTTGTCGACACCAGTCGCAAGGTCCATTTCGACAGCTTGGGTAGAGAACCGTCCTTAGCTTCCAATGCCTCACGTAGCGAACGAAGGTCTCTCAGGCACGCTTGCGTTCTCTTCGAAGACTGAATATCCTCCTTCTCCCCATTGAGTATCAGAGTGTCTGGCCCCGAGAAGGATTCGGAACATGATGCGGTGGTGTGGGTTCGTAGTGACTTCTGAGATAATGTCACCGACAGGGACGAATTCGTCGGGAGATTCAGGACCGTATCACGCTTTCCCCAGTATCTGTAGTTCCAAGTCGATCAGTCTTTGACCTTCAATGGGGATTGCCAAGTTCGATGAGAGGAGAGCTGAGGGATTAATTGGCGTACCTACTTGATCACAGCAATATTGACTGGAGCAGTGGTACTTGCCCGATACACGGTATTTGAGCCAGACATGATTGTGTCTGTACAGGGGTTTAGAGCCAGATGGAATTGTGCAAAGGACAAACTCGATCAGACGGCGGGAAAATTAGTATGTAGTGTGACGCTAGAGGTAAATAAGGTCGCCCTGGTTCCGGACAAGGCTGACCTTGTGCCTTTTCAGCAGCCACATCAATTATTACAAGCATCTGATTACGAGCATGTACCAGGCTGCGCTCCCCGCATACTACACAAATTTCTCCAAAGGCGACGAGCTTCCTTCACATTGCAACCCTTCGCTCATCGCCACAGATTAAATCTTTTGCGCTCACGGCCGTCTACACACATACCCCGACATAAAAACATTGAGAGGCAGACATTTCAATGGGCTGGTGGAAAGCAGATCCCGCCCCGGAGCCTCATGCGCCACCCGCAGTATCCTCCTCAGCCATCACCCTAGATCAATCTCGTCACCACCTCCCACAGCAGCTCCCTGCAGATTCCGCCTCAGCTTGCCCTGTCGACCCCAAAACCAGAGAGATATGGCTCCAGCAGGCTCAGCAGATAAAGAGTTCACAGTCAAAAGGAGAGACACCGTTGCGCAACCCACAACAGAGGTCACAACCTTCCCTCCCGCCCTCGCATCCTCCGCTTCCCAAGGCGACAGCAATATCGTCTCAAGAATGCTCCTCCGACCGTATTTCACAAGACCCTAGCCTCGAGACTCACTCTGGCTACCAAAGTGCACGGCCCCTCTCACACGGCCGTGTGATCTCCTCCATTCCACGCGCCTTTCCGCAATCCGCGCAAGCTCCCTCTCCCTCTGAGCCCCCTCCGACGACAAGCGTCCCAGCAAACTCCGAGTCTGAAACGGGAGCATCATCCAGTGGCAATTGGATCTATCCGTCGGAGCACCAATTCTTCCACGCGGTGATGCGTAAACAGACGCTCTCGTCGTCGAACCCGACCGACCTAGCCACGTCGGTGTCCGCGATCATCCCGATCCACAACGCAGTCAACGAACAGGCCTGGGTACTCATCAAGCGGTGGGAAAAGGGCACCTCGGACGCCTGCGGCGGTCCCAAATTGCTCTCCTTCCAAGGTCTGGGCGCAGGAGCAAAGTCCCCAAAGGCGAGATGGAACTCGCTCTGGGGCTACACCGAACCCTTCGATCGACACGACTGGGTTGTCCAGCGATGTGACGGCAGCAAAGTTGAGTACGTCATTGATTTCTACCAAGGCAAGGCCCGTGAAGGGAAGACTGGGCAGCAGGGAAATAGTGCCCTTAATTTCTATCTCGATGTACGACCAAAGTTAAATACTGTGGAAGGATGGAGGATGAGAGCGGAACAGTTGCTTGGGCTGAGGTAACCTGGACTTGTGGGCGCTGGAAGAAACGCCCAGAGAAGACTGATTATACCCGCATGCCATCACGGCAGTGTTGGCAAATTGTATAGTAATAGAGCAGGGTGAGGAAATCACTCAATCAGCCGAGGTGCGTATGCTGTGTACAAATCTCAAATCGATTCAAGTCTATCTCCTGATTAAGTATAACTCCGTTTCTCTCAACCCTTACACAGTTCCAAGTCTCCGGCCGATAAGATGCCTTCTGGACTCTGTCTGACCGTGCCTCATGTCTATCAGATGCTCTCACAGCAAGAAACGTGGAGGTAAGGGAGATGCTTGATCCAACGGATGGTGGGATGGATAGTGTGGCCTGGAAAGTAGCTCGACCAAATGCCTTTCCCGCGCCACTTCAACCGCCGTGTCCCACGCCTGGCCTGTACAAGATGTATTCCTCTCATTTGCCAGATGCAAGTCCCTCTGATCAAAAGGGGGTGTTAATGAAAGAGACAGTCCGTGGCTGACACGTATGTTCCCGATTAGGCGCCCGTTACCCATAATGACAAATGAAAAAGCTGCAACACGAAAGTCGGGATGGAAGTCGAATATTGGTCGTTTCAAGTCGTTAATCCCAAGGTATATGCACCCATGCAGCCATCCGCCCAGAACAAAGGAAATTCGTGAAGTGTAACGTGTGTATCCATGGCTTTGATGCAAATGTGTGCTGGTTTCGTTCTCTTCTTTCACCAGTTGCCTGTTCGAATCATTGGCTGTTCCATGCCATATGTGTTTGAAAACAACTGTTGCCGAATGCTCTGTTGTTGCGACGGTTGATTACTTTGTCTGAGCCAGCCGAGTGCCTGCATCAACTCATCATAGGCCTCCCGTAGTCGGCCACCACTCTTTTCGTTGTGCACTCGAAGTTTCTCTTCCCAGCCGTTGAACTGCAGTTGAAACCCTCCGCCTCTTTTGCTGGCCTCCTTGATGACACTGGCCCATGCCTTTGAGATTTCCTCGTATGCATTTTGTTTGGCGAAATTATGTTGAGGGTTGTCCCACTCCGGAAGATCATGAATAATTTGGGTGACCTCATTCAGATACTCGAGCGATGTGGATGACTGATGCTCATTTGGCGGCAAGAAGTGAGGGGTGAAATCTGTAAGAGCATCAAGGAGTTGATGCCACTGAGGACGTACACGATCGTAGGAGTAATCAGAACGGGGATTCGGTCCCAGGGGAAATGAGTCCATCAATCGTGTGAAATACTGCCGCAAGACTTGTAGGGTGCTCTGGATGCTGGGTCGAGGGCTGATTTGGACAACTTCATCTCGAAGACTTGGGTGTCTCTCACACAAAGTCTTCAGCACAGATGTCAGGGACTCCTTGTCTAATGTTTCAAGGAGTCTTTCCACTGATAACGGTCTCCCGATCAGATTTGGACGGGCTCGTTTCCGTGAATTCGGTGTGGAGGTATTGGGGAGTCGGGCGTTTGATATGGAGGGTGATGTTGACATTTCATCGTCTCGATCTGGGGAAGGGGAGGCTTTTCGTTTCCGAGACGGGCCCGAGGCAGACACTGATGTGGCGGTTAGCAGGTTGGAAGAAATCAGCTCCTCTGGATATTACTCACTCGATCTGTTAGGAGAGAGACGGGAGTGTTCGTGGAAGTGAGGAGGGACGGGGGGCGTGGCCAGGCTATTCATTTTGGCTCTGGCCTTTGGACGCCCGATGATATCCAGGTGCGATGTTTACTGCAGTTCGATGGAGGAGACGACGATGGTACAGAGATCTGGAGATGAAGATGGGAGTAACGATAGTTAGGGAGCGAAGTGTCTACTCTGATAACTTCCTTGTCCTTGTAGGCAGAGCAGCGGTGAAGAACTGAGAGACGGGAAGAGAGGTGGTGATGTGGATGTGATGTGACGGGAGGAAAGTCCAAGTTTGAAGTCTGAGTGGAGGGTCAGTTTGTCAGTTGGCGTTGTGGCAGCTGCGGGTCAAAGTGCCAATGATACAAGGGCATCCAGGGCTTTTAGGCGTATAACCTCTGTAGGCCGGGGCAGCCTTGGACCCTTTGATTTGCTGCCCTTCACTTGACCAGACCCTTAGCAAACCCTCTAGGCATCCACTTCCTACAAGGTGCTGGTCGCTGCCCAATCCATACCCACTCCCATGATCAACCGAGGACTGGGCTCATGCAGTGCTGGATGGTTAACTTTTCTTACATCGACTTGCAGAACCAGTACGAGACAAAGACCAATACGAGGCCCCAGGACGAATAGCACAAAGAAACGAATGCTGGACAAAAGCGCAGGCAGGCCCCCTTACAATTACGCAGCTGGATGCCAGCTCACAGTCGGCAGGACGAAGTTCGAATAGAATTAAAATTGTGTCAAGAGAAGGGGCACATGGTCGTGATGGGAGGCTATGTAGAGCTCTTCCGTTGGTGCCGTCGGTACCGCAGCCATGATTCGTTGTCGTAAGCAAAAGAGATTCGACCAACACAGTCTTCCGGCGTCGAACATGGTCTCAGGCAACAGCATCACACCTAGTTGTCCATGTCAAGCACCATCAACCTGTGCATGTCTTACTATCACCAAACAAGGCCGTGGGTATCGTGTAGTCACAAGAAATCATCTTCTCCAACAGCTCTACTGGTTGGATCGGCAGGATAGGCGTCGTCGGCTCGTCGCTCTGAATGGTCAAGTCTAGAGATACAGTGACTGAGCTGCCACGATATCTCGCCTTACCTTGTTCAACGCCTCCTCGAACTTCTTCTCCAATTCCTCGCTTCCCATGACCTTCGAGGCTTCCGCCATCTGACGCAATGCTTCTTCCAGCCGGCGAAATGTACGGATCAAGCTGCCTTCGTAGACATCGGTCATTTTGCTATACCCACAGTCAGCATTGGCCACTTCTAGGCAGCTTTCCGGAACCTACCAAATCTCTCCGAATGATTTTCCATTCGCCCAGGCGTAGATCACTGGCATAAGCTGCCATTTGAACCCTTGGACATACTCTTCCTCATTCATAGCCAACTTCGACTCTACCGATACCTTGGCGATATGTCGGGCTTGTCTCTGTATCTCACGCAAGGGTTTGGCAAGTTCCTCGGTCAAGTTAGGGGTCTCATTGACCTTTTCTTCAAAAACAAAGCAGCTCATGACAGCTGCACAGAGCTCCGGCGTCAAGTCGTTGAAGAATCGGTTGAAGAGAAGCTCACTAAGCATCAGTTCGTCCCCGGTGCTGATCTCACATGCGACACGCGCTTTGAGTTGCACCACTTCATCTTCGTTGATGAACTGCAACCGGCGTAGTACCCGCTTCCGGCATTTCAGCTCTTCCAATTGCATAATTGCATGGGCATCTTGAATTTGCTTCTTCAGGCTTCGAATCTTATTGGTAAGCGAGACCTTGGCCGCGTACTGATTGTAAAGGCCCTCGAGGCGAGGAGAGTGGTGCAATGGGTTGGCCACCAACCTGGACTCCATGATCTCGATTTTTCGGAGTAAATCCTTGAACGAGTTGTCGGTGATTTTCATATTTTCAATCGGGTCGAGGACAGCCAGCCCGTCAGGAAACCGTCTCTTCACTTCTGCTAACGCCTGCTGGACCTTCTTTTTCTCCTCGAAGACCGTCATGTCGGCAGGTGGGAATATGCGAATGTGAGAGATCTTTTGGACACATTTGAGAGAGACTGGGACGACTTCGATCTTGGACTTCTCACCAGGCTGAGGAGGACGAATGCCTGGGGGCAAAGATTGAAAAGTCTTGGTCCCCGAAGCTGGGCCATCGGCCACCTCCAACGCAATGTCGAGAATCCACTCCTCCTGAGGTGTCAACTTTTCCGTCGATTTGCTCTGGCTTCTTTTTGTGAAGTTCAGTACAGCTCCCCAGCCAAAATCATGCTCGCCATCCTTGATCTCTACCAGACGACCCGGCTGCATGAAAGGCAGACAGTAGTTGGGATGAATAATAACCATACGCATATCTTCCGCATAGATGTCAAGCTGTTTTCGAAGCTCGTAGTAAGCTCGGATGGAGCTTTCGTCTTCAAGAATCATTGCCGACCTCTCTGCTTCCAATTGCTGCAGTTCCTTCTCGAGCCCAGAGACACTAGCAGTGTTTTGGAACTGGTGAAAGCACCTTTCAAGCATGAACTCGGGAGAGATACCTTCGACTCGAAGCAAGTTAAGAATCATGTTGTAGCCAAGATAGAATGCGGAGTTCAGTTTATCCTGTTCGCCACGAACAATGTCCTTGGCAACACCGGGCTCCATCTGCTGGTCAATCATCATAATGACAATCCCACGTTCATCAAGACCACGCCGTCCTGCACGACCAGACATCTGGATAAATTCAGATGGGGTGATCCATCGTTGCGAGATACCGTCGAATTTGCGAACGCTGGTGAAGACGACCGTCTTCGCTGGCATGTTGAGCCCAATAGAGAACGTCTCGGTTGCGAACAGAACCTTGATCAGCCCTTCCTGAAACAGAATCTCGATTGTTTCCTTGAGGATTGGCAACAAGCCAGAGTGATGGATACCAATGCCTCGCCTCAGCAAAGGTAGTAAGTGCTGGATTTGTGGCAAATTCTTGTCCTCGGGGGAGAGCATTTCCAAAGCGCTGTCAAACACCTTCGAAACCATGGCCTTCTCAGATTCTTCATTGAAGGACATGCTGCTCATTTGAATGGCATACGCCTCACAATCTCTCTTGCTGAAGCTGAACACAATGACTGGGTTGTAGTTCTTGGTCATGATCATTCGGACAATCTTATAAATATCGGAAGGACCTCTAGTGCCTCCTTTGTTCAACCTCTTGTCTCTTCCTTTGCCCTTCCTACGGGCCAAGGCATTTGCAGGATCGTCACCTTGTTTGTCTGCAATAGAACCCATAGATTTTTGGAAGTTTTCTTCCCTGAACACACCCTTTTCATCCACAATCAAATGAATTCCATCTGCACCGGCAGGAAAGAAGTAGTGTTGTAAAGGAGTTGGCCTGAAGTCTGTGTAGACAACGTGACATGGTTGATTATGGGTCTTTGTGATCCATTCAGCAAATTGCATTGCGTTTGGAATCGTTGCTGACAAGAACACATAGTGAACTTTGTCCGGCAGTAGAATGATTGTCTCTTCCCATACAACGCCTCGGACTTTGTCTCGCAGGTAGTGTATCTCGTCGAAAATCACCCAGCCCACTTCACGCATAATCTCAGACCCACGGTAAAGCATTGAGCGTAGAATCTCGGTAGTCATAACCAGGCAGGTGGCTGTAGGATTGATGGTGACATCGCCAGTCATGAGACCAACGTCGCCAAAATCGGCTTGAAATTCTCGATATTTCTGGTTGCTGAGTGCTTTGATGGGGCTCGTGTAGATGACACGCTGATTGTTTTTAAGTGACTGGGCAATTGCATATTCGGCAACGACGGTTTTGCCTGCGCTGGTATGAGCGGAGACAAGGACACTCTCATTTCGTTCAATGGAGGCAATAGATACTTGTTGAAAGGGATCGAGCTGGAATGGCCACGTCCGAGCAGGTTCTGCAGGCGGTTTGTGCTCTGAGATGGGCACATAGTCATAGTCTGGTGGCAAGGCAACTTGGTGACGAACTTGATGTGACAGAATGACCTTCTCTTCCTCTTTGCCAGGGAGCAGGCCAGCAGATGCTGCTACCTCTCTTGACTGTTCGGTCTCGAAGGTATCGGTGACGACGGGTTCTGGTTCGTCTTCCATGCGCATTCGTTTGACCTCTGGTGCATCTCCATCCGTCATCTCCTTATCGACATCTCCCGAAACCGAGGCACTCCCATCACTAGAGGGAGCAGTTGCTTCTTCACCGTCAGGATCATCCTTCACTTCGCCGTTAGCCTGTCGCTTTAACCGCTTTCTTTGTGCTTTGGTGAGCGTGGTAGCCGGTGGTACCTGGCCGTTTTCTTCGAACACATCAAACAACTCGTCCATTTTCAGAAGGCTGGAAGATTATTCTCTTGACATAGAGAGAAAGTCGCAACCATCGGCAATGAAAATCATTGCTGCGGGAATGAGAGACGAGAGAAATATTGGAAAAGTCCGCAAGTGGAAGGTGCGCCGAAAAGTGCCAAGTCTGGTGGAGAGCTCCATAGCAGCTTCGATCATTGAGGACCAACATCACCTTACTTTTGCTAATCTCTTCCAACACCACCATTACTGGAGCGAGAGAGACGAAAAGGTATGGCCAATACAACTCGTTCTTGCTTTGTACTGATATAACCTCCAGATGAATACCCAAGCTATCCTCCGCGCCAGAATGGCAACCCAACTCATCGCCCGCCGCGGCTTCTCCTCTACCGTCCGTCGAGCAGACAACTTCAGCCCTTATCACTACCCTGAAGGACCTTATACCAACTTGCCTTTCAACACGAAGACGAGATTCTTTTGGCTGCGATACTGGGGTTTCATGTGTAAGAATACCTCCGACTTTGAAGAAACACGGGACTAAATGGAGAGTAGTCACAGGATTCGCAATTCCTTTCGGCTTGGCCGGTAAGCCCTGGTTAAGAGAACATCTTGTAAGAGATATACTGACGCATTCACAGTCTGGCACACGTACAAGGCTTAAGAAATCTCGAGAGTGTGGAGTCTATTGGGGAATATCGAATTGCGTGAGGAACCAGTGCGGGAATGGCGCTCTCGCAACTGGAGTTTGTACAGAGCCAGAAATAAAAAAAATCATATCCGCCATCATGGGCTTCAATCCTTCTTGTCCGCATTCTTTCCTCGTCCCGAAGATAACGTCCTTCTGTTGGTTTGCCTTGTCCATCGCGCCCTCCAGGAGCAGAAGGCTGTCCAATCAGAATGCGCGTAATGTTCCACTACCAAAAATTTATGTCTCTAAACACCTCTTTTCGTATACTTGTAGAACTTCAACCTTCCTATTTCTTTCAGGCTGCATGATCGAATCCTAACTCCGAACTGTCACCATGCGAAATTTGAGGACCATAGCGTATCATGAGACTCGGCTACCAGATGATTTGCCACTCACAGCGACAGCCTGGGACACGACGCATAATGCAATAATCTGTGCATTTGGTCCAACTCCTACACAGCCTATCATCGAACTGAAGAGACGAGTCAAGACCTCATCTTCCCAAGACGAGTTCGTGACCATCACTTCGTGGGATTCACCGTGTCCGCTTCCACATCTACAATGTGATGAAATCCTGCTGCTTCAATATTTCCCTGACACTGGAACATCATGCCTTGTGCTCGCCGGCGGAGATGTTGTGGTTGTGCGTGAGGATCCAGGTCCCGGACAAGAGAGGATCGAAATTGTTGGCACCGTCGACATCGGAATCTGTGCTGCTGCATGGGCCCCAGACGAAGAACTGCTGGCCATCGTCACGTGTGCAGACACCCTCGTGCTGATGAGTAGGACGCTCGAACCTCTCAATGAAGGCACTCTATCCCCAGACGACCTCAAAGTTTCCAAACATGTCTCTGTAGGTTGGGGTCACAAGGAGACTCAATTCCAAGGTCGTCGCGCCAAAGCAATGCGAGATCCTACCGTGCCGGAAAAGGTCGACGAGGGCAAGTTGAGCCCTTTTGAGGATGACAAGGTCACGATCAGTTGGCGAGGAGACGGGCAATACCTTGCTATAAGCAGCGTGGTCCCTGGTCAACGTCGAGTTATCCGTGTTTTCACGCGTGAGGCTGTCCTGGACAGCGCTAGTGAACCTGTCGATGGTATGGAGTCGGCATTGAGCTGGAAGCCTTCGGGAAATCTCATTGCCAGTGTTCGCCGATCCGAGACAAAGCTGGAGGTCATCTTCTTCGAGAGAAACGGTCTCCGGCATGGTCAATTTGATCTTCGAACGACGAAACAAGAAATGGATGAGTGGGCATCTAGCCTTTCCCTCTCATGGAACACAGACTCCACCATGCTGGCCGTCACCTTCAAGGATAGGGTGCAGTTTTGGACGATGGGAAATTATCACTACTATCTGAAACAAGAGATCCTACTCCATTCACCACGCAGCAACTGGCCACTGAGGTGGCATCCTGAAATCCCACTGAGGATGTGCTTCGGCACAACCAGAAAGCTGTTGGACCTCACATTCCTGTCCGCGGTGTCAGCAGGTAGCATAGTCCCTCCCCAAGACTATGGCATCGTTGGAGTCATTGATGGCAGGACACTAAAGCTTACTCCCTTGGAGCAAGCTGGTGTGCCACCACCGATGGCTTTCTGTGAGGCCGTTTTCGACCACAATATCATTAGCTGCGCCTTTGGTCGAGATTGCCAAAGATTTGCAGTCTTGACGACGAAGACATTGGAAATTTGTGAATGGAAAACCCGTGCTAAGGGTAACGGCGATTTGGTATTTACAACAACCGTCGAGCGGCAGTCTCATCAACATCCGACACTACAGCCAGAAGCAGAACCTCTGTTCTACACTCAGGTGGCTTTTGTCAACGACGAGATATTTGTCATGGCGCCAACGCAGTCAGCGGGAGCAACATCTTGTTGGAAATCCACGTGGCCCGGGAATCAGAGCTTGTCTTGGGAACATTTCCTTGCGCCTGAAGGTTGTGAAAGCCTCATAGCAGACATATTTTCCGAATCTGTGTTTATTACGAATCCGACCACGAATGCCACAGTCCGGCTCACAGACTATCCGGGGTCAATGGGTATAGAGCCCGTCAAACTGAGCGGTAGTCAGCCCAACAGCTCCATTTTTACCCTTCGCCACATCCGACACTATCAAGTAAATGGTGAGATGAACGGTGACACCCCAGAATACTATAAGGTCTCTTTATCGCTTAAGGGAAACCTATACGTCGACAATAAGCTCCTCGTCCGCGAAGTTACCTCCTACATGCTCACTTCGACACATCTAATTTTCACCACCTCTGCACACCTTCTGAAATTCGTCCATCTTGCCCATCCCTCAGCAATGCAAGTCCCCGATGACACGCCGGAGATCGACGAACGATGCAGAAATATCGAAAGGGGTGCACGCATCGTGACAGTTGTCCCGTCCATCTACGCTGTGGTTCTTCAAATGCCGCGAGGAAACCTTGAGACAATCTACCCTCGTTTGCTAGTTCTCTCGGGAATACGCAAGCATCTTAAGCAACAGGACTACCTCGCTGCTTTTCTGGCCTGTCAAACCCATCAGGTCGATATGAACATCCTGCACGACTATGATCCAGGTACTTTTCTGGCCAACGTGCCCAAATTTATCGACCAACTTAAGAAGCCCAGCCGTGTGGACGCATTTCTTTCGAAACTCAGGGACGAGGACGTCACGCAGACGTTATACCGCGACACGACCTTGCAAGTTCAATCTGACCCAAAGCCGCAATCTGCTCCGAACACGAAGCCCGCCAACATGGTTCCTGGCAGCAAAATAAACAAGATTGCTGACGCGTTCCTTTCGAGCCTATCCTCAAAACCTTCCTCTTACTTGCAGACCATCATAACGGCCCATGTCTGCAAGCGACCCCCCGACTTATTCTCTGCCTTGACGCTTGTCTCTGCCCTCCGCGAGACGTCCAAAGAAGAGGCGGACGTTGCAATCTCCCACCTGTTCTTTCTCACACCCAATCCCTCCGTTCTATTTGACGCTGCCCTTTCACTCTATGATCTCGAGTTGACGCTCCTCATAGCGCAGAATGACAGCTCAAGAGACCCAAGGGAATATATGCCCTACCTGCAATCTCTCCAGGAAATGTCGGAGCTCAGACGGAAGTTTGCGATTGACGATCATCTCAAGAAGTACAGTAAGGCTTTGGTTTCATTACATGCGCTCGGGGAGCATGAGCAAGTCGCGACATACACGGCAAAGCATTCCCTGTACAACACGGCGATGGGGCTGTACAAATACGACCAAGTTCACCTGACCCGAATAACCCGTATGTATGCTGAGTATCTCACGACTCAAAAGTCTCATCACGCCCAAGCTGCTACACTTTACGAATCACTGGGCGACTACGATTCTTCGTACAAGCTGTACGCACTGGCACATAAGTGGCGAGAGGCACTGACCTGTGCGACTCTTGTGCCCTTGACAGCCTCGCAACTCAAGTCGCTCGCACAGAGTCTGGCGACAACTTTGGCGGATGAGAACCGGGACTATCGAGCCGCAGCGACGATACAGATTGACTATCTTTCCAACACTCCCGAGGCAGCAAAGCTTCTGTGCCGGGGATCTTATTTCGCTGAAGCAATGCGCGTTCTCGCCTACGATGGCCGCACCATTTCCGAGATTCACCAGATCACAGACGCAGGGCTAGGCGAGAAAGTCGGCGAGATACTCGAACTCCTTGCGGACTGCCGTGCACAACTGAACGCACAGGTTCCACGCATCGTTGAGCTCCGCAAGAAAAAGGAGGAAGATCCTCTGGCTTTCTTCGGTGGTGATCCCACCGTGGCTACGGACGGTGCCGCAGGCGACATCCCGGACAACGTCTCCCTGGCGCCCACGGACGTCAGCACACTGGGCGGCCAGAGTCTTTTCACCCGCTACGGCAGCAACGCCAGCAAGTTCGGCGGTACCGTGGCCTCCAACGTGTCGCGGAAGACGTCAAAGACGAAGCGCCGCGAAGAACGCAAGCGCGCCCGCGGCAAAAAGGGCTCGGTCTACGAGGAAGAGTACCTCGTTGCCAGCGTGGGGAGACTGATCGACCGCGTAAACGGTCTCCATGAGGAGGTGGGTCGTCTTCTCGTGGGTCTCTCGAGACGAGGCATGCGAGAGCAAGCGCGACAGGTCAACGATAACATGAAGGAAATCTGCCGAGCGTGCGAAAGAGCCAGAGAGGACGTCTGGGAGGTTGCCAAAACAAATCCAGAAGATGGTCAGGTTCAGGTCGAGGAGGGCACGTACGATAAAGACGGACAAGGAAGACCTCCTGGAGCAGAAGGCGTGTTCTGGGACAGCCAGCAGGAAAGCCAGAAAAAGAGAGAGGCGCCCGAAGTCAAGGGTTGGGTTTCCAGCGAGGCCGTAGATTCATAGCATACGCTCGACCACCTCTAAATGAAAAGAAACCTTTGAAATTTTGACTCGATTCTATGGTGGTGTTATCTGACTTGTTCCATCTCTCTTCTCTGGAACAAACGGCCATTCTGGGGATTAGATCCAGACCACCCTGAAGACTCCAATCTAGGGATCTGATCCTCTGATATCCGGTTCCTGTCCTTGGTACCATCTTTTTGCGCATCTTTCTGAAAAAGACGTCTCTGCGTCGGCTGTTCGACAGCCTTGGGCTTGGGTTTTTCCTGCGCTTCCTCAGGTTCTGGTGCCTGGGTGGCCTTCTTGGCCTGATTAAGGTCGGCAATCCCAAGACCTTGATCAATCAAATATACCTGAAAGGCTGACAACAACTCCTTCAGCCCAGCCCTTAATCTTGCGATGATGATCTCAACTTCATCAATTCCACCCGTAGCGCCCTGCTTGTGTTTCGATACAAGGTCTTCAATTATGTTGAGAGTTTTTGTAAAAGTTCTTACAGTGTCTGGCACTGTCGGAGTGGCTTTGCCGTATGTATCTTCTGTGAGACTGGCAACTTGCATTCTGGTTATTGACTCAATTGCATCAACAATCAATGCTGCGTTTCCATGGGGTGATCCGAGTACCATGGCGTTGATTTGGGCGGCATTTGTGGGCACGAAGAACCAAGCCATGCGACTTTGCTTTAGAGCAGCCATCCATTGATCTGAAATACCTTTGGTTGGCTTTTGAGTCGTGCCTGGCGGCCTCGCATACTCGAGCAATTTTGTTTCGACTGTTTTGGCCGTTTCTTCTATGGGTGGATGCCAGGGCTGTTTACTACTGCCAATTTGTCGCAACGGACTTGCCAGCAGCCTGGAACCGACGCTTGGTTTCGGACTTGCTTGAAAGATTGATTGAGTCGGTACTTCGGGAACAATGCGTGGTAGAGATTTGATTTGGTCTGCACCTACAGGCTGTGGTGCTGCTGGGGGAGGTCCAACAATGCGAGTTTGCACTTCTTGCAATATTTTCAGACCGGCTTGTACCATTTGGCTCCACATTGGTCCGGCAGGCCGTTCAATGTCTTCGAAAATAGCCTTTCTTCGTTCCTTGTGTTTGTGGGCAATGATAGCCAACTCCCAAAAGGCAAAGGTTCTTACGACGTCTCGTTTGGCCTTGAGTCCATTAAGGAGTGTTCCATTGGGATCTTTGCTAGATGCGGAAAGTGGCAACCCAGACTTTGTGGGCTGCTGGTTGAGATAAATCACGAACAGGAGCGAAGTCAACTCCCATGTCAGTGTAAGGAGAAATCCGGCACCGAAGCATTGGAGCAAATAAACAGGCCCCAGAGGAGGATATCCTACCGGACGGGCGTTTGCTCTCGAAAGGTTGAAGAATGGTTTTGCCATCGCAAGATGGAGCTGCCAGAAAATGTTTCGCAGGAAGAGGCCATTGATGAAAGGAGCCACAATGATTACGGCTCCTGGAATGAGAGTACTCTCTATGAGCACAGGGAACAGTTTGCGTTGCAGCTGCGTCTGAATAGGCTCGATCGGATGAGTGTCCTGAGCTTTGGTGTCGGGTTTTGGCGTGCTTGACAGTTGTGAGACGGGGATGAGGAGGGTTGAATTTCCACGATAAGTATGAACTCCTGCATATGCGACCGCGAGAAGTAAGGCGTAAAGACGGAAGAAGATGGGTTTCTCGTTTAGAATGTCGGGAGTGTGATGGTTTCCTCTTGTGATCCAGCCAAGGTCTGGAGAAGACCAAATGAATGCTTCAGTAAACCACCATCCCGAAATCAAGTACCAGAACAATGTATGCACCGACGATACACTGAGGAAGTTTGTTCTGAAGGTCGCAAAGGGGGAAACTGTCGTCTGTCTGCCGATATTGAGGGTGGCTATTTGGAGGATGAAGACGAACAGGCTGGCCATGAAAAAAAGTAACGCTTTGATCCCAGCAGGGCCAAAAGGAAACCATGACCAGAATAGGTCTTTCTTCGAACCGAGCCAGAAAGCATTATGGAGGGCGATGAGGAGGGAGATGAACGCAGCATGTACGAATCGTTTATGGAGAGCGGAGGTTAAGAATCGTCGGTAGGGTCGAGGGGGAGGGTTCAAGGAGGCCGCAGCTGGACTCGCCATGGTTGTTGGCAGGATTCTATGAGAATGGTATCATGATATGGCGAAGCAGTCCATCGACCAGCGAGCGCTGCGGGTAGCCGAGTCGCAGGTTTCGGAGAGGTGAAGATGGGAGTCGAAGCGCACTTCCTGAACACCAAATTGTGTTAAACCATGTAAACAAAATTGTGCAGTGGGCAACGTGTTTTCGGGGAATGACGCCAGACCACGTGATGTGGAGGAGGCTGGTTTCGCAAGTGCCGCATGTCAAGTGCCATTCCTTCCCACTCTGCAGGCTTCCACTATTCTTTCACAGTGATCAGTCAATTCACACCGAGTCTAGCTCTATAAACCATCGAGCGTTTCCTGTATCTCGTGCGACAATATCCCAGGGACAATTCCCCGACGACGATCGTCATGTCTTTCGACAGACTCTCATCACTCGAGTCGCAACCTACCACTACCCGAAGGCAGGACGATCCGCAATACAGAGATGATCCAGAGTTTCAAAAGTTCACCGAGTCGCTGTCTACCCGACTCTTCGAATTGACCTCGAACATCTCGCGACTCTCGAATCAACTCTCGAAAAAGGACACCGAGAGAGGTCGGGAAAGGATACATGACTTGCTGGAGGAGACTAGAGAGGGATTCAAAGAGGTGGGAGATGGTGTCAAGAGGGCGCAAACATGGCCAGACCTAAATGTTAGTTGCCTCACATCGCTTATGCTACAGACACTGATTCCGCCATTAGCCTTCGCAGCGATACACAAATCAGAAGCTCTCACGAGAGTTTGCCTCTGCCCTGTCCGAATTCCAGGTAGTCCAGAGAAGGGCGATAGAGAGAGAACGGGCATCGAAAGCTGCACTCGAAGAGGCTCAGTCAGGCCAATCCCCATCGGCCGAGGGCGGTCAACAACGCCAATTACTTGAAGAGCCTCGGCTCGCAGAACAAAGTGAGGTCGACTTTCAGGAGAATTTGATTATCGAACGAGAAGGAGAGATTCGACAGATCGAACAATCAGTGGGCGAATTAAACGAACTCTTCCGAGATGTCGCCCATCTTGTTCGAGATCAAGGCGACATGATCGATGCTATCGATATCAACGTCGAGAATACGTTGACGGACACGCGGGGAGCCGATACAGAACTCAGAAGCGCAAGTCGGTACCAGAAGTCGGCCAGAAACAAGGCTTGCTGTTTGCTAGTAATCTTAGCGGTTGTCCTGTTGATTGTGGTTCTAGCTGTTGTTCTGGGATGAAGAATGGGTTTTGCAGCGTTTTGGCGTTCTTGTTTGCCTTGGAGGCATGGGCCTATAGCGCCGAATGTACAGTCATTGCGTAGAGTTTTCTGCTCTCGGCTTAAGCAGCATCAACCATGCAATAAAGCCTATGGGCAGCTGCAATTCGGTCGGCGTGACAGGTTCAATTATATGGTTCCAAGCTCTGTCAAGTCAAGGCGGGTCCTTGAGGGAGGACATTAGACCCAAGCTGGACTTTCCATGGACGAGGGTAATCTGCTGCCACTGTTGTCAATGAACAGATGTAATCGGCACATTCTACGACTATGTAGCTCGTACAAATGTCTTTACGAGGCCATGAGGTTCAGCCACGAGACTGCAAGGCTGCGTTTCAGCCTTGTTCGTGACGCGTGACGTCAAGTCCCCATCTCCGACCGCGTACCCTTTTCCAACCTGGATCCATTTGTCTTCATGATCGGTTCGACTTTGAAATTTACTGTTACCTTCGTAATGGCACGATATGCGATCACCATCCTCACCGGATCATCGACAATCAATACCCGTTTCAACCAGTGACAGAAGGGTGGACATCACATCTGACTCCAGCATCACTCACAGCAAGAAGAGAAAAAGCAGTGATATTGAGACTGACAACAATGGCTCGCAATCAGATGTTTTTACAGCGAAACCCCTCTCTCCAAGCCATGCAACTCTCAACTTTGCTCCGGTAACGCTTGTGGCTCGAGCATGTCTGCCCTTAGCATGGCTCAACACATCCACTGGGACTTGCCGGTTGATCTTTGAAGCAACCATTTTGTCCGTGGAGGAATGGGTACAACGCATTTTGGTCGTCCGTCAAGTCCCCAATGGGGCCCTCCATGCTGTTGAGCGAATTGGCGACTCTCTCTACGTCGCATGTGCCTTACACAGTTCGATTTCAGAATCCTGGTGCCACGATGCTGCAATTGGCAAAGTAGCCGAAGTCAGAATTGAGGATTTACTACGAGGAGAGGAAGATGGCGGTCCCCGCTCATCCCTTGCGAGGACCGGGTCAGTCTCGAGTTTGCCAGCATTGCCTACGCCGAAGAGCCCCAAGAAACCAGCAAATCGACGCGGTGCATTGGCCAGGATGTCCATCTTAAAGCCCAATCGTACCATCCTGCACGAGTCTATCACCCCAATAAGCTCTCCTGATCTCGTCCAGCAACCAACTGCTGCTTCATTGGATAATCTGGCTGGTCAGGATGTGGCTCGGACTTCCGTTCCTAGTACAGGTATACAGTCAACATCTGATGCACGGTCAACTGTATCGAGAGAGTCTGTGATAGTCACCCACAGCACAGGGTTAGGCTTACCGAACACACTCGACAACTCTGTTCCATCCAGCGAGACTCTTCCCATGGCACCCGCGCCTCTCCCTACATTACAAAACCCTTGGGCCGGCATGGATCCCACAGAACCCGAGCGTCTCCGTACACAATATTTTGAGCATCTCTATACCTCGAAGACCTCACTGGCATTCTACGTCAAGGGACCACTGAGTCGGGCACGAGCACATGTGCGATCAGGTGGAGACCCTGCGAAGGGAATATTTGAACTTTCCGAATTTTACGAGCAAATTATATTGCCTACAAAGAAAATCGATCTAAAATACAAGGAGTCTCTGGCAAACATCATCAAAGCATTGCCTTCGATTGTGGCGGAGCAGGAAAGCGAGAGTGCCGTCGGACAAGCCGCATCTCAAAAGAAAAGGAGTCGGAAGAAGAAAGCGAAGCTGGGCAAGGATTGTCTGTGGCCTGACGAGGAGGACTTCATTGCGAAATGGTGGCGTAGCAGGGATTTGAAGCCGACGAGCCTTACAGCGACCAGCCAGACCGAGGAGATGCGGAAAGAATTCGCTGATTTGCGTATGCGGGAAAGTGAAATGCAGATGCTTCTAATTCTGGAGGTCATGTTGCTTGAAATCGCCGGATCACGACTCTCGGAGAATGCGAAGCCTGTGCAGGTAACAGATCCCGACGTGAAGCTCGAATCGATCGAGGATGACAACAATGCAATCTTGGCCACAGTTCCACAGAGGCAACAAAAGAGGAAGAGGCGCAACTGGTCGAGTGAAATCGACACCATCGTCGATCGTCTATGCATCTGGCACACCATCAGCCTCGATGACCTTGTCGCCACAGAAGATAAAAGGAACAGCACCACCTCTTCCAAAGCTAATGATTCCCTTAGGGACTTTTGCAAGGACGTCCTTCTCCCATTCTACTCGATCAAACTCCCAGAGCAAATCAAATCAATATGTCGTAAGCTCGGCGGACCCGAGATTTCTCCCAAGCGATCCAAACATCTTCCTCCAGCACCTTCCGCAACCCTGCATAGATCGTCCTCGATATCGTCACTCACAAAACCTACATCAGCAAGGCCATTCACGAAACGGACTCTCGAGAGGGTTCTTAGCGAAGACCACCAACTCCATCGGCACGGCTCGCCGCCGACTACCTTCTCCCGCGGTCCCTCTGTAACAGCTTCCATGACGCAGAATCCTATAATCCCAACTCTAAAGCGCGAGCCTTCTGAGAGGCCCGTCTCTCGCGGGGGCAACCTCTCAAAGTCGGTATCATTCAGTAGTCGCGAAATTGATCTTGCTGCGGATCAAAGGGCGCATGATCTCAAGCGGCGCAAGCTCGATCGGTTGGCTCAGCAGAAGAAGGAGTTGGAGGCCGCAATTGATGCGCTTAAGAAGCCCGATCGCAGGACCGTGGCAGGACTCTTCATGGACGAAGTAGAGGACAGGAAGAGTAGGGAGAAGGAGCGGAAGCCAGCAATCCAGATATCTGCAACGCCGAGGGCGAAGCGGACCCAAGATTTCATGCAGGAGCCAGAATTGCCGCTACAGCCAAGAGTGACGATTCAGGAACAAGATACAGGAGCGATAATTCCGTCGTCAACAGTCAAGCCTCGGCTGGTACGTCCTGGGATACCGAGTTCGACCAGCACCACTAGATCGTCAGCGACAAAACGAGCAGTCCTTGCAGCCATTCATGAGACGCCATCACGCGGGATCGACAAGAAAACTTCGAATCCGCTGAACTTGCCAACTCTTTACCCCTCTCAGGCTGGGCCAGGAGACCTGTTCACGATAGCATCAATTCCGGCATCCAAACGAACAAACCTTGGTGGAGAAAGCGTGCCTTTGTCTGACCCTGATCCGCCTTCTGGATCCTCGCAGGTTGGACGTTCTGAGGGGACGAACAGTGTGCAAAGCCTGCGCATGACTCGGTCCCAGCGCCCAGTTCTTTTTACGCCGGTGAAGAGGAGTGATGTGCCGCTCGACCATGTATTCCGCGACGCACCAGAGATTCCTGAGCAAGCCGGACAGATGATGGATCGAGTCATGGGTGGTAAGGGACGTGGGATGATGGATGACAGCTTTCGGTGGACTCAGAGTCCTGATGATACGAGGACGCCTAGAGGAGGGACTTCTGAGAAAGCATGCCCCGCCACTGATGAGGTTGAGGAGGGAGACATTTACGACAAATTGGGTTGGAATGATGACTTTGACCTGTGACGATATCCCAGCGGCTATTGTATAGATTTGTTAGAGCAAACATAGATGCGTCGAGGATTGATGAATTCCATGAGCCACAATGACCAGTTCTTGTTATGCCAGCGAAGGTGATCTCTACTCTGCGAGCGGCTAATCAGAACGGGACGACGGACAACAAAGTTTTGCATTCGATCACTACTACAAGTCTGGATCGTTCTACTCGTAAAATTTTAACTAGTAAGCAGGGGTGTCATTCTTCATCATATTATTGGGGCGAGTTTGTGCCATGCTGCAGGACATGCCGGTGGCGACATCATCCGATCCTGCGCCTCGCCGAGGCAGAGAAAAGGTTTACTTGTATGATCACAATATGGCCACAATTTCCCCAAGTACAGAGGGCAGATATCGCATCTGCTCAAAAGGCCGAGTGGGGGCTACCATTTGACTGACACATGTCAAGTTCCAGATGACCATGGCCACGATCCTTCGCACGGAGAATCGGCGGATAGACTCCAAGCTGATGCCCAACGCGTTATTATTGTCGCAGCGAAATGGAGCCCATGTGCTCTCCAATTCCGTCTCAGCCTCGCGCAACCCCCTTGTGCCCCGAGGCTTTACCCCAACGGGCCACCACCAGGGCGTCTACTCGGTACAAGGAGTTGCGTCATTTGGGACTCGTTGTTCGCAAGGATGGAGTTGGACTTCAGGCGTCGTGTTCCAACAGGCCTATACTTGTTGTCCTTGTACTTGTGTTGGATGTATACTTCTCCCAGACTTCCAGAGTGGATGTTTCATGTTATTGTGTAACCCATCTTTTTGGCGTCGTCTTGTAGACAACCTCATTTCCCGCCAGAATGTTCTGCGCAGGGCGAGAGCGCTCTCGGTGGGGACCTTGGGCACCCTTAGGTACCTCGAATGTTCCGCGGGGCATGTCAAATGGCGATCAGATACCTCTTGGTACCTGCTTTTGCGCGCAGTCCAGGCGCCGAAGACGGCGATGAGGGCTTGAGTCCGAATCACGGCCGAAGGTCGGAACAAGGCTGCAGAAATGGCTCGACATGGCATCCACATGGCGCGACAACGCCAAACCCCATGTGGCAAGAACTGCATCTCACTTCTCACCTTCACAAACCGATAACGCTGCCACCGGAACGAATCAAGGTCACACTGCCTCACCGGGCAGAAGAGGCAGGAAAGAAAACGACATGACTCGGAGATTCTCTACGTGTAAGTTCAGCACTTTTTTTTTGCCGCCTCCGATCAATCTCTAGCGTCGAGGCTGGGCATCTTGTCTCGTGACTCGCCGAAGCAGAAAACAAGAACGAGACCCTCTGCTCTTGCCATTTTGATTTTCCTTTCCTTTCTTCACCCTTTCTGTTACTTTCTCGAGTTTCAAACTTCGACTGTCCTTATCCTCCAGCCACTTGAAGACCTAGCAGGCCTCCAAAGGGGGAAGAAACGCTGTCAATCATTCCAACCATTCAATCACTTTCCTAGTCTGTCTGAGAGTACGTCAAGTGTGTCTCGCTCACAAGACTTTTTGGACGCTTGGTTTACCCTGTTTATAAACTCCTCGGGAGCAGCGTGGGATACAAGTGAGTGCCCTCCCGACCAAACCTCAGTCGGACACTCGTCTAACCATACCGCCACCAAACAGTATAACCCAGAAAAAAAGAGACCCCTCTATTTTTCCCTTCAACGAGATTGACCGCTGTGGTCCCCCACGCACCACTATTCAACCATGATTTTCACGCGCGGTGTCTCCCTGACGAATTTCGTCATTGCCAGTTCGGCCCTGGCCTTCCAGGTCTTTGTTCTCTACCCGTGGCACGAACGGCTAGACGAGGAATTTCGACGCCTGAAGCAGGAGCACATCAACATTCTCCACCAGGGCGAAGAGGTCCGACTCGGCGAACTGAAAGGAATCAACGAACAACTCAAGAAACTCGGCCATGGCCAGAAATAATGACTTGACATCTGACAACACAACAAGAAGGGGAGCCATGCAATGATTTTTTTTTTTCTACAAAATACACCCGGGAGTTTGGGGGGAACTTGCAGCATTAGAGCGGAGTTTTACTTCTTGACGATTTCTATGTGTGTTATGTGGCCGCGATGCGGGGAGTCCATCATTGTCACCATGGTGGTGTTCCCTTTCTTCTTCTTTCATTTTCTTCCGGCTACTTAGAATCTATACACATAGACACTCCTAGACGGCAGACCGGCAGACAGGCAGACAACAAGGCAACAACAGACAGGGGGACTATTTTGCTCTACAAGAACGAGAACAAGTAGAATAGAAATCCAGCGGGAAGGGAAAGAGGGAAGAGAGAGTTTTCTTCCTCTTCCTCTTGTTCTTCCTTTTTCTGATAACTGAGATCTGATAATTGAGAATTGAGAACTGTGCTGTCCTCACCAAAAAAAAAATATCTCATTTTTCCTTCCTTTCTTCCAACCAACCATCCAACCACCCAGCGCAGATGACATGACCTGGGTGAAAGGGAATTCTCGGTACAAAGTGAACCGGGAGCGAGGTCGGATCGATTCGATTCAATTCAATTCAGCTCAGCAAGGGTGCGAGAGTGCGAGGTTGACTCGACTCGACTTGATGTGCATGTGCATGTGCCACCCTCTACCATGTATCGTATTTACCGAGTATGTGCCTCGGCGTTGCGCCGACATGGACGGGGAGATGGACATGGAGATGTCCTTGGTCATTCCTTGGTTCCTTGGTTCACTGGTTTCTTTCAAGGTGCGCTTGCGGTCACATGTACAAGTACATGTAAGTACGAGGTACAGGGATGTAGATATTGTATCTGTCCCGATAACTCGGGATGAGTACCGAGTACTCGTAGATAAGATAAAGCCCCTCTCAGTTTCATGTACCCTGTCCTGCCACCCTGTCCATGTATGTATCTATGTACTCGGTACTTGGGATGTAGTTAGGTAGGCAAGTACTCGGTAGGTAGTCGGTAGTCAGCCCCGCACTGATTCTCCGAATCGAGGCCTCCCATCTTAATCTTATCATGCACATACATACACAGATACAGTACATACTCGACTCTCTTCTTCACCTACCTACCGTGGTTAGACTAGGTAGGTACGGTATACGGGTATCTAATCAACTGTCAAGACTCTGCATTTGTATCAAGGACATTACAATACATACACGTACAAGTTTTCACGGAGCGAGGAACTCGTTACAAGATAAAAGGCATCCCACTCAGTCAAACCATTTCTACCGCGTGCAGACTAGGTAGGACAACCGCAATTGGGAATGCTCGGGAGAAGCCATGGAATACAGAGCGAGCAAGGACAACGAATCCATAAACAAAGATATACACATGCACATGCACATGCCTCTCTCGAGGATAGTATTCAAGAGCTTTTCTGTGCCAATGCGCTCGAGAAGACCCCGGCACATTGTCTAGGAGTCGGATCTTGTCCACCCTCAAATATGATATCAGTCCCTGATTCAATAAGTCCAGCACATATTCCCCCTCTCCCTTTGCATATCTCTCCAAACGGCTACAATGCTGGATCCACATTCATCAAATCATCACTCATGATATGCAGCACCTGCGTAAACGTCCGTAACCTCCTCCCACTGATCCCATCCATCAGGTTTGCAAAGTCCAACAATACCCTCCTGGCACCCTCGTAGCCACCACTGTGTGCCACCCCACCCAGAGACAAGGCGCCGCCATATTTGACAAACTGATACACCAAACTGAAATGCTCGTCCTCGCGGTTCGTGGTGAGATTTCGTTCGGCCGTTGCAGGGTCCAGGCTTTCGTCTTTGAACCCCATGTCACCCAGCTCAGCCCAGTCGGGTTCTGCGTCCATAAGCTCAACGGGCGCTGTGCCCTGCCGACCCGAGCTCGGGTTGACCATGAAGAGATAGAGACCGAGGACGAGTGCCGAGGCGAAGAGCGCTGTTACGCTATGGACGGTCACGTTGTCGCTGACCCGGCGTTCAGACATGAGTTTGAAGTTCTGCGCTGCGTGAACACATGCTCTGCGCGCCGCCTGAGTTTGGCTCCATTGCGAGATGTTCTCCAATGCGCCCGTCGCAGGAGCAGCTCCATGTCGACCGGCCGCCAACTCAAACATGCGAAAGTCCGCCAAGAGCATAACACAGAGACTGTGCCAGAGGACGACGCAATTCGTGTCGTCAACTTGCGAAAGCGGGCCTGCCGTGTGTGTAGCCGCGAGGACTGCCGGTACGAGTGTGCTGGCGCGTGCATCACCTGCATAGACATGCCAGGGGATGTATGACCCAATGGTCAACTGATCCGACGGCATGAGCCGTTGATAGGCTTCCAGAACTTGGATCTGCAGTAATGCAAGTAGTGACGATCGCCCCAGATATCCTAGCTTGGCAATTGGTGCCATATCATGCTTATGGAGGTCCTCAATCCTGAATGTTGGCGCACTTTGGCTCTTTCCGCTGCGCAACAGAGATTGCCATTGGGTGGCGGACTGGGCCTGGAAGAGCACTTCGTCGCAGGGCGCCACGACACACACGGATTCCGATCTCACAATCGGCGCCTTTGACAACAAGTTCGCGAACCACGAATCACACAGCAGCAGCCCCAGAATCAGGCGCTTCGCCGACTCTATTCGGCTCCACGCTTTCCAACGATCGTCTGATTCCGACATTTCGGACAGCAGAGCATCCAGAGACTGCCCATCTCCGGCCGCGAACAATCCGTTCTGTTGAACCATAGCCAAAAGGCTGACATAAAGCATCTGACTCTGGTTGACGCAATCTTTATCCCCTGTGATAACAGAGAGGTTCAACGTCAGCAGACCTGTTGCAAACAGGACCATTTGCTGCGTCGGTGTTGCGGAACATCCTGCACAGGCTGATAAATCACTACAAACGCGTTGTAAAAAGCTGGGGAACATCTTCGACACAAATCTGGTAGCGCCGGTGGTTCCCAGAATACTCAAACCAATAAGACATATGGCGAATAGCATGGGGGCAGGGGTAGTGCGAACGGAAAACGTCGCAACGTGAATAAATGGGACAGTGGGATGAAACCGGCGGAAAAAAAGGCCCAACGCAATATCGAGGATTTCGGCAGGAGGGAATTCTTCGTTCGTTGGTTGTGAAGAGAGAGCTGGATCCACAACTGCTTGCAGTTTGGGAGAGTGGTATGTCGACGGGGCAGGAGTGCGAAAGGTATCTCTGAGTCGAACTCGACATTCAGTGTCGAGACCCCAGTTTGACGCGGTCCGAAAGTCATCTGCAATAGGCGACTCTGAGAAGAGATTGTCCATTGGGGATGTAGCGACTTCTCTCCAGAGAACTGGCATGATACGATACACGCGGCCTGGACGTGGGTTCCAACATCGCTGGACTCTAGAGAAGCGTTCCCGCGGGACCTTGGCGATATTTTTCGTCCTGTCCACAGGGTCGTAAGGCTTACCGTTGACCAAATCTTTTGAGTCCTGGTATGGCTGCTGAGGGTCAGGGATGCCATACGTTTGCAGGAAGTCGGGAGATTGATCCAAGTCACCCAGCGAAGGAAACAACCACATCTGGAAAGGATCGTGAAAGTTGCTGGTGCTGGAATTGTCCGGTTGAGGAAGCCAGTCAATGCGGCTGTCCGAATATTGGTTGGGCACGATCTCGGATCTGGGAGTCTGTCCAGGATTATGAGGGCTGGTCGCCGAAGTTTCAAAGGCCGACACTTCGCCGCTGTTCTGCGATGGAGAATGTTTCTGACCGTGCGAGGAACTGGACGTCTTGTTGTTCATGGTGGCGATGGTGGAAGGCATCGTCCATGCTGACCCAGGGAGCTGGATGTTAAGAGCATTTCCAGGATTCGACGAGGAATCGAGAAAAGGGTTAGAGACATCTATCGAAGATTGTCTGGCAGGTTGAGAGGGATCATTCCCAGTCTGAGAGAGATAGTTGCTGGGGGAGAGAATCTGCATCAAAGGGATACCCGTATGGGGTCCGCTGGCAAGAGCGCCAGGAGAGTTGAGGTTGAATTCATCCTGTGAAGGCTGAGGTGGGACACCTTCTGAGATGGTGTTCCTCCGTGATGAAGCATTGGCAGGGGTTGATTTGTCGTTCTTTTGGGCGTGGCATTTCATATGCCGGAACAAGACATCGCTAGACCATGGTTAGCACGACGTCCAACCACAAATAGGAGCTTAAAGGGAGCACGAACCTGCGAGAGAAAGCCTTGTCACAGATAGTACATGGATAGGGACGTTCCCGCGTATCTAGAAATGCATGAGTAAAAGGCTAGCGCGGGGTAGGCGGGATTTGACATACGAGAGCGCTCATGGCGCTTGAAGTGTTCAGTCTTTGTGAAACGACGGCCACATACGGTACACTGTCGCAAGACCATGATTTGGGCATATGTGGAGGGGGACCTGGAGCGAGGATGTGGGAGAGGTGTTGAATTGGGAAAAGAATGTGGGAGCGGTGGAGGGAAGGAAGGTAATTGAGGTTGAGACTCTGTAATGGTTGAGCAGACGACTAGTCAAAATAGCCTAGAGATCTGGGAGCGTTCGTCCTTCAAGCCCAGGGTCTAGTTTTGAGCACTCTGCTTGTCAGAAGCCCAGACAGAGAGGGCGTCAGAGGGAGACCGAGTGAGGAGCGAGGAGGGGCGAGATGGGTGGAGGAGAGGCAGAGCAGACTCCTGTGACTGCTGATTTGTGTGTGGAAGCCCCGACAGAAAGAAAAGGTGGAGGGAGGCTCCAAGGATGAGAACGAACCCAGCGAATTGGGAGTCGACAAAACGAAGAAGAAGATGGTGAGTGGAGGAGCGTTCAAGGACCCGTGGATCTCAGGATTCCAAGGAATTTTTTCTGGGGTTTCAAGCGCAGTTTGTCGGGTCCGGAGAATCTCAACTACCGCGTCGCAGGACGCAGCCAGCCAGTTCACAGACTAGGCATGGGCGCAGGCATTTCTTCATCGATTCCTTTGCTCAATCCTCACTCCTTTTACTGTACAATACGAGGTACACGCTCATCAACTAGGGAAAAAGCTGGAGTGTCAAACAACAATACAAGGGAGCTTGGAAACGGTCAGCTGCCCCAACCTCCCCCGGTGCCGACAGCCACGTTTCGAGCGAGATGGTGTTTCCCCCGTCCATAAGATTTCTCCCTCCACTCCTCCACAAACCCCAGTAACACAGTGGATCTGTTCGGTAACAGAAGAATCCCCGGAAGCTGGACGAGAAGAGAATAAGGCACGCTAGAGCTGCCCTCTTTGGGGTTCGCCCCGGCCACTTAGCCGGTTTTGACTGGGGGGCAATGATGGGGCTTTTCCAGGCTTTGGAATTTACGGAGTAGGCGCTGCAAGCCCTACGAGCACGAGATATCCTTTGGTGCTGCTGGATTTTGAGACCCGCGACCAGGACGACATCTGCACTTCGGGAACGTGTAGGTACAGAGTACGGTAAGAAAATGCACGCTTTGGGAAAAAGGACTATGATCTTCAGCAAGACCATTCCATGATTGAGTAGCCCGCCTTTTTTGTAGGCAAGCTGCGTTCCATACCAGCAATGATGATGAAGACTTGGGTGCTTCGCCTAGGGCAGAGCCAGCTTGTTCATCCATTTGCCTGCAGTATGTTTCTTTTTCATTTCAACATGTTTTTGTCCGCCTTTCAAGACAATAAGGGAAAGCACTCAAGACAGTTCTCCGTAACGCCTACGCTTCGACGACGCGCCAACCTGGATTCTCTTCAAAGAGGAGTGGATTTTGACAGGAATGAAACCGTGGCTCCACATTCGCCAATGCGTCTCACGACATGGCTTCCTCCAATCATGCCAGTGCTGTTGTTGGTACAGGTGTCAAAGACGGTCTGCGCTGCGGCTGCGATCTCCAGATAGGAGACCACACATCTTCCAGGTGTCCATTCCTCATTGAAGGACAGGTGCATGATGCAGCTGTTGAAGGCCTGTACGTTTCCAGATCAGCATTTCTCTCCCTTTTTGCTTCTTTGTGGAGACGAGGACGGTAACAGAAAGAAATGACGGACAAAGGACAAAGAGCACACAAGGACTTACCCCAATCGTGATTCCGTTGCCTTTAGCTGTGTTTGACAGTGGAACAACGTCGGCACCGCGATCAGTCACATCAGCCAAAACCTCCATGCAGTCGGTGGCGTTGACATCCTTGTGGTCATTGCACACAGCACTATCGGACTGCGATGCCAGAGTTTTGAACTGCGAGGCAAACCATATGTCCTTGTAGGCATTTGTCAGCCCCAGGCCACGGGGCAGACGAACGCCTGGCTTGTTGAAGGGGCTTTCTTGATATTTGTCCTCCAAAGGCTCGAGAGTGTCGCAGTTGAGGTAGACAAACACTGCAACGCCACGGACGACACGCGTGAACCAGTAAAACCGATCTGTGACTGTCACGGCCTGACTACAGCATGCATTGCCGACTGTTCTCGTCGATTTGCACTCTGCCGCCGGGTTGTTGTACTTGTCCAGTTGGCCTTCGGTGTAGGTTCCACAGGTGTCACGCATGATGGGAATGAAGGTGAAATATCCACATTCATTGTGCTTGAGGTCCTTGGAATATTTGAAGCTTTCACTCTGGCCAGCCTTTTCATTGTAGCCACCAGCAACGCTAAACACACTCACGTCAGTCTTCACCATTTGCCATTATGAACTCGGTACTAACCCAGCAGTGAAGGGTCCGGTCTTGTAATTGCCATTCAGCTTGAACTTCCAGTTGCTGCCAACATGTCTGTTTTCGGTCAAGGTGCAAGAGGTTCCTGTTTTGTTCCCAACATCACAGATTGTCATCAGCTTGTGAATCTCACTCGGATAAGGATGAAGTGCGAGACCATGGACTTACCGCCAGTGCACATGGGCATGACATGATAGGGTACCTCTTGCCCATAGCGGAACTCGGTCCTCATCTCACAGAAGCTGGCGCAGTCAACCACGTTGAACGACCCTGGGTCGTCCTGACAGTCACCGCTGCCCGGCTTGAGCCGAAATCGAGGTGGGCATACGTCGGTGCCGTACTCGTGGTACAACACTGGCATCGCATCGGTCCAGGTGCAAATGTTCGCTGCGGGAGCCGAGACCTTCGCAAACACCGGAGAGGAAAGGACGACGAAGGAGACGGACAGAGCCAGGACGAATTTGGCAGACATTGTGAAGGCGTGGAAGCGCATTGTCACAGTGTCAGCACACAATGTAGGGCTGGATGAATGAACAAAAGGTCGAGATTGGAGGGAACGAGACAGAGAGGAGAGAGAAAGACGACAGATGAAGGACTGTTGGAATTGATCGAAGCGGACCTTCTTGGAGTTGTAGAGACTTCAAGATGGGATGGATGAAGAGGCTTCTCATTCCTCTGTGGAAACACGACCTTTTCACTGATGTATTTTCACAATATAGCCAAGAGGTGCACCAAAACATCACAGTCGGCACTAGTCCTGGGGTCCGTAGTGACATCCAAATAGAAGAGGAAGTATAGCCGGGGAGTGTTCGACAAAGATGCCTTGTATAGAATGGCATATGGTGACAGGGAAGAAGTAACTGGAGGTCAGGTGGCGACAAGTGAATTTGACCGTCGTAATATCACGGAAACTGCAAGCTGGTTTTGGACCGAGTGGGTTTCGTTATCTCTCCCTCCACAAACCCCCCTCCTTCGTTTTCCTATTGTTGGTTCTTAATGTGATTCTCCCACGACATGGGTCTCGCGATGCATCTTGGCCAGCCAGGTCTTGCTGGTGGCGATGCGGATCTTCTTGCCCAAGAACATGAACACCAGGAGCATGAGGTTGTTGGCCATCAGGACGCCGCAGAAGACGCCAGCGATGATAGTCACATAGCCGCTCTCGAGGATCCAGTCGAGGATCTTGAAGCCAAAGCCGAATGAGATGGCCTGTTTGCCCAGGTTCATAGCAATGAGCATCTCGGAGAGATTGACCGTGTAGCTGTCAACCGCGTAGGCGAGGGTGAAGGTGAAGTAGAAGTACGCCGACCAGTTGCACATGGCCACACCCGCAAAGTAGCCGATCCAATGCAGATTATCCTGCGCCGTGTACCCATAAACGATCAGGCCGGCCGGCCCAATCAGCATGGCAGGCAGGAGAACACCCAGACGCATTTCAGCCTCGCGGATCCCATTGTTCTTCTTGGTCAGATACGCGGCCAGTCGGTCGGATGACGTGGTGAAGGGGATGGCGAGGATGTATCCGAGGGCATTGCCAACAGCGATCAAGCCGGAATTGGTCTATAGTTCAAGTATGTCAGTTTTCATTTTGACCCTTTCCGAGGCGATAACAGGGGTTGTCGCATGCTTACCTGACTCCAGTTGTAAGGGGGAGCAACAATCTTAGCAGGGAAAGTATAGTTGAATGCCAAAGCCCCCAGACCAATGTAGATACCATATGTCGAAACCACCCAGAACACAGATGGAACGGCGAAATATGTGAAAGATCGGGCGGCAGTCATGAAGAACGAGACATCACGATCGTACACGCCCCACAGCTTGAGCGTAGAAACAAATGACTTCCTGTCCGGCGCAGGGCTTGAAACCTCGTGCAAGTCGGCCCCGACACCTTTCTCGATCGGAGAAGCCTCAACGGCCGCTCCGAGGACTCTCTTCATCTCCTCACGCTTATACCAGGTTTCTTCGACAAAGAAGAAAGCCAGGATGAACAGAGCGCACGCGAAGGCGAACTCGACGTAGAAGAATAGCCGCCACGAGTAGCCTCCCGCAAGCATGTAGCCAGCATATAAAGGTCCGGTGGCACCCAGGCAGAGGCAAACGGTGTAGTAGCCCAACCTCTGGCCACGTTCGTGAAGGAAGAAAATGTCATTGACAAGCTGCACGGGCAGAGCCTCACATACTCCAGAACCGAACGCATGAATGATGCGACATGCCATTAGAGTGCCATATGAGTCGCATTGAGAGCAGCCGATCAGGCCAACAGCAAACTGAGAAGTCAGTGTTAGCTGATGATTGAGCTCTGGATACACACATCCCAAGCAGGATGAGCGGACTTACAAAGATGATGGAAACGAGCATGACAGGGCGTCGGCCAAATTTAAGATAGGCGGGGACCAGAAGCAAAGACCCAAAGCCATAGGCCAGGTTGGGATAGGAGATCAGGTTTGAAGCCTTATTGGGATCAATCCCGAACGATTCCGCATAGATGCCAATGTAGACCGACGGACCGAGCAAGGACGAGTTCCCCAAGAAAGAATACGCTGCGCAGATGCACAGAATCATTGTCTTCTTGAAGTTGCCCCATTGTAGCGGGTCGTTGGGATCGTCCGCTGGCACGGGAAACAGAGCTTGACCGTAGCCGGTATCATCGCCCTCTAAACACGAAGTGTTAGCATCATGTAGACTTGGCTTTTTGTAAAGCTTTGAGCCACTTGGCTTGGGCTCGAGCTGTAGGTGGGCTAATGCGGCGAAAGTACCTTGAGCTTGCAAATTGACAGTTCCAGGAATAGCCTCTTCGTGAGCATGGCTAGCCAACACAACGGGATGTCAGTAAGTATTGAGAATCCACCAGACAAACATCAGGCGATTTTGCGTGACTCACCTGTGCTTCAAATGGGCTGGATGGTGGCCGTGCTCATGCTCTCCCGTCATGGTGGGCAATATCTGTAGAGTGTCCGGCTTAGGATATCAAGGGGGAACAGTTTGAACCTGGCCACAGGATGGAACTGAGAGAGAGGAACGTGGTTGAAGATGAAGCGAAGGCCATGTGGCAGAGCAGGAACATCGATCGACTTTTCATAATAAATGAAGCACAGATCTTTCCCATTCGGCCATATTTTTTTTCTGGGGCCATCAAAAGTCTAGGTTTAGGCCTCAATTAGCCGTTGCCTCCCACTCTTGTGCTTGCCAACTATCCCCCTTCCAACGAAGGGTCCCTCTCCTCCGCCTTCTGTACCTATCAAGCATGTTCGACGAAGGAAGCGGTGGGGCGACGAGGCGGGGTCTCCACCCCCTTTGGCAAGCAGAGGATGTACTTGTAATGGGGCTCTCGCGCCGGAAATACGCCAGTCTTGGGAGTTCCAATAGTGAGTGTGCGGTATTGGAATGGATAAGGGCCGACAGTTGACTGGGGAAGCTTGCAGCTGGGTGGTTTCTCCGCCGGAGAGCGGGTTCCCGGCAGATACTAAAGAGGCGCTAGGTGACGGCGTCATGATGTGGCTCATGCCCTTGGATGAACAAATCAACAAGTCTGGAAATGGTCAGTGGTGGAAGAGAATTCTGGGATCTGCCAGCAACGTGGGATTCGACTGGATCGTCGTTTGCAGGTTGCCTTTGTCGGTCTGAACTCATCCGAGTAGTTGTGCTGGTTGTGCTGGTTGTACCAATTGCCACCTGGGCGATGGGTCGTTGATTTAGACCCGCGTCCAGACCGCATTCTTAATGATCCGGCGAAGCCCATGGTGCCCTCCCATGCTCCATAGCCAGTAGAGCTAGCGTCGATGTGATGGATGCTGAAGTAGAAGATCCGAAGGAGCGTAACAAATCTGACTTGTCGTAGGGAACGAATAATAACCACATTTACCCGGCGCCCAGATGCTGGCGAGTGGCTGGGCAATGCTCGGTCATTATAGCAGAAGCCTGCGTTCACGGGGTTTCGCTGGATTCCATTCCGATCATCCTAATGCCACATGATTCTCTTTTCCATCTCCCACTTCCTCCAACAATCAACTTAGAGACGTCTGGGGAGCTCCACACGGATTCGGGCAATGCCATCTACTTGTGGGTACACACTGTTGAAATTGTAGACTTATATGCAGGAGATACATTCGCAGACACAAAACCCCCTGAAGAGTATTTTGCACCCGGACGCTCACATGAACCAGTTTAAAAAGATCTATGGCAGCTCTGGCTGTTGCAAAGTTCGATGATTGCGACCCAAAAATCACAGTCGACTCTGTGTGCCCGACTCACGCCGCAAACCTGGTGTTAAGTTAGCATTCCAAAGCAAACTCAGACTGTCTCTATAAAAGCGAGAGAAAGGGGCACACTCACCTTTCCAAGCCTCCTCGGCCTTTGCCTCAGCATCCCAACTCCACAGGAATTTCTGCATCTCCGGATCCCCCCATTTATCGTCGTTGGAGCCACCCGATGACAAGACCTTGAACTTCTGATCACGAGCTTCCTGCTCGGGACCATCGGGCAGATGAAGAGCGGCTCTGGTCGCCAAGCAGGTTTGTTGGATGTGCTCGGCTCGGGCTTTTTGAGCCTTTTCGTAGGCTCGAAGCGCAGCAGGGATTTCGTCCTTGGATGATATCGACGAGAGGACCACTCCTAGCGAGGCTGCGTCTTCCACAGCTTGCGCCGCACCTTGAGCAACATATGGTCTGCCAACAAGATCAGAATCACTTCAGGCAGAGAGCAAATCAAAAACAAGGGGCAGTACATACAACATGGGATGGCACGCATCGCCCAACAGGGCAACCGAATCTCGGACCCATCGTAAAAGGGGCATGTGCATGCACAATTTCCACTCCAGAACATCGCCTTCGGGGACAAGATCCAACATCTTGATCAGATTCGGATCCCAGCCTTCGTATTCCGACAGCAGGTTCTTCTTTGATGTGACGGTTGTCCAGCTCTCGTCAACGCGCCCACGATCAGGGTGAGCAAGTGCCACATTGCTGGGTTCGCGATTAGCATGTACTTCGGCCATATCAAGGAAAAAGCTACTTTGGTAAGTCATCAGTCTTCGGACAAGAGACACTTACTAGATCTCATGGTTGCGCACAGGATAGGCAATGATATGTCTTCCTGGTCCAACCCACCGAATTGCCTTCTTCTCTTCGATATACGGCAACAGATCCGGGTGCTGGCTCAGAGTCTCCTTGGTGAGGACGACCCTGAAGACGGCGTCTCCGGTCGGTATCGCCACGTCTTTGTCGTCTCCCAGGAGCTTCGCACGGACCATGGACTTGATACCGTCGGCCGCGAGCACCACGTCTCCATGAATCGTCGACCCGTCATTGAGCTCCACCGCCGGCGGACTGAACTGGACATTCTCGACTTTTGTGTTGGTCTGCAGCTTCACATTGCGCAGGGCCATTGCTTTCTCCAGCAGAGCCATTTGCAGGTCAGCGCGATGCACGACAAACTGCTCGCCATGGGCTTGGTTGATCGGGACGTTGCCCAGGAGAGATCCTCCCTGCCACCGCAGGATATGGATGGCCCCCAGGGCGACACCCGTTCGTCGAACTTGGGCGCCTACGCCCCACCGATCCAGGAGCCGGAGCATGTTGGGTGCACACTGGATCCCGGCTCCGACCTCCTGGATCTCGGGGGCAAATTCGATAACGTGGACATTGTGGCCTCGTTTCCCAAGAGCCAATGCCGCAGCCAGTCCTCCGATGCCCGCCCTATGGTTGTCAAAAAGGTGTCAGTTTGTATCTCGTTGGGATTCGGTCCTCCATTGGACCGTTGAATCGTGAATTTACCCTATTATTATCACCTTCAAGGGAATACTGGCGCGAGCATATTGCTTCTCCCTGTTCACTTCTGAAGATACCCCCATCTGTGCTTTGTCGTCGGTCACGGAGCTTGGAGATGGTTTGATATACAATGTACCAGACACAGACCCCGGCTCCAGCACTATACCACGGCGGTTATGTTTGGGATATGGTTGGATGGATGGACAGCAGTTAAGAAAGACCAGAAGGCGTTCCCTCTCGTTTATCGGCGTAACTCACTCTCTGGACCGGTGAACGGTGAATGTACGTGTGTGTATATATGTAAAACGTCCAAGAAACAAATTGAGAATCAACAAAAAGGCATCGATACGAATACCATCCGTCCGCTCAGTTTAAAGAGAAAACCGCGAGAAAATGGCATCTCCGAGTCGACGAGGCTATTGTACGATTAGGAGGGCGATCAACGAACAACCCAACACAACCCAACCCGCCTTCTTCGCCCACTCGTGGGGCCCATTCTAGACCCGGCAGATCCAAAGCTGACCCCACGACAACAACATCATCATCATCATCATCATACTCGTAGGACTGGCAAACTGGCAGGATGGGAGTCCCGGCAGGACTGAGGAGGTGGCTCAGTGGGCAGTGGGTAGTGGGCCACAGATGTCTGTCTGTCAGTCTGTCTATTCTTCCTCAGTTTTTTTGGTGTCCTTCAGCCACTGTTCGAAAGAGCCTGACTCTCCGAAGCGGCGAAAAGTCCCCACTTACACTTGCACAAGTCATACCAGATCCCTGTGATCATGGATATATGTACTTGTACCCGTATACAATCGACCGGGATAGATGAGCATAGGTAGCGGTGACAACAAACCTCCCTCTGGTTCCTGTCACTTACAGTACTTACTTCTCAGAGCACAACTTATGCGTAGGAAAAGGTATGTGTACGCTCGAGCATCTTGTAATGTAATATACGTGACATGGCGATGATCCTGAGTTTTTCCACCATTAAAAGCTCGAATTTGCAATTGACAGATTAAAACTGATATGTAGGTAGATAGGCAAGGAGGTAGGTAGGTAGATAAGTAGGTAGGTTGTGTGATAGAGAGGCCTGATCCCCAAAAAACCAACAACACAAACTTCGCAAACATGTTTCCCATTCCCATCCCCATCCCATTCGTGTCCCTCGTTTCCAATGCCATGAGAATCCCTCAGATGCAACAGACCAAGAAAAATCGAAAAAAAAAGGGCAAGGGGGGAGGCAGACTGCCAAAGGTGATAATACACAAGGGAAAAAATAGGACAGTAGAACCCAAAAACATCCAGCTACCTTTGGAGGAGGCAACATACCACATGTTCTGAACCCCGGAACTCATCAACACTCAGTGCAACCGCCTCCTTCTGTCCCTCCCCAAACAAAAGAGCCGATACCAAGGCATGATCAATAAAAGAGGATAGAGAAAGGACGATGAAACACCCCCTTAGAAAAAGAATAGCCCACAGGTGCTCGCAATCCACCTTTTCAAATGCATCCCGCATCCCTTCCATACGCTTCACTGTGCACCCTCCCAACATGAATTGCTCAGCGATCCAAACCCCCCAGATGATTTCTCTTATGCCTGCCACGCTATGCAACACCTCCTCGATGCGTTTCATAAGTCAAAACCCCAAGAACAAGATATCTGACTGTATCGGCCATTGTCCTGTGCTGTCCTGTGATCCAGGTGGCGACCAATGAACTGAGTATACAATTCTCAGAAATAAGTCGGATCCTGTCCGACTTATGATGCATGTTGCAAAGGAGAAGAACCCCTCGTCCATTAACAATCTCCAATTCTTTTTTTGTTGTGTTGTTGTGTTGTATGGTGTCTTTAAATCTCAAAATCAATCCGAGTCCCAGTCCTACTGGAATCCTTGTGTCCACTGTCCACCGCCCTGACCCTGGTTCTGAGGTCCAGGCCATCCTTGTCCATGTTGAGGATTGGGCTGCATAAACTGGTTTTGTCCGCCCATGGGATAAATGCCTCTCTGGCCAATCCCAAGAGCGCCATATCCTGCAGCGGCATTCATCGCCTGCAATCCTGCTCCAGGCCCGTAGAGCTGCTGTCCTCCGATTCCACCAGAACTCCCTTGATGATGGAGCAATGGCATCTGTGGTGGCTGCATTTGTTGCGGATGTGGTGATGGACTAGCGTGTTGTCCCCCGGGTAATGGCGAAGGGATCTGTCCTTGGGCTAAGCTGGGCGAGAATTGAGGTGTGGTCATGCGATGGACAGCTGGAGATTGGTGAGGCTGCGGTGGAGGAGCTCCCCAGTTCTGTTGTTGCTGTTGCTGCTGCTGCGACTGTGACTGTGGCGGCTGCGGCGGCTGCTGCTGTTGCTGTGAGTTGATTCCATGAGGGAAGCCTCCACTCCCAAAGGGCAGGGCTTGTGGTTGGGAGCCCGGCTGCGAGATAGAAAGACTTGAAGATCTTTGATAACCTGAGTGTTGAGGAGTGTATTGAGATGATTCCCTCGAGAAAGGTTGTTGCAGATTTGGTTGACGGACTGGCGACTGAATAGGAGGTTGTTGGTGGGGAAATGAAGGTGGGTTCATCGAGGATGGTAGAGGTTGAGAAGGATGAGACATTGTATTAGGCTGGGTGGAAGGAACATCGCTCGTGTTGAATCGGGGAGACGAAAAAGGATGAGTCGTGGGAACAACTTCAGCAGCTTCCGCAGGAGGTGTCGATACAGGCGGTTCATGCGGTCTGCGCCAGTAGTCTTCGACAAGCCCGCGCCTATATCGATTTTGTTGATTGATGGTCTTGCTGTACTCGGCCGCATGACTGGCTTGACTGGCCAATTCCGCATCGGAAGTTGATCGCGTCAGATCTTGGTATGGCGGGCCTGTGATTTCATGCCTCGGTCGCACGATATCCTTGTACCGAGACTCGTAGGCAGGGTCGAATGAAGCCAATTGCGCCATGGTTGATGCGATCCCTGAATGAAGAGCTGGCGGTTGCACGGCACCATAGCCGGGGCCATTACTGTAAACAATGTCACCATAGGCCGCAGCGGCGGTCGCGCGAGCATTGAGCTGGTCCTGGGCTGCGGCCTCCCTAGCTCTCGCCGCTCCAGGTCGCTTCTCACCAGCAGCATCCTGTTCAGTAAATCCTTGCTTGATAGCTTTGGCTTCCCAGTAATCGTCTCGAACTCTTCGACCGTCTTTGATGACGCGACTGCCGAATTGTCGAAACATTGAACGCGCGGTTACAACGGCGATCTGGCGCGACCTGTACGAATAAGGCAGGATTTCGCGGTTGACAAGCTCTTCCTTCTCCTTGACACTAGCAATGATCTTGAAGAGGGACCGGTTTTTGTTGAAAAGGAGATATGAGTCTCGATACTGAAGCTGGCGCGCGCATTCGGTTGCCAACATAAACAGCTTTTGTCCTCTCCCGGGAAGGGTAAATGTCCTGATCTTGTACTCCCGCCCCCCTTGCAGGTAGCCCAAATGGTCCACCTTTTTCTCGCCTGCATCGTCAAATTCGCGCGGCACGTATTCGTCTCCTTCAGGTTGCAGCACGTCGCTGGTATGGTCCCTAACCGTAGGCAGCGCTTTGATGGTCGACTTGGGAAGGGTTCGCGGCGGTGATGCTTGCACTGGCGTGGAGGCTGGAGGTTGTGGGCCGCCTTGATGTCTAGGTGTCTGGGTCAGCTCTGGTGAGGTCTGACTGGCGGGCGTTGGGAGAGCATCGGCATTTCCAGTATAGTCTCCAGACGTTCGAGGTGTTTTCGATGGTCGACCACGTTTGCGCGGGCCTAGTAATCGTGGTGTCAGTGAAATCCGACGCGTCAAACAGCGGCGTCGGGACTTACCGTCATCATCGCCTGGATGATATTCACCATATTGTTCGGGAGATCTGCTTCGTTTGATACCACGCGGGCCCGAGTCGGCCGATGACTGTATCAATCCACCTGTTACACATGGGCAGTCAGCAAAGGCACGCGGCGGAGAATGTCAATCGAACGAGAACCCGACGAAGTCCGCGATGCGCCATTCATGAGTCCAAGGGTCACGTCCTCGACCAAGACATACGCATGGAGGTGTCCCCAGTGGTCAGGTTGAGGAAACCAATAGAAAAGGACATACCACTAGCGTTCAAAGCTGCAGGATCGATGGTTCCTGCACCATCGCTCATGTCGCCGATACCATTCAGAGCATTTGTAGGATGGCGAGTAGGTGGATAGATGGACATTTCAGCGCCGCGACGATGAAATGGTGGTGTTGGAGGGAGTGGTGGTGGTGGTGATGATGCGCAGGCTCTGCACCCGCATCAGCACGCCAGGAGCTGCCAGGCAGCACAGAGCTGGGTGACCCAAACTTCGAGATTTAGGGAGGGTGCCTGCGTCTGATGAGTGCCTCAGCACCCCGCCTCTTCAGTAATGTGCGACAACGAGAATATTGAAGTGCAACGAGGATGGCGATGGCGACAAACAGAAAGCCCGGCGCGGAAAGCAAAGCGTGCACAAGTGCAGAGCACGGTTGCAGGCGTGCAGGCGTGCAGCAAAAGTAAAGTTAGCGAGGATGACGAGGGTTATGCTGGAACCAGAGGCCGCGGCGGGAGGTAGATTGGTGGAGGTGGACGGCAAAGGATGCAGCTCGAACTGGGGGGAGTATTTAGTGTGGCAGTAGTGGCTCTTTGTGCCAAAAAAGACGCGCAGTTGGTCGGCTGGTTACGCCAGTCGGTCAGCCAGTGGTAGGTGTTTCTTTTGATCTGTGAGGTGCGTGTCGCAAGGTGCGGAAGTACAAGAGAAGAGCGGGAGATGGCGCTCGGAGCTTGCAGATGCAAGTCAAGAAATGGGTTGTTCCTCTTTTTTTTCTTTTCTGTCGCCTCTTCGCACTTGACCTGACGCTGACTGGTCCCTCGTTTCCCTCCGTGTGCCTAGGCAAAGCCCGTCAGTCGAAAGAGGTGGTCCCTCGACCCAAAATGGGACAGTGTGCTCGTAAAATGACGATGGTTTGCCGAGGGGATTCGAGTTTGGCGGCTTAGGGACGCGCAGGCCGATTATTTAGTGGTGGCGATAAACCCAGTGATGACACGTTAGAACCCGAGCCCAAGCGGAGTGATTGGAAGGACAGGGTTTGATGACGGTTGGATGAAATTGAAATCTGGGGAATGCGCGATGAGACTGAGAGATGATGATGATGATGGGATAAAAATGGAAGTGGGCGAGAACGCGAGATGACGGCTGATTGCTGATGGTGGTAACTGTAGAGTTGTGGTTCTGGGACTTGCGACTTGGGACGGTGCGGGCTTGAAATTTAGAGGGATGAACTGGGCACTTTGGAGAATGACCGATTAGACATCTCGCCAGGCAGGAATTGGTGCCAAAGTGTCTAAGCTTAAGGCGGGCGTACGCTGCGGGCGGGTGCTCCAGGCAAAGAGGTTTAGTGTATCTCGATATCCCTTGTACCCCTAGGGTGCCTAGGACAGGCTGGGTGGATCTCAACTGAACTACTACGATACACAGTTGCGCTTTCTGGGAGGTCTCTTCTTGTGAGAAATTTCCGCGGTACTGCCGGATAGCGAGGTAAGCGATTAGGTTGGGAGACTGTGAGCTGAAATCAAACAATGGGTGACTTTGCGAGAATGAGACGGATCCGATTCTCGATGATTGAGGAATTGTTTTTTTTTTCGATGGTTCTGGACTTGGATGAGATTGGATAGTACGGAGTAGAGCCTCGCAGCAAAGATGTGCGGGAGATGTGCGGCCAGAGAACGCGCCAGATGGCGAAAGAGGTGGGAAGGACGAGGGAAGTGTAGGTGAGGGAGGTGGCGGGGAGAGCGAGAGGGTGTGGTGAGTGGGAAGCAAGTAAGCCAATACCACAGCAGCATCCAGTGAGCGGCAGAGAAAACACGAGGTCTGAATCGGTCGGTGGTTGAGTTCGGGAACTGGTGGGGATTAGAGTCTGTCAGGGAGTCAGAGGGACAAGCTGATGGTATCAACCAAATAATGTATGTCCAAGTACGAGTAATGCAGCGTAGCTTAGCACCTCTTCAGAGGGATTCTTGGGCTACAAAGTGCGGGCGTGTGGGTATCCAGACGAGCATGCAGATGCTTTCATGCAGCAGCGGCCACGGCAGCCTACGATTGATTGCAAGTAAAGAGCGAGATACAGTTTAGGGCGGTACATGCGACCAGGGGGTGGTTCTTTAACTAAACTAGAACTTTTTGGGGGAGGGGAGGGAGTTCAGAATAGCAGTCGAAGGGGGGAGAAGATGCCGGGTAGTGGCCAGAGAAAACAGGGGGGCAGGGAACAGGGGGGTTCATTCCACTCATTGATCTACCCACTTGTACCTAGGTATGTATGAATGAGTGCGACGTCAACTTCTGCAGACTGGGCAGTCGGTTTTCTGTTATAGGATAGCGACAGAGATACTGTTAAAGCCAGTATCTACTCGTAAGGACCTACCTGATCAATACTCGCGTACGGGAATTTTTGTACAAACTCCAGCAGTCTGAGTAGGAGGTGGAGGGGGTAAATCACTCGTTGGGTGTGTCTTTTACTCGGCACTGATGACCAACCGCGCACTCGTTCTGGGAACTGACTCGGGTGCAGCGGCCACCAGCAACCAGCAACAAGGCCCAGCGAGCGGTACGAAAGGCTTCCGGCGAGGACCCGGGGTCCACTCAGTCAGGCAAGTCAGGTGGGCGCTGTGGGCGCTGCGGGCGTCATGGGCGCTATGGTCTCTGGCCTCTCTGGTGGATTCCATCAATTGACTCAAACTAGGCTCCCATTATTGGTGTGTCTTTCATCATCCATCGACGCTCCCACAAAACTCAATCGCAATTCACAGTATTTTGAAAGTTTGGTCTCTTGTCCTTCAGACCGGAACGAAAAACAAAGTGTGAGCATAACGCGAGCTAGAATCCAATTGCTCATGCTCATCGCATCATAGCCCTCCCGTCCGCATCCCACCATTCAGCTTGCGACGCCCTGTTCTCCTTCCGGCATCTCAGGTCATCTGCCCCTCCAGAACCACACGTCCAACCCCCTGTCTCGTGGCGGAAATGTCTATCCATGGCTCCCTTTTTCTTCGGTCACGGAGACCAACTAGCACCACTTGGCTTTGCCCGTCCATTCATCATACGGCCCTGGGCGAACCCGGGAAGCGCTGAGCCCATCGCTAGGCTAACCCTTCCCTCCATGTTTAATCCCCTTCGATTCCCAAAGAGCGCAAAGCTTCAGCAAGCCCGACTCGGGCTTTTCTTGATTTCTGGTCGCAAATCGATCGCATCGGCGAGTGACCATTGAACCATCTGTCAGCTGATACCATTGGCCAATCGCTCCAACATTCCCATGACCACCCTTGAGCCACTCAGCTCCTCGATTCCGCACCCACTCCCATGTCTGCCTCTCCACACGCCCCTCCTCTTCATGCAACGCCTCCACGCGAACTTCCCTGGCAGATGAGAAGCACCCAAGCCACCAAGCACATTTTATGTACGAGTACTCATAGCGACGACGGAAGAGTCACCCAGTCACCCAGTCACCAAGCGCTGGATAGCCCCACAAGCGGCTGGTCCACGGGTAGCCGTGCTCGTTCAGGAATCTGCTGCTCATGCTGACTGGCTCATGCTCCTCGGCCCAGGCAGTATACTTTGCACAAGGTCTGATATTTCAGTCCCTCTGGCACTGAGAAAGATGCTCATACTCGTGTTACTGTCAACAGATGGAGCATCCTAAGAGCAGGATGGCGTCTCCGAGATTTGTGCTTACTCAGGCATGTACAAGTATTGCACCTCGCCGTCGAGCCTTGGAGCGTGTAGTCTGGGTTTTGTTTGTACTGGTAGTCCTGGCCATGCAGGCTCTCTGATCTCACCTGTAGGTACCGTCGTGTTCCCTGGCCTCCTCCTCGCAATCTAGACCAGACTAGATTCTCTGGGCCTCTCTATCGCCTCACCATGACGAGCCATGCTCACCACCAAAGGCCGCATGCTCCGAGAGAGGCGCAGAATTTGTCATATCTGAGACGACTGTCATGGTGCTTCAAAGGCCAGCTGAACTCTGACAGAACCGTCAAACCGGACGGTGGCCCGAGCGCGGAGGCGTTCTCGAATTCAATCAGCTCCAGGCCTGCCGTTGCCATTGGATCCCTCGCACTTGGCTTTACATACTTCTGACTTGTGGGCACCTGGACCATCGGGAGATGCGACTCGATAGCAGAAGTATCTACTTCCCAATAGGGTTAACGAAGAAATTATGCCAGGGAAAGTTGCCTATCACACTTTGCAAGCTTCCTGACTCGACCTATTGCGGGAAAACGAAGAGATGCCAGAAGTATGCCTGGCGAAGACGGCAGAGGTTTCGATAAGCCAGGAATGGATCCTTCGCACGAGGCACACTGGCTTCTCGGGCCTCTTATCCCGATGCCTGTAGGTAACCCAGAAAGAGACGAAAGGGACACAGGGATGTGGTTCAAAAAGACTAAGCAGGCAATGTCTGTTTTCCGTAGTTGTATATCTGAGATAAAAGCGGAAACATGTTTGAGACACTTCCTCCATTTGACAGTAGTGATCATTGCGGCAGGGAATTTTAGAGGATTCTGAGCATGAAGGTGAAATGTTAGCTCACGACTGACTCGTGCCAAAGTGCCTCGGATAATCTGTTTCGCCAGATATCGAGTATTAATATTGCTTCCCTCCAATTGCGGCGTAGGGATTATGGGCTCTCTGGCTTGTCCGAAGGCGTACGGCTCCCACGAGGATCTTCATATAATTTGTTGGCCAAAACAGACATCGGAACGGCTTGCTGAGACTGTAAAGAGTTTCCATCCCGGTGGTCGTGGAGCGTGCTCCAGACTGTGGTCAACTGGAGTTTGAAATCTGGTTCGACCTCAGAAACACCACAGTAATGAGATGGGGTGGTTCTTGGTCGTGCTGGCGCTGTCTTCACAAGTATCGAGTACGTCTGTGATGCACCTGTCAGTGCTAAGCGATTGGTTTTGAAAGTCGTGCAACTGGGTCTCGCCGAGCCACCTGCAATTGCTGATCTCGCAAGCCTAGTTAGTGGCCTTGGTGGGCTCCAAGTCACCCAAGATCAACGGTGTCCGGGGACGTTTTTCGGCCCGCTCCAAGCTTGCACATGCGTGTGGTCTTGATCATAGTGGTGTGGCCTCCAACAGGCCCTCGTACAACAAGCGAGTCCGATCGCCGCAATGCATTGTTCCCAGTGTCTCCATCCTCATCCCTAACCCTGGCTTGCCCTGGAGAGCATTCAGTAAAGGCGGTTTTAATCTGCAGGCCCATGTTTGAGGCAGGCGTAACGAATGTCAAGCCTGTCCTCTCGTTGTAGTTAGGGACCATGCTTCATCACAATCATGACACAAGGACCTGTTGTTCAGATTGGACATCGAGACGGCGCTGGCCGAGACCCATTTAGTTGCAAGTACGGGGGGCACCAGGCCGGCTGCTCCATGCTGGATCTTGTTAGGTGTGACCCCCCAGCTCCGCCCTCTCGTGGTGGTGTCGAAGGGGCTCATCGGCGTTGTGATGCCGCGGAAGAGACGATGCGAGCCGCACTTGCAGCAGCCACCTGGCTTGCTAGTCCTCCGACTGACGTGCATTTGGCCATGCAAGATCGCCCCTCCCCCCCTTCACAGGCTGTGTGCCCATCTGCTGTCCAACGTCTTGTAGTTGGCGAGCAAGTTGGCTGCTCCATCAACCTCATCCTTTCCTCTTGCCACGCCCTCTATATTTGCCCCTGTGTCACTTTCCAACCTCGCCTCCTATCTCTGTGCATCACACCGTGGGTTTGGTACCCTTTTCATTGACAATATCAGACTTTTTTGTCTCGACAGCTATTGGCACAAGTGTAGGGCGGTCCCAGCTTTGAGGTTCGTGGTACCGAAAGGAAAGCAAGGATCGCTTGCGTGTCGCGAAGCATGGAGGACAATGATGTGGAGGAATGGTAGCAGGAATTGTGGGCAGCACCCGAGTCCGGTTTTTGGGTCTTGCGGTGTGTTTCATGTGTTTGATCAGATTCATGATCACCACATTGTGAAGGGTGTTTCAGTGATTGGCACTTGCCTGCCACCGAGAAATTGGTGGTCCAATCCATGGATGCAACTGAAAAACAATAATCTACTCGGTACAGTGCGAGAATAGTGAAACAAGTCATGCCTGAAAGAGCCCTACCTGCCTACGATCCTGCGCGATTTTGCACCCGGATCAACCTCAGCTCTCAAAATTCCTCTCCAAGTTGGTCCTGTCATCTTTGCAGCTATTTAGTGTCAGTAAGCCTTCGGTACTGGGCTTAGTCGCTGCAAATGGATGCCTCCCGATCTATACCAGTAGTCCTTTTTGGGTCTTCAAGACATCTTCTTGTCGATGACGGACCCATGGTGTATCTCAGCTCTTTTGCGTCATAATGACAAATTCCTCCTGTGACCGGGTTCACATTCATGTACATCTTGCCCTCATGTGCGACAAAGTCGCAAAGTCCCGTTATTCATTAACGACAACTCACACCGCCAATTGCTCTGTGTGTTGATACAATCCGTCCAGTCATGCTCCCAGCACCAGTCATGACACTCAGTGCGTCAGTGAGAGCAAGTAGTCGTTCGACGCTTGTCAACCCAGAAGACTCTGAGGTTGGAGTAAACGTGCAGACAAAGTTCCATCGAGGGATCTGCTATCTTTTGGGTTGAACGTTGCAAGTCCAAATTGCGCCGCGGAGTCTTTAGTGAGTCCTGCAGCTGCAAGCCACCCAGCAAGAGCAGTATCATCACTGTTGCAAGCGACAATCGAGTCCGAATGAGCGTCGACCATGATTTTTGGCTCCAATTGACGTATGTTGATCAGCATTTGAATCGTCTGCGCAAAAGTCTCACCCTTGTCTGCATAGTATGCTGGTTTTTGGTCGAGGGGCCAGTGGACCTCTTGACTGCGCCAATCCCATCGTCGGTACAACCAGCACATACGCTCCACACAATTGAGGAGGATAAATGCAACCAAGAATGTCTCGAAGTTGTTGCTCTTGTGGCGAGACAAGACCCGCTGTTCAAAGTGGTTCATGGTACTCCTGCACACGATGCTGGCACGCTTCTCGATTGCCGCCTGAAGTTGGAGAGTTAACACGCGATAAGAAACATCCATCTTTGTCTCACTGATCAAGGTTCGCCCATCGTCGAGCCCAGTGTCTGTCGCAAACAAAGGTTTCAGCTTGTCATCGGTGAGCAGTAGCGTAGCCGTCCACAACTCGACGACATCTGAGACGAGATTATCATGCTTGTCAACGATCACACTGCTCTGTTGCCGTTCTTTGATAGTTTGAGCCATCTGGAGACTCGCCCTCATTACAGGGGAGTGCTCTTGCTCCACGACTTGAGGAACGATTACCTGAAGATATCGTTCGACCTTCGGGAGGAGGTTGTCCGTGTCAAGGTCCGCGACGATAATATCTTCATTGTTCGAAGGGGATTGAGTGCCAGGAGTGGCTAGCGATGAATCTGGTATGTGTTCGCTTTGAAGGCCTTTCATGACGATCTTTTGGTCCGGAAAGTGGCAACCTTCAATTCTCCCCGAATATGGCGAAAAGGAAGCTCGTGTCTTCAGGGTGTTGGCATCATGATAAGCCAGAACCCCATGTAGCCCAAGAAAGTAGAGTGGGAAAGCTTCACTGAGCCTCGTGCGTATACATGAATGCTTCCATAGGCGAGGGCTTTCAACAGCAGCACATGTCTGACACGGTGTCTCCTGAGAGCACGTCTTCTTGAGCATGCGGCACCTCATGCACGCGCCAACCTTTCGAAGCTCGCGCACTTCCTTACGACGATCGGGTGCAAATCTACCGCGGACCTTGGCCTTTGGCGTTTGTGAGTGGTGCAGATCTCCACTGTTGGAGAGCTGTGCTTGTCGTCTATTCGGATTTATTGCAATTCGTCTGAGATTTTGGATTGTAGATTCCTCATTTTGTGGAGGGAGACCATCTGTTGCTCTTGGAGGAGAAATGGACGCCATATCTGGCGCATAGAGAGGCTGTGTCGGAGTGGGAAGAGTCAATTGCTCCATCGGTTGTGTCCCAAGCATTGCTGGCCAGGGATATGACGGTCGACCTTGGGGAGGAAAACCATTGTCCTGAAGCTCCCCAAGAAGGGCGGAATGGACATCATCTGACATATCTAAATCGCTGCCCATAACAGAGCCGTTGGCGATTGTCGCGTTGGCGGTGGCCGCAATTGTTGAGAGGTCCTGAGGATGAGTACTCGCAAGAGGGAGACCAGCCAGACCACCTTGGGAAGGTGGAGGGAGATTACCCATATAGTGGTAGAGTGGAGGGAGGTTTTCAGGTGTACTAGTAGGAAAGGCTGAACATAGCAGATTAGTAGCCGTGTCTGCAGAACATGAATAGGCAAAATCAAGCCAGACATACCATTGTCGTGGGCACCCGTAGTGTCATCATGTAAGAGAGAATGAGAAAAGGAGTCTGTCTGAAGTTGGGGATCAAGTGATGCGTCCTCATGTGGCTGAGAGGTCTGGTCGTGATGCCCAGCTGGATCGTCAGACATGGAACCTGCATTTCGTCGAGCATTACCACCGACGCGACGAGAAGCCTCAGCGAGGACATTCAAGCCGTCAAAATTCTGCCTGTGTTGACCAAAGGGCAACCTGACATTGTCATCATTCGCGTCTTCTTCCGCTGCTCTTTCATCTTTCCCATTTGCCTCCGGATTGAATGTAGGGTCAATGTAAGGATGGACATCTGGAAGGGATAGGTCGTGTAGACGCAAGATGATCTTGGTACGTTCTGCGTTAGATATGGCTGGACATTTTTTGGTCAGATGGGTGACCATAGCCTCGCTACGGCCTCGCGAAAAGTGCTCTCCACACCGTCTGCAGGTCTGCTCATAACGATTCGAAGCGTCGCCGATCTTGGCACCACGTTCAAAGAACTCGGCCATCAGCGGGTTAGGGCGTCGTCCCATGACTGGGGATTCTGCCAATCCTTGTCTAAGTATAGTCAGTGCGCTACACTTGTAAGACTTTGCGTGGGTTTCAATGTTGACTTACAAGACTAATCGAGAAATCAGTGTCTCCCCACCGTCGAGGAAGGGAGTTGGACGTGAAGCGAAGAAGGAAGACTGCGAAGAAAAGGCGATATTTAACAACTTTAGATCCAATCCACAGACTGGTTGAAGACATGAGCTTGGATCCGCAGAAGACGCTTGAATCTAACAATGACGATGACAGCGCTGAAACTGTTTCGACAATGTTTACAAGGCTACGTGACAATGACAAAATGTTGGCAGAATTTTGCAATGTTCAAGGCGGTGTTGCGAAAAGGAGGGCGGTGAGATGGTTAGTCGGGGTGTTCATTGGCTGTCGGCTACTCCCGTGCCAAGCAGAAGCTTGTGTCATCAGGGTCTTCTGAAAGGTAGTCATCCTGCTCCGTTTCTCTCCACTCCTCTAACCCTAGGAATACACAATACAGTGTATGGCAAGCCATTTATGATGAGTACTAAATTGCTATACTTACTCGGTCTCTGAGTTGCAATTTTCACACATTCCGTTCCTCAGGTGGTCGGTATGGGACTTCGAGAATCTCAAAAATCCGCCTCTCGTCATGTCCCTCGAGCAATGTCCCATCATTGACTCGCTGCCGTCCACGCCCCCTCATGACGTCTTTGAACAGTCCGTGTTGGTTCAATCTCATCTGCTTTTTACTTGCAAGTAATCTGATACTCCGGTTGAACAGATCATTCCCTGTGAAATAGAGCAATGCTGCTCCAAGTTCCGTCCAAGGCACAAAGAGGAAGTCGATTCGGCGCCAAACATCACATCCCGGTAAGGCAGATGCTCCATGCCACTTCGACGAATCATCACTTGAGGAATGACCGCCAGCAAGTGCCACTTTCAGGAAACCTTGCGCCATCAAACTAGGAATGACAGTTTCTAGCATCAGTGTGCGAATATGGCTAATTCCGGCCTCGGGCATCTGTAGAAGCTGTTAGCCTCAACTTGGCTGGGCCACAAAATGATCCTGCGAGCAGAAACTTACAAAGATGATGCAGTCGATATCTCCGGAATCTTTGCTGCCTCGTCGATACGAGCCCCCTATGATCAGCTGAAACTTTGGATCCGCAGACTTGAGAGCCCTCTCCACGATTGCAGCGTGTTGCTCGAGCTCGCTGCGAGGGATTCTCTTTTGGAAATCTCTGTAGTGCTCGATACCCACGCGTTGATTTGCAGTCAGCTCAGCTTTTCGATAGACATCTTCCAGGGACCGATGACCTTGAGCGAGCCACCTCTTTGCGGTTGTCTCTCCGGCTCCATAAACTCCCATGAACAGCTTAATAATCTGATTTCTCGGATCGTTCTTAGCATACTCGAGCCGTCTATAACTTCCGGTAGAAACGATCTCTTCGATTTGCGCTGCAATACTCTCGCCGATACCGATTTCACGGGCTTCAGAAATCGTTCGAATCTTCTGATCTTGCCTACGAAGTTTTCCGACAGCTTGCCGGAAGGCCTTGGTCCGCCATTGATCGCCTGATTGGTCATAAGAGGTTGCCATTTCTTGTAGCTTCGAGATGGTGTCAGCATTCGGATTTTGGGTGCGGGTTGTCCCAGTGTTGCTTTCTAGGCACGAGAAACGGGCAGTCTTCGTTTGGGCTCCGTTCTCGGGGTCTTCCCTATGCAGGGTGCCTCGACGTTTCGGTCCATCATCGTGCCCAGAGTCCTCACCAGTGTCAGAGTGCAGTTCCGCACCATTTTGGACATCTTTTATCGCGATAGCAAGGGCATCCTCAGCAATTTTCCTTCCAGCTTTTGAGTTTAAGTCCTTGGTTTCGGCGTCAGACCTCCTCTGAAGGTTAGTGCTCCCCGTTGATCCGTTCGTAATCTGACGCGATCTATCAATCCTTGGGCTGAAAGTAGTCACCCTGTTGTCCATGACAGGTGGACCAAGACAGCGGCTTGAGTCGGTGATAGTTTCCATGCCTGCTACCTTGAAGCGATTCCAATGCGTTCCGATGAGAAATCCAGAAGCCCAGCTTTCCAAAAGCCACCTCTGCCGCAAAATCACTGGGCCTTTCTAATGATACTGTCAGCAGCGCAATCACGACTTGAAGGGGCCACAAACCGGTATCTGTCTGCCGGGCAAGCATTTGGCCACACCTATCATATCCAAGTCGTCTTGAGCAACGATGATATGTGTGACTTCATCATCAAGCTCATGTGCCCACTGAGCACCAAACCGGATAGATTGGTGTATTCGAATGCGGGTTAGAGGGTCATCGTCATTGTTGGGCACGAAAACTGCACGAGGCGTTAGCCAACCACAAGAAAAGCTGCCTCTAGTAGACATTTGAACATACAGAACACAAGCCCTTTGAAGATCTGCCTATTAGGAGGCATGTACCCCATCGTAGTTCGCTTTGGCAGAGGTTTCAATTTGGGCAAGCCCAATCCCTTCATTCGTGCTTCTAAATTTGAAAGGTCTGTCACGTTTCTGTTCGTCCGGGAAGGGTTCTTCTGAGGTACGTTCGGTGCAGCGGGCGCCTTGGGGCGAGAAGGTTGCCGGGCTGATCTTTGCTCCAGATTTAGGCTTGTTTGTGACAACTTCCTCTTCCGCAACTGTCTCCCCAAGACATTCATTTTCGAAGTTGGCTCGGCTCCCTGTGCTTTGGCTTTTTGCTGCAGGGGAGATCGCAAAGGGGGCTTCCCTGACACATTTGGTTTCTTTGCGCTTTCCTCATCGTCAAGACCGTCCAGTCGATAAAGGTCTTTGAAGAATTGATCTTTCTCTTTCTTCTCCTCGGAGGACAACATCGGTAAATTGGGTCGAAGGTGGCATGGATTCGTCCGGCGTGGGTGCAGGTTATGTTTATATACATGGCCGCATGCAGAATAAGAAGTGAAAAGGTAATAACTTCACAGGTGAAAGGGTGATAAAGGACGCATAGGCAAACCAAGGCGGGGGTGAAGTGGGACAGCCTTTTGTTAATTATTACCCTTCACCACTAGCACCCAACTGGACACGATTGTGACGCGCTGTCACATGATGCCAAGCCATCTCATTTGCACAGAAGCATCGTCGAGTTGTAGCTCAATGTCGACATAGATCCGTCCTCGGATGTCCAAATAGTAGTTTCGGGTGCTCTCAGAGGGAAAGTAGAGACCGACCATCCGAGATTCGCACAATGAGTCGCAAAGACGTCCTCAGTCTTTTCATCTCCCTCACACTGCGCCCTCACAGCCGTTGCCCTTATCGACTTCGGAGTGTGTCTCGCAGAGCCTCAACTTCGCATTCGCCTATACCGGAGAAGGCACGAGTCGAGATCAAGAAGCCAACGATTCCCCTTCATGTCGGTCTGGACCGAAACCCTGAAAATCTTTCTGCCATCTCAAAGATCCCAATCCCACGAGGAGTGACGGGTGAGAAATTCACCCCTTCGGTCCTCTCCCGCCCGCTTGGTCTTGAGCACCCCCCACGACCTGGTCAAAACAGTCCTGTCGACAATCGCACCCTCCGAGAAAGACACGAAGATTTCACAAGTTACGAGAAGGCTCTCGAGCGGCGGCGGGTTTACCTGCGGACGTTCTTCCGTCCTTATTTTCAAGAATGGCGACGAGTTGATCATTTTAAAGGAAAGAGTTTTGTGTCTAACCCTCGACTATTCAAACGCGAAAAGGCACTCTATTTCCCCAATATTTGGGGTCAAACACTTGCCGCGGAAGGCGATGGACCTCAAGGAGGACGGGACACAACTCCCGTGCTTATGGGAAAGATTTCTGTCATAGCAATGCAGTCAGGCCATTGGGCAGAGGAACAGGTTGACACATTCATCAGCGTTAAGAGCAACCCGGAGCTGAACAGAATAATTCAAGAAAACAAGAACCGTCTCCAGCGAGTGGATATCAATCTGCAGGGCGACTGGGTTCGTGCTCTGCTTGTGAAGATGTTTAGTGGACGGTTGAGAAAAACCGTACCAGAAGAACGTTGGAACAAGTACTTTATGATCAAATTACCTCGGGATATTCGTCGCGGTCTCAATGACGAAGTGCGCGATGCCATTGGTCTACTCAATTCACAAGTCGGGTACGTCTATCTAGTGGACTCGAGCTGCAAGATTCGATGGGCAGGGAGTGGTCATGCGTGGGAAGGTGAGGTGGAAGGTTTGAATGCGGCAGTTCAGAGACTGCTTCAAGAAGAACAAAATCTGGGACAGACATCCTCCCAGACCATATCCGCTCGCCCCAAACCCGTTGCTACCAAACCAAAAGCCTCAACGCCTCAAATCGACAGGTCGACCGCTATTATGAACAAACGCAATGCAATACCCGCAGCCAGCACAGCCTGATCCCAATCTCAAAGAAGTCGGCAAAGCTCCTTGATGCGTCACATCAGTCATACAAACCATGCATTATTGCTCACAATTTTCCGGTTTCGCCCTAAATTACGAACAAGAGAATCAGCATTTGCGATGTATCATGGAAAGTGCACTTATTGCGCAGGTCGACTTCACAGGAGCGAAACTTACCCGCACCTTGGACACGGCTGGTCTGCCTCTGCCCCGTCGAGGATCTCATGCTGAACTTTGCATTTCGCCAGATCGATCACTTTCACACCGCCAGATCCTAACGGAAATTTCTTCTTGGGATTTGACGCTTTGTCGCACATGGAGTGAACATAGTATGGTGCTGGCCTCGATGTGCCGGGACAGCAGCTAAAGTGGTAGGTATAGTATATGCACATGTCGTCAGAAAAGCCCGACCCGGAATTGGTGATGCGGAACAAGAGATTTGGGAAACGCTGAAGATGGTTTCAGTGCTTTTCGGATGTGCAGAGGTTGAGATGATTATAAAAATGGCGAGAAGTCGGGTGGGAGGAAGGGGCAGTCAAGCAGACACTGGAAGACTGACAACACCTCTTGCAGTTATGGCACCGTGCCTTCGGCTTATGCTTGCAAAAGATGGCTTCGCTCGGTGTAGTCGTCTGGAATTTGGAAGGCCGATATCCGGCGCGATGGCGATTCTGGAAATGACTCTTCCACTGAGAAGAACAGGAGAGATTGATATTCCATATCCTTAAAGGCGACAGTTTGCCTTCGCCGTTGAGACAAGGTTTCCGCGTTGACTTTGTCTCACAGATTTTGGAGCATGCCTATACCCGTCGTTCTTTCGGGGGAGGCCGCAAATGCAAATGCAGAATTGAAGAAGCGGGTTCTGGCAAGGATGTTTGCAGCCGCGATTGTTGTCTGCCGTCTTTGTCCCTTTTTTCTTTCTCCTTGGTCCCTTTGTTATGACGTTGAAGGTGGACCCAGCCCAGACCACACAATGGAGAATGGCTCTCTGCACGCAGGGAGTAAGTATGTATTAATCCTAACAGATTGGTGGACAGAAGTGGAATCAGTATATCGTGATGTCAACGGAGTTATTGCCCGCAACAAGTCGAGGGAAAAGAACAGTATATGGTGGGGAAAACTCGAGAGGGTTTTGCGAGCCAGAGGCGAACAAAGAAGGGTCCAATATCGCAGAATCGGACCAGGCTAATAACTCGTATTCTCTTTTCCCAAGGGGCCAAGATGGGAAAAAGAATAGAGAGAGAGAGGAGGTTGTGTGTGGAATAGATTGGTAAGGAATGGCGGAGTGGATATTCTAAAAATGATGGGAGAGATGGGATAGAATAGCCCCCCAAGTCCAGTTATCACTCGGAAAAGGGTTGTAATGTAATATGACCTTTCTTTCTTGTCAAGCCTAGCCAATCGCCCAAAGATTTCCCCACTACTACTAACACAAGGGTCATGGAATGAGTTTTTGACGAGGGGAAAGAAAAAAAAGCCCTCAGATCTTTAGAGTCACATATGAGAGAGAGAGAGAGAGCGTGGGAGGGGGGTGGGAAGAGAGAAAAATCTTGTCCCAAGTCCCAAGGATTTCGCCTCCTCGCCTTGTTTTTTTTTTTGTTCTGCTTGTTCCAGCAAAGCATTTTCATCAGAAGTACCATTCATACAAGTACTCGGTGCTGCGTAGATGTTTCCGTCGTTTGTCCTCCCTCTACTCTCCTCTATTATTTGGACAATTGCCCTCGTCATTTCTCGCTCGCTGGCTCGCAGGAGGGAGGAGCCATTCTGCTAGGTGCATGAATTGAGTTCCTGCGGGAGGAAATGAATGGCTTGCATACAGAAAGACGACGACTCAGTAGTTAGGAGCCTTTAGGTTGGTACGAGTACTGCTCAGGGAGATGGAATGTCCTCCCCCGACCGGGCCCTTCCCACCCAATGGGCCAATGGATAACGGCTTGATGGCTAGCTGGCTGCAGGGACGTTTCTAAAGCTCATGCATGCATTCCATTGCAAGTACGAGTACATATGGTACCCAGTCCAGAAACTCCGCCGGTCGTTGAGCCGCGCATGGTGAGTGAGGGTCGTGGGAACGAGGAACGAGGACACCGGTTATCGCGGACAACAAGGGCGGGAAATCGGAAGAGCGGGATTTTTTTTGCCTCATACCTCCTCCCATCATGATGTGTGGTGGGAAGAGGAGAATAAGGGGACAGGTGGGTTAGTCCGTTGTGTGTGCGTCTTGACCATGCATAAGTATAGTTTGGGTATGGACACACATGTATGTAGGTATGTCATTCCTTGCCAATAAGTTACATTCGCCGCAAACGACGTTCCGAGTCTCCTCTCTCTCGGTCTGTCTGTTGGGCAGGGGAAAGAGCGGGAGTCCCTCGTAGTATCTATTACAACTACCACCCACGTTACAAACCCAAAAAAGCTTGACGGGGAATTCCTTTTCATTCCCATCGTACTCTCTCTTCCTCTTTTTGTCTTGCGTATCTACTTCATGTGGAAGGTTTTCAGATCAGCCGGAATGTTTAACCTCTCCTCTCCCCCCCCCGTCCCTGACAAGTGTGACATCTGCCAATGCCCTTACCAAGTACCAACCGCAGATAATAAGCCCTTTTATCTGACGAGAGCTGGGCTTGGTTTTTTTTTCCCTCTCGTCCCCCAACAGATCAGCTCTCACTCACCGAACCTTATCCCAGAGCGGGGTGCGTTTCGGAATGGCCCATGATTTCATCGTATCTTCCCATTTTGGCGGGATCGAGTTACAAGTATGGATTGGGAAAAAGCAGCCCTCCATCGATTGCATGGGCGCCAATTGTCCCTCGTTTAAGCAAACAATGATTACTTTTTAGTGCGGAAAGGACCAACGCCCGCTCGATCGAGCATCCGTTTGTTCGTTTGTACCTCGTATAAGAAATGTCGCAAGCCCGTCCTCTGATTTGTGCGGGAAGTGGCCGGGAAACCAAAAAGCGAGAAAAACACGAGCGAGCAATGCGAGCCGATAGCCGTGTGCGCGCCCCCAAAGTCCAAAAAAAGTAAATCACAATGTCCTCCTTCAGGGCGGTTTGGGTGTCAGAGGGAAGCGTTCATGAGTAATGACCCGTATAGGTACTCGGAAAACGTAGTCTAGAATAGTAAATATGGTACCACTAAACGAGCGAAACGCATGGACAACAGGAAAAATTTAGTGGTCGAGATCTATTACGACGATGCGCATGGATAGATACCTAGTCTCTCCGCTCCACTTCCAGCAATTCACACGATACCATGCCCACGCACAGCATGAGGTTTGTGTTTCATATGAACGAACAGGCCTTGTCTTGACCTCATGTGAAAAGAGGAAACTTCCATATGCAACATACCCAAGAAGAAGACGGGTGCGGGAACGAGGGAACCACTGTCGTCATCATTAATCCATTGTTGGGAAATGATTCTTGGGAAATAACGGAGATGGACGAGATGGAAGCTAGTTGACAGACAGTACATATGTAGGGAGAATGGACAAGAAAAAGTCCCAAGGGCTTAGTTAAGTAGCGGGCACGGTGAGGAAAAATCGAACTGAGAAACAAGACTCGGGCCAAGGAGAAAGGGATTTTCGTTCAAAGGAGGGTATATTCGCCCGGGCGCCAAAACCTCTTTCCTTTCCAGCGCCGCATCCCGGAGTGACGATCAATAGCAAGCACTTCCAAAGAACTAGAACTTCATTGGGATGTGAGTATCCGACTGGCCGATTTGGCTTCAGGTACATAAAACATAGGGACGGAGTAGGTAGCGAGTTACGACAAAAGCTAAGCGATGGGCAATGGGTGACGGGCGCCGTGTTAGCCGACCAAGTACTCGGGTGTTGATAGTACGAGGTAGTAATTGATGGATGGATGGCCAAGGCTGAGAATCTCAGGGTGAAAAAAAAGTTGGTGGGAGAGCCACCCACCGCCCAATTCGGGTTGGCATCATTCGAGCATTCATATTACCGAGTCAATATCTGCCGACTCCCCATCTCCATCTACTCTCGGAAGACACTCAGACACTCTGCCAACCTCTGGGCGGTCTCTTGCTCGCGCCTGTGTCTAGAAGAGGTATTGATTGAATCACTTAATGCATTCATACAGTGTGCTTAAAAGGCAAATAAATTGCGATTCAGAAGCCTTGGGTCGAGACGTGCATTCTTACATATGTTCTACAGCGTATGCGCCATGCCTCGAAACCAGATCCGTCAATCCACATCCAGCACCTATAAGTTGAATAGTCTTCGATGAAATGTGTCGCTTGCTCTGCTCACCAACCAATTCATGACAACATGTTATCAGCACATGATGAAACCTTCCAAAGTAACGCCTAGACTTTACAGTCTTCCATATCCTATCAGATGGTTGCGACCCCCCATTGATCAGAGTTCTGCTCCGAACGGAAGCTGCTACAGAAGGCGAGCCACCTCCTTTTGATATGTTTTCTCTCAGCGGCGTCCTCATGTCATGTGCGAGTCGCACTCTCTCAGGGGATTTTTGTGCTTGGTTTGAGTGAGTTTGTGCAGAATTTCTTCAGCCGCTTTCCAACCCCGACGCTCCACCGGCTGCATCTTCCCTTCACCTTTCCAGATCCGGACCCTGCTCGACGGACTCTCTCCTGAAACACTGCAAGGTTGAGCCACTCTGGAGAAGTAGCCTCGCAGGAAAATCTTTGCCGACAACGTGGGCAGCAGGGATATCTCGGTGAGCCGACGGAAGAAGTGGAGGGAGAATCGAAGCGTAAGTATGGAATCCACAGCACCTGGAAGAGGTTGCTGCCACTCAAGGTACGGCCTCGAATACTGGCCTGTAGTGGTGCCCTTTCGATCGTGTGCGATCAACTGAAGTAAAGCAGCATCAGAAAACAAAATGCGATGAAACTCCCCAGAATAATGCCATCTCTCCGCCTTTTGGACCCGATCCTCTGGATCAAACCGTTCACACCAGGGATTTGAGCCGCGGCGCTGGTAATTCGTCGGTTGATGCTCGCCAGAGTCTCTCTCTGAATCCCGAAACTCTCGTTGATGGCATATGCTTGGGACAAAACGCCGTCAATGACATTATGACTCTGGTCCAATCGGGCCCGCTCTTGGAGCATATATTCGGCCTCGGCCTCGGCTGGGTTGGACGACCGGAATGCGTCGATGTCGGAGCGTACGTTTGCGAGGAGATGCTGGCGGTCACGAGCTTCGGATATGGAGCCTTTAAGGCGACGGAGTTCCTGGCGGTGTTCACTGAGGACTTCACGGTGGCGGGAGAGATTGTTCTGCTTCAGACTGGATGTGCTCAGGGCGCTTTCGGAGTCGAGGAGTCGAGCGAGTTGCGAGACCAGTCCTTCACGCTATACGTGGGAGAATATTAGATTGTGTAATTGGCACCCTCAATGATCAACCATCGGCTCCCACCTTTTCTAGCAGCTCCTGTATTTCCGCTTCGTTCCTTTGTTCCTCGTCTGACGGCTTGGGAGGGAGATTAGGGGTGGACGCATATTGTGAATAAGTGTGGAATAGGGCTTCAGTCTGCAAGAGAGTAAATCAGTCACATGGAAGCATTCCTTAGGCAGTACAGCCAACGTACCTGGCTTTCCAGCGTCCGGATCTGTTGACGTAGTTGCGCCCATCCCGTAGTAGTTGCCATCGCAGGCGTCGCTCGCCGAAGTGACGTGGAAGAACGTCTGGGCAGTCGTCTATAAGAGTGAGGTCATCACTGAATTCATCGTCCCAATATAGTTTATCGAGTACAGTCTTCGACCCGGATTGACAATTGGTCTCGTGGCTGAAGGAGAGTCGGTGGTCAAAGTTCCCACCTTGTCCTAACGACGACGCAGCCGCGGAAGCATGGGGCGTGAGCGGAACTTGCCGTAGCCGGTTAGGCGCATCGCGCACGTTGGTCACGTGCAAAATAAATCTTGGCAGAAATCGGGGCTTGCACACAACAATTTTCCCTAGACTGCGACCGACCGACCGAACCGCCAACGACATCCAAATCTACAAACTCTTCTCAACGAACCTCGACATCGACAAGTTTCTACTAACCAGCCAAGATGGTTTGTGAACCCTTCGTCTACCCTAGCCACAAAACCAATGCTGACAAGTTATACCACAGTCGACCAACGCCAAAGTCAAGCCCGGCCAGCTCTGGGGCAAGTCCAAAGACGACCTGAAGAAACAACTCGACGAGCTCAAGACCGAGCTGGGACAATTGCGCGTGCAGAAGATCGCCGGCGGCGCTTCATCAAAATTGACAAGAATGTACGTTCTACAAACCACCGATTGGAAATGAAAAAGACGGCGTTGGATTGAATTCCCCCCTTCCCTTCTCGATCTACAAAAGTTTTTTACATGGGCGAGAGGCGAGCATAGTGCTGATATCCCCGGGTTTTAACAGACATGACCTCCGCAAATCCATCGCCCGCGTCCTGACCGTCATCAACGCAAACCAACGCCACCAGCTTCGCCTGTTCTACGCCAAGAAGAAGTACCTGCCCCTCGACCTGCGACCCAAGTTGACCCGCTCCATCCGCCGCCGGCTTTCGAAGAAGGACGCCAGCAGGGTCACAGAGAAACAGAAGAAGAGACTGACGCACTTCCCCGCGAGGAAGTATGCTGTGAAGGCCGAGTAAAATGGTGTCTCGGGTAAAGGACAGAGGTGTGTTTCAAAGGTTTACGCGTGAAAAAATAAACCATTTGAGGTTGATGGATGAGTCGCTTGGGGAAAAACAAGTGATGGTGGTTAGTGGTTCCGAAGACTTTTCGGAGGTGGAGGATGCTTTCCCCAGCTCTAGAATTATGAGCTTCATCTTCGGCAGTCCATGGCTGTAAGACACAACGAAATGGCGGGTATGGCCTCTGTCATGCGGCGCTGCGGGGACAAATGAGAAAACACGAACTCAAAATGTCATTGAAGACGGTTACAAAACACTTCGATACGGCTTCGCTGGTTTTGCCCAAGTACATGGGGTTCTGAAATTCCCCAAAATTCACCCTGCAGGCTTTTTGCGCTTCATTTGTGGACCTTATCCCAAGGCTTAAGCACCCAACTGCCATCGCAAACACATCTCATAAGTAGCATAGCAACTTGCCGAGGCCACTCCCTAGGTGGCACATTGACGTCCTCACTATAACTCCCACATCTCAAGCATTTCCTAATCATGAGTGGCCCTGTGCCGTCGGGTTCTGCCACCCCCTTGAGGATTGGCCTCTTTCGATGCACATCATAGATGACCTCCTTCCTATCGGGGTCTTCATCAGTGCTTCGTCGGCCCAGGATGTCGTTGTTCAAGAAGATGTACTCCAGATCGACATGGTCGATAAACAGCTTAACTCGGTCGATCAGCATCTTGGCTCGCAGTCCCTGGGCACTATTGAAGAGTGTGTTAAGTAGCACCTTGATCGTCCCCTGGTACGACTCATGCACAATCCCCGTGGCCATCATCTCGAGCTGGCGTGCAGCTGTGGCGGCCATATCCCTGTCCACATCACCGACCGCCGACCATCTGTATTCGAGGAGCGCCTCCATGGCTTGAAAAGATAGTCCTTTTCCCGACGTCTGCTGTTGAATACATTGGAGGACTTGCAAGTGATGATTAGACTTTGGTTCTGTGTTCTTCGCGTACGCCCTGACAGCTCTGACGAACGCAATCAAAAAAATTCGGGAAGGGTGGCAGTTCAACAGCAGCGCAACCAGGCCCTGACTGCCGTCGCCCAGAGAGTCGCCCGCTCTGCCGGGATCTTTCTCATCAAACATTTCAGGGTTCGTCTCCCGATCGCCTACCTCTAAGATGGTGCTGATTATGAATCTCATCAGCGACAAACCCCACCGGAGATTCGAGCAGAGCAGGTCCGTCAGGTCTTGGCTCATGACGAGTTGGATATTCTGCACGTCCCTCATAGCCATGAAAAGCAGGGTTGCAGTTTGTCGGATGTTGTTCACCAACCAGGCCCACTGTGCGCTGAGTGACCAACAGCCGTGTCTTCGATCAGTGGAGGCGATGGAGGGAAGCTGAGTACAGTTTGCCGCAAGACTTGCATGGTAAGACAGAACCCTTCCTATCACCGTCTTGTGGATAAACTTTTCCAGTTCCGAGCCCTCAGTTCTTTCGTTCACAAAGTCATTGTCACGAAAGAGCGTGCGATAGGCAGTCGAAATTATAGTGGGGATGAGTTCGGTCGGAATGGACTGTGAGACACACATCAGGATGTCGTCGATGGTAGCATTCGACCAGCACGCTCGTGCAAAGGTCAGGTTTAGGGATGCAAGAGCCACGTCAACATTTGGATCCAGCGGCTGTAGTGACTGAGGCTGTCCTAATTGGTATTCCATCGCAACAAGTTGTGTTTTGCCCTCCGGTGTCAGATCTGCTCTCACGCATGCATTGGGGGAGAAAGTTGGTGTGAGAATCACTTGAGCGTAGGGATATGCAAATCCAGATTGAGACATGGATGTGGTTTCCTGTGCCAAACCGGCATAGGACATGGGCGATAAGTCCTCCGAGCTTAAGAAATCAGTGCGGTTTTCCTGCGTTGTAACAACAAGTGCTTGGACACCATCCACATGATGAATGGTCGTAATGACCTGTTCTTCCTTATCGGGCAGCCTCTGGAGGGTATAAGAAGGCTTTGCTGCTGCTGCCCCCGGACCTATAGATGGCAGGGCATCAAACAGCGGGTGTAACTTCTGTTCGACAGGAGTGACCGTCCACCTCTTGATCATGCTCGATACCAGGAAGCCTGAATCTGGTATGTTGACAGTTCTATTGACACCAGAAGAAATTGCGAGAATAGTGGGGGGGATCTGGACCGCTTTTTCGACATCCGAAGTGCGCACAATCTCTAGGTGGCTAAGTGACCAGGAATCCGGGTCGTATGTATCAGGCAGAGTGGGAGACCCCGTGGGCTGCGAAGAGACATTGCTTGAAACTGATTCAAGATTCAAAATCGGCAAGCCTTCCACAGACTGCTTGACTTCGTTCCAGTCTATCGAGAGGAAGTAAACCGAGATGGTCTTTTTGAACGAGTGCAGAGTGATGAGCATCTTTCCTTCGACAGTGGGGGCAAAGCTGGCATGACTGTAGAGGATGTCGTCTGGCGGAGATAGTCGCTTGGTGACCTTGGAATACTGGCCATCACCTCTTTGAAAGCAAAGTGTGAAGAGCCCGTTGCGGTGAACGATTGCAACGGCACGATGCCAGTAGGGGCCGAGTGGTTTAGCTCTGGCGTTAGCATGCTGCCACCGACTGTCACCCTTGAATGCATGGGTGACGACATTTCTTGGTCTTTCCTGACGATCTTGATTTAGCCATGTCATCCCAACTGGCTGGGAATACTCGTCGCCCTCGTCCAGAGCCCCTTGTCGAGCAAGAGTTAGGCGGTTGATAGCGAGCAGAGAGTTGTGATAAATCCAGATGCGGCCCTTGACATCGACCACTGCAAGTTCCCCTCCATTTGGGCTCCAAGCCAGGCTAGTGGCGTCTTCGAAGAGGGTAGTCAAGGAGTGTCTTTCATGCAGACCCCATGATTTTAATTCATAGTTGTATCGAATACATTCCAAATAGACGGTGGATCCATCATCGGATATGCTGGCAAGGTGGCCATGTCTCGACCACGCTGTACGTTCCAAACAGCCACAATACCACCGGCGTGAGAGCTTGTCGAGGACAGCGGGATTTGGAGGGATGGCAACATTTGGGACGTTGTTGAGATCAGCGTTTGCATCGATCTGTTGGATCTGTTGCTGTAGGGAATTTTGGTCGAAGAAAGACTCCGACGCGAAATCGTCTGGTTGATCTTGATCCATCTGGTTCAATGCTCGACGATATTGGTGTACAATTTCGCAAGTTCATTTTACCAGTCCGACAACAAATAGTAGTCTTGCCATAAAGTCACCGCATCCTTTCACAGGCGGTAGGTCTGAAGGTGAAATGAAGGTTCAGCGCATCACCAGAACATGGTCCTCCCTAAAATTCGATACAAGTTAGTTGAGCGCAACGATACCAAAGAGTTGGATCGAGAGGGAATGCTAAGAGGGATCCAGGCACAGAGGATGATGAAAGCCCTGTGTCGAGGAGTAATGAGAATTGGACACGAGGTTCTTTTCCCACGCGAAAGGCTGAAACGCGGCTGCAGCGCACAATGGGAATTGTCAAAAGGTGGGCGAATCGGACACTGGGGCAGCAACCAGGCGGTGGGAGCAAGCCGCAGAAGCCGCCGAAGCAGCACGAGCTTCCCCCCACTAGCCACTAGCCACAAGCCACCAAGGGCTTTCTGGGGTCCCTCTCTAGGCGGTAGCCGCGGTAACAGCACCGTTGGACCTTTACCCTTTACCCACCTGCATTCATGATGTTTGACTACCACTGCATACCAGGTAGATTTCGATCAATCATTGAGAACACCTTCCCATATACATCAATGGACTAAACAGACGACATTCAATCCAGCTCTGAGACCCTGGGAGCTGGCTGTACTCGGTACCTAGTTGTATGATCATGAGCTGTACCCTCGTACCTGTCCAGACTTAAATCTAGTAGTCATGCCGCTCGCCCACAGCAAATCTGTCAGGCACTGATCGGCCTCCCAAAAGACCCTGCCGGCCAATCACTGAAGGACTCCGCTGGCCCCGGCCCTCATTCCCCTTGCCTTTCCCGTTTGTTGTTGTGCAGCTGCAAGCAATCAAGTCAAACAGAGTTTAGGCCATCGTCCTGGGCGTCGGGCATCTGTCAGGTCCAGCATGCAAACAGCCAGGAGCCGCTGACGCTTGCTTCTCGTCTCTCCGCCCGTTTCTCCCGCTCGTTCGCTGTCCACTTCCCGGTTCAGTTTCGTCTCATCTGCACCCCCCTGCCAGCCTCATCATCCAACTCCCAAACTGCGCCTTCTCCGTCGAGCCTCTCAGCTCATCTTCACTCTTTTGCCATCTACGAGATATCCTTTCGAGTATTCACTCCTTCCGAACCCCAACATACAGGTTGCATTGTCTCGGACACAAAGGAAATAGTCAGTAGAGGGTCAGCCCAGACTGAAGAATCGCTCCTTCCTGAAGTCATGCGATAAAAATCGCTCGTTTACTCTACCAACACCACAACTCCCGATTCACCATGGACGTTGGGGACATTTCAGATCTCTCGTCCCCTTTGAGTACGCCTCCCAGTTCGCCTCTCACCTCCCCTCCAGATTCGCCAGAATTACCTCCTGGCTTCCAGACTCTCACCCCACCTCCCTCACAGCATGCGGGTGACGAAATGCCGCGTCCACGAAAGCGCCGGAAAATCGAGCCAAAGATTCGCACCACTCAGTACTTGGATCTCACTTCAGATACTGCGCAGTCGGAGTACGATCGCTCAGAAGCTCTAGACACCCTTCTCAAGGCCTTGCGCAACCGAAGAAAGATCGTGGTGATTGCTGGGGCGGGTATATCTGTCTCAGCAGGGATTCCGGATTTCAGATCTTCTCACGGACTTTTCAAGAGCTTGAGAGGGGAACACAGATTGAAAAGCTCTGGGAAAATGCTCTTTGATGCCTCAGTCTACAAGGATGACCATTCAACCTCGAGTTTCCACGACATGGTTCGCAAGCTCTCCAAGATGTCAGCGAATGCCAAGCCAACCATCTTCCACCGTTTCCTAGCTAGACTCGCTGTCGAGGGACGATTATTGCGACTCTATACACAAAATGTCGACTGTTTAGAGACCTCACTACCACCACTGGCTACTCAAGTTCCTCTCAACCACAAGGCGCCCTGGCCAAAGACCGTGCAACTTCATGGAGGTCTCGAGAAAATGATGTGTCAGAAATGCAGGCACATCTCCGATTTCCAAGCAAATTTGTTTGACGGAGCTGCTCCTCCCCTTTGTCCTCAATGCGTTGCAGCAGACCGATTGAGAACTGCTCATGCAGGAAAAAGAAGCCACGGGGTTGGCAGATTACGGCCCAGGATTGTCCTCTATAATGAGCATAATCCTGATGACGAAGCAATTGGTGCAGTGACGACGGCAGATTTTCGTACGAGGCCAGATGCAGTCATTGTCGTCGGCACCAGCATGAAGATTCCGGCCGTGCGACGCATCGTCCATGAGATGTGCCAAATAGTCAGAGATCGGCGGGAAGGTACCACAGTGTGGATCAATCGCGACCCAGTACCTCCCGGAAAGGATCTCGAAAATTGTTGGGATCTTGTTGTCAAAGGTGACAGTGACGAAGTGGCACGATTGGCACGCTTAAAAGAATGGGATGATCCCAGCCAGGATGTCGCTGAGAATTACACAGAGGCAGATCTGGATAGAATCAAGTCCGACCAGGGCGAGATCCAGGTGGTCATACCTCCAAGTTCCGAGAAGGACGAAGGCCCAGTCGAAGTTTTGCTGCCGTCAGCAGACTTCCATGCGATAACCCCTCCACGAAGCCAGAAAGGAGATGCGTCCTCGAGAACAAAAACAGAACCTGGGGTCACATCTATAACGTCTTCGCCAATCCGAATCAAACTCAATGTTACCGAGCGAAGCAAACAGGCGTCGGTCAGAAATGCAGCAAGTGCTGGCAGGTCCATCGCTGAACTGCTCCGTGGAAAGGAGAACAAAGACAAGCCTGTAAAATCCAAGACTTCGCAGAACAAGAAGCCCAGAGTCACCAAAATCAGGGCATCTACCAATCCTAAAAAACAGGGAGTCCTGTCCGGAAAGGTCACCAAACCAGTTGTCGCGATCAATAACGCAACGTATAAAAAGACTTTACCCGTGCCTCTATCACCTCGGCGCGATGCTAACGACACATTTATTCCAATGCCCAAACCGGAGTTCTCAAGCGTGGAAGTGACTCCGGCGCCAGAAACGCCTCCCTCAACTTCGACGCGCGAAGAGTGGCGAAACGTTGAAACGGTATCTCCTACTGGACGGATACCATCGGACATGGTCAAGTTACTGAACTAGACCATCTGGAACCTTGTATATATCGATATCCTTAATTGCCGGGCGCAATTCGGTGGCTTCAAGTCTCACTTATGGTGCTTGGAGCTGCATCATGCCTTATGGGTAAATGGGTGGCATGAGGCCAGCATGGAAAGAAGTGCATGTATTGTCTATTAGGGAGTTCGTCAACGGAAAACGGGTATCGGATGACTTTCTTTCTGTCAGGAAATGATACCATTGCGCCATGTCGCAGAGCAGCAGTGGACAAGCTGGCTTTTGATGGGAACAGGGACCGTCAGACATGAGGGGCATCAGACACCCTCACATCGGGGTACGAGGTACATCTATCATCTGCATTCAGATTTGCATCTTGACTTTAGCGAACCGACTCCTGGGAAATGGGACGAGGCTAGATCCAGCATTGGCCCAATAACAAGGGGTCACCAGGGAAATACATTGCATCAGGACAAATGGAGCAGGGAGCACATTTTATGTACAGACCAGCATTTTCAGAAGAGCTTCACAGGGGAGTAACGGCTTCGAGCTGCTCACTGTGCTGCATTCGCCTTTTGAACTGTTCCTGTTCGATCACACCTATCAAGTTTTTATTTCTCCATTCTCGTAAACGTACGCAGGGGGAAGGGCGAGAATCATGTCTTTTCTCGCTGCTAAAAACTCATGTTGTCCTCGTACGCATGTAAATCTCTCTGGGCCCTCGAGTCTCGAGTTCTTTCCACTGTCGCAGTTGCCACGGATTTCTGACGAGACTCCAGAAGAGATCACAGACGTCGCTTTCGATGTAGGCACATACATACATACATACATACATACATGACGCCATAACCTATGCTCGTTAGAGTCGTCGCTGGGAGGAAAAAAAAGACGCCTCAAGCTAAATTAAGACAGATTGAGCTCGTTCCTTGGATATCGTCATTCAATGTTGTTGAGTTTTGGGGTCTCCGGACTCAAGCTATGTCGCCCTGTCAGAGCGCTTCTCCATAGCCATATCCGTAGCCGTAGCCGTATCCGTCGTCATCGATCCCTAGCCTTGCGGTCGATGAACCTGCTAAGTCACTCGCCCGCAATCTCCGCCCTCTTCGGCCTCCTAGTCCCGCTCCGGTTCCCATGCTCACCCCTGAATCGCGATTCCTCATGTGCTCCCGACTGTTACGAGGACTGTCCGTGCTGGTGCGCTGCCAACCAGCCGGCATCCCGTCGCTCATCCGCCATGTCGCGTCGTCGGTATCCATCGTGGCTTTTCTGTCCCCAGAGCTGAAGGGTAGGGTTACAATATGCGGCTGGGGGCCTAACGGACCTGATGTGGCTGTCAAGACATATTCGTCGACGCTCGTAACACCAGGAGGAGTGAGGTCGCTGGTGCTCTGGTCGGTGGGAGTCTTGTCTTGTCCTGTCTTGCCACGGTCGAAGTTACTGGACGTGATAGAAAATGGTGGGTAGGCACCATAATCATCGGCTACAGGCTCGTATGAGAATGAGAACCGTGACGAACTCCCACTCGAACCTCGCGCCCGGCTTCGCGGTGGCGAATAGCTCGGATCGCGGGGGACTTCGCTAGACAGCGGAGATGGGACAACAGGACGGTTGGCACTGTTGAATGCCACCGCACCAGGGTGCGCAGGCCCAAAAGCACTATTGCGTCGAGAGCGAGGAGGCGGGGCCGCAGAGGCCCTGTATGGGTCGTGTTCACCTGGAAGGCTGCCGTGATATGATTTTTGGGGGAGAACATCCTTATAGGCTTGGCTGCTCCCATGGTCCCTGGACGTCCTCCCGCCTCTCTCGAGTCCATCACTGGGCAAGGCCATTGTGGGCCGACTGTGCCGCTTGCTACTGCTGCTCCGGCTTCGCGATCGATGGTAACCACGGTTATCCCGACAGCCAAGAGCTGCAACGCCAACGGGCCCGGCATCGGATCCTCCTGTAGCAGCTCCAAGCCCATGGTCATCCTGCCCGAGAGCACCACCGTGAGGTGCATACTCTTGATCGAACACGGTGTTCGCTCTGGCGGGATCGCGACTGAGGCTTCGGCCGCTCTCGCCGCTACTTTTCCTTGGAGATGCCATGAAGCCGGCATTTTCGGCGACAGGATCGATGGGTGAGACGGGAGAGTAAGGCCATGGTTCGCTGTTGTTGGCGTAGTGGACCGGGACAGGCTTGCGGGTGATTTGTGCGGGAACATTTCGGTCGCTCGCTGGCACAGGGCTCACTATTGGCTCGTTCTCATCAGGATGACGGTCATATGAATGCATGAGGTCGGCTCCAGCTGCTGCCGCCGCGATCCCCGCTGCAATGCCACCCACATGATGCGTGTTATAGGTTGACGATATACTTTCAGACCTGGATGGTTTACCGATCTCCTTCACAAAAGGGTCATCTCCAGGGATCATGCCGTCGGTCAAACCAGGTCGAGAATTGGGAGCCGTGCGTCTTGGTGGTGGAGGTACAGGAACAAATGGGTTCTCGTAGCCTTGAGAAGTGCGAAAGGCAGGATGTTCGGACATGAGGGGTGCGGCTCCTGCGGCGAGTACACCACGATGCAATGGATCTTGACTTGCAGCTGAAACTGATGGTCGATTCACCCTCCAGCTCTCAACTTCATCATCGCCAGCGGCGAGGGCGGAATGGCGAGGTGACGAGCTGAGTCGCCGACGTTTGAAGCAAAGGACCAAGGCCAAAATACAGAACCCAAGTGCCAGGGCTCCGAGAACACAGCCAAGGATAATAGGAAGATCGGAGTCTTGTCTCGATTTTGCGAGTGAGGATGTGCTTGTTTCAGTCCCAGCGGCGGCCCCTAGTACTGAAGATGTACCTATTACTGGAGATGTCCTCGTTGGAGATATAATGGATGATGAACTCCCTGAAGGAGTAGAGGATCTAGCATTCGACGTACTCGAAGGAGTGGATCCGGAAAGGATTGGTGAAGAGGTAGTAGAGGCCGCAGATGGTGTTGAGGCTGAAGGATTCGAAATTGAGATGAACGGTGAGGACGTAGTCGAAGTTGAAGACGTATCTGAAAGTCCTGAACTTTCGCTTGATATCGCGTCATTTGAGCTTGCGGTATATTGCGCAATGGTATTCGAAGAAGCCGCATCCGGAGATGAGTTTGCCGTTGTAGAAACCGCGGACCCAGCTGCTGCTGAGACAGCCGAAGCAGCGGAAGACAGAAGCGAGTTGACTTCTGTATACACAGAAAAGGCCTCAGATACGATGATGCTCAGAGGGTCGAGCGTCTGTTGAGCCGTTAGGGGAGGGAAGGCGGCTGTCGCAAGCAGCGAAATCAAAATTCGCCTCATATTGCAAGGCGTTTGTTTGTATATTACCGAGACATGTGTATATGTGGTGCGTGCAGCTGATAATTCCCCGCTTCAAATCTGCAACTGATTAGATCAAATCTTTTCTTGAACCAAGGCAAGCAAAAAGCAGGCGATTGCAATGGAAAGAGAGCATACGCATAAGAGTCTAAAAGAAAATGATTTCTGCCTCGACGAGAGGAGTTCGTGAGGATCACCGCCAGAGGGCACCCGGCTAACATACATATCCGACGATCGCTTCAGTGTGCTCCCCTCGGATCCTCATCGCTTGCTTCCCATCCTCGTTAGAGTCTGCGCGGCCTGTGCGGCTGATGGGAGGTTGTATGCTCGACTAAAGGGGATATCAGCAGGGAACAAAACAAGGAACACCACTCAAGTGCGGTCGTTTATGTTCTGGATTCAGATCCTCGGCCATGGGAGCGTTGGCGGCTTCAGATATGCCCAAGCGACATGGAAAGAACTCAGACTAGTCCAAGTTATGGAAGATTTTCTAGGGCGTAAGTGGTGGCTTGCTGAAGGTCTAGATGGATTGGCAGGAAGATCCGACGCAGGGACGTTGGTGGTTGTTCAGGAGCTGTTCTATGACTGGTTGGAACATGTGGCTGCGTGGCTGTGCTATATCAACTGAAGAGCCGCTAGTGGCAAAACCACACAACCCTCCAGATAGTCGGCACTTCGATCCTCTGCCCGGAGAATTGGGCTTTTGTGGGGAACAATGCCCTTTCTACTGAAACATAACGTTTCAAGGATGCATGTTCCCGACAGACCTTGGAAGGACCAGCCATCCAGCCAGTAGACGTCGAGTGATGGCGATAGGCGATGTCCTGAAAGCAAGAGGTAATGGGTGGCAAAGAACATTGACAACTCTGGACGATCACCCACCTGGGGCAAATGGTAGATATTTTTAGAGATAGTTGCATCCACCAATCATCTGGTGCGTGAAACCAGTTCATATCATATAGATATGTCCCATATGCTGTGTGCCTAATTGCTCCATCCATGAAGCCAAGACCAGACGAATTCAAGGGAACGGGGCAGGCGGGAATGTCGGTCCACGTGCTCACTTGAAGCAATAGAATTGACGCAGAACCCTTCGTCTGTTTAAAATCTGTCTCGCATTGATATTATATCTCAGGCTTTCAGCGTTTGGTTCTGAAAGTTTAAAGACGTTGCACTTTGACGCTGAGGGTTCGAGGCGTGGGTATAGTTGTCTCAGAACGGAAAGTGAATGTCTATGTGGTGACTGGACTGATACTGAAGCATTACGACACAGATAAAGTGCAGCATGGGACATTTTCAAAGGAGAGGTTGTGTCATCAGACAAAGTATGCGGTACAATGACGATTTCTGTAGAGGCTTGCTTTCATTCGAATAGAATAGGAAGTCAAGTGAAGAATCGTGAGGAGATACGTTATATATCGACACGTGACTTCTCCTGGTGATGATGACTTATCGCGACATAACATCAGGTGATCAAGAACCCCACTTGTGGCTTTAAGGATGTCCGGCAGGGCGTTCCGTTGGAAGCCTGCCGTGACTCCCTTGCATGCTCTATTGCATTAAAGCCAATTAGCGTTGTGCTAGCCGTGTCTTGGGAAGGCCGATTCACCATCTTATTGGCCCAAGTCTCATGCTGGTACAGAATAGAGTGTGAGGAAAGTGGATTCATGTCAACTCAACTCGCACCACTTCCGTTGAGCACATCAGCTCTTTCCCCCCCTTCGCTGCCTCTTCTCACTGATGCATCCACCGTGTCCACCCTTGTTGCCGTTGCCTTGCCTGAGGGACCCGAGCCCGGGCCCGCGCGATCTCCCTCCTTCCCTTCCTCTCTCGCTCTTTCCCTACCTCTCGCCCTCTCCCCTTCCCTTGTTTGCTCCTACCTTCCACTTGTCGCCTCTTTCCCCCTTCGAAGCTGCGATCTTGCGCTTACCTGCGTCTTTTCAACACTTACACCTGGACTCGTACCACTTCTACACTGCCTCGCTTCTTGAATCAATCTTCTCTAGCTGTGTCCTTCTTGCCTTTTTCATCTTAATATCTTGTCTCTTCGAACCCTGTATTTCTGCTCGACTTCAAAATCACCATTTCTCCGATCTTCGCCCGTCTTGGGTTTCGCTGGCTCCCGTCTTCTGCGTCATTCATTCCACGCCTATACTCGAACCAGCCGCCAACCATCAGACTGTCCTCTACATTACTCGATAACTATCCTCAGCACCAGACACACCGACTTCCTCTTGGTGTTATTGTCGCCCTAATCTACACTCTTTCTACTCAACCGGCGCTGCGCGCACGCTTTGTACCACTTTCTAGGCATTGTAATTCACGACAAACTTTGTACTCTAGCGACTGACAAACAACGCTGGTTTGGACTCTCCTGTCCTACGTATACACCCGTCAGACTGAGGGCAAGGGATATATTCTTCAAAAACAACCGAGATTCTCGTGCGCAAAGGGACGGCACTCTTTGTTCTGTTGTGTGGTGAAAAGACTGTCGCATTCTTCGGACTCCGCAGGCTTGAGTTACAGAAACTGATGGCAGGTGGCGGACATTCTAATATTCGGTGACTAAATGGTCCAGATGAACACTGGGGTGACGACGCCAAGGTCGCATCACATCGCTCTGCAGAGCGACACAATATGTTGCGCCTGCTCTCCTGGACAGGCTGTGATAAGGTCCATTCTCCAGAAATGAGATCCTTTGTTTCAAAACAAGACTCCCCTGGTTCTGGCCCTCTCGCTGTGTCTGCCATGCCAGCGACACACAAACGAAAGCAATCAACGGATACCCAATCCCAATCAGAAAGGAAACGGGCAAAGTTTGTTGATAAAGAATCCGGTGCCCATGTGCCTCCCAATTCCACCCGCGCCTTGCCTCCTGATTCCCCCAAGATTGCTGGATTCTTGCCAAACGACTCCCCATCTTTCCTGCCCACACCACCGGAGCAGAAAATGGAAGACTCAGAAATGAGACAGGTGGAATCTCCACAGCAGGACGCAGATGCAGCGAGGCTGCAGTCAATCCGGAACGTCATTCAGACGCAGATCAGTCTTGAAATTCTGCTGAAACACAATGAACTGCGACTCATCGACCAAGAAATAGCCAAATCCCAAGCCTCGTTAGAGCAGTTGCGTCGCTGCAAGGAGATTCCTTTCCCAGCAACGCAACATCTTTCTATCGGTGTCAGCAATGGAACAGGCTCAGCTCTACGCAGTTCGTTCCCACCTCCACTACCCCAGTCACCCGCGCCTTGGGGGGTTCAAGACGGCCCTTACTCACGGCACTATGCGAAATGGTTACTGCCTGACCCCCGTTTTGACGGCGGCGAACAAGAACCTATCGCTATCACACCTGTTGGTAAATCTCCCATGAAGTTCAGATCTCAAACAAGAGGTCAGTTTGCAGAAGGACCGCAATCGTCAAGCCAAGCTCGTGCGCAGCGGAGTGGCAAACTAAAATCCTTGCCTGCAGGGTACGGGCAGCCGAAGGAGAAGGCAACCGGTCCGATGATTATCAAGAGGAAATCCGACGGAGCGACTGTGAAACTCGTTTGTCCGGACTGTGGTCGGTTTGACTTCGGGAGTGCCCAAGGTTTCATCAATCACTGCCGGATTGGCCACGGACGGAGCTTCGCCAGCCATGATGCTGCGGCAGATGCCTGCGGAGAACCGGTTGAAGTGGACGAGACTGGAGCTATGATCGGTGTTGAACCGACTGTGACACCCGTTGCAGGCAACGTCCATCCTCTAATCCGTTCAGCTAAACTTCTGACCCCCACCCCTCCTCGAACATCTCAAACCACGCTCGGCACAACCCCTACAACAGGCAGCGTCAAGAGAACACAAGTGTCACCCGATTTCAGGGGATCTGCCTTGACGCCCAACCTGTCCGAGCTTGTTAAGGCTAGAGGACTAGGACTTGATCTTCAGGAAATGGTCCTGGACGCGAAAACGAAAGTTGAATTGCCAGAATCTGATTCGGAGGACGATGAAATGGAGGTTGACATTCCCATGCAGCATACTGGCCAAGGCCGACACCCACAAGTTGCGGGCAGCAAACAACCACCGAAACCCACCAAGTCTCCAATGTCATCTCCATTGTTGAACTCCAGTATGCTGAGATCCACCACTAACTTGCGAGGAGGAGTGCCACAATACGACGGTGCCGACGACAAGCCTACCCAGCACCGGCCACGTGGAATGACTCTGCCGATGAACGGTGCCACACCGTCTGATCTTCATCCTTCGGATCCCTCGCCTACCAGTGAATCGAATCAGGCACCAAGTCTGGTGGATGATGACGAATTTGAGCCGCACTCGCCAAGTAGCAGCTCTGCATCTGACGAGCATGACGACAACGAAGTTGAATTTGAAGTTCAAGGCGATGACGATGATGCACGAAGCGTCTTGCGAGGGCCGGATTTTCAGCCAAGCTGTACTCAAGCAGTAAGACCTCCGACACACGCCCGGCGAGCTTCGGCGATTCGTAGACATGGTGAAGAGAGGGAAGAGAAACATGTCACTTTTGTGAGTCCGAGTCCAGCTCGCGACATGCCGGATACCCGCCTAAGTGGAGATCGAAAGAGAAGGAAGGCCTAGGTACCAGCGGCGAGGTCCTGATCCATTAGACTTTTACTTTTCTCAAGATCATGTTCAACTAGCATTTGTGGCGTTCGAAGGCAATCGGTAGTGGGTTCTTATGGGTGGACAATGTGATGTTTGCATTGATCAGCGAGGGGCTTGGATAGACAGAATGCAGGCGGGCCGCAGTGAAAGCACGCTTCTCACGCTTCTCACGCTTCTCCAGATTCTGTCAGTGTACATATTGTCGAGGTGTCTGAACGATGTCAGCCACTCGTTGAGCAAGCTGAAGGTTTGCAAGCCAATGATAAAGACTCATCTCTGACATTTCCTCCCCTCGTCACTTGCAATAGCGCCCACGTTAAGGAGAAGAGATGAGAACTGCATACTTGTAGTTCCGTCGACAAGGCTGAATGTTCAGGCTCGCCAGGCTCTATCATAATCCACCAGTTGCGTCAGATGCTTCTGGAAAGTGCCAAGCCCAGGCCCGACTGACTTTCCCCAGCAGTCACGACTGATCCTTGCTGGACTGCGAGGGCGATTGTAATCATTTAGACCTCGCCTCTCTTCTGACTCTGTGGGTATGCTCGCCAAACAAGAATAGCTACCATCTTTTTCTGAAGGGCCGGTTCCTGCTGCGATTGTCTACAACCCCGCCCGTCAACAGCGTATCCCTCCACAAGGATGGCAGAAGCTCAGAAGTGCGTCCACAAAGGATGCGGGAAGGTGTTCACGGATCCAGACGAGGAATGTGTATATCATCCTGGGCCTCCGGAGTTTCATGAGGGACAGAAAGGTTCGTGTTTGCCTTTGGCCGTTGTAGAACCCTCATGCTTCACGTGCTAGCGGGCAATACAACATCTCATGCGTTGAACGGCTTACACTAACATAAGTCTGAGGGAACAGGCTGGATGTGCTGCAAACCCCGCGTTCTCACCTTCGACGAATTCCTCTCCATTCCACCCTGCACAAAGGGCAAGCACTCGACTGTAGATGATACCCCGGCGCCCGCCCCCAAAGCCGACGCCTTGAAAGCCTCAGATATTGTCGCCGCCGCCCCCATACCCTCCCCAGTACCCATTACTCGGCCCTTGGGGTCTGGTCTCGCGACCGCCCAACAGCCCACACCTTCAGCTACACCGAAACCGGAACCGCCCGAAGACGAATCTGACGATCCAGATGCTGAAATCCCCTCTAACGCGACATGTAAAAGACGAGGTTGTGGGAAGTCAAGAGAACCGAACGTGCCGCGAGACGAGGAGGAATGTGTTTACCATTCCGGCGTCCCCCTTTTCCACGAAGGCAGTAAGGGCTGGACATGTTGCAAGAGACGGGTCCTCGAGTTTGACGAGTTCATGAAGATCGAGGGCTGCAAAACCAAAAAGAGGCACTGCTACATAGGGAAGCCGAAAAAGAAGGAAGGGGGCATAACTGACGGAGAAACGTCGGCAGACACTGAGCAACTTCTGGAGAACGTCCGCAGTGATTTCTACCAGACTGCCAACAGCGTCATTGTCAGCTTCTACCTCAAAAAGATCGATAAGGAAAAGGCCCGGGTCGAGTTCACGGACGATGGCCTGTCGGTGGATTTAGATCTACCCACGCAGGATGGAAAGAGATTCACGAGGAATATACCACTTTTTGCTCCCGTTGACCCGGACAAATGTCAATTCAAGATCATGGGCACCAAGCTGGAACTTACTCTAGCGAAGAAAGACGGGGCTATCAGTTGGTCAACACTGAGGAGTGATGAGAAGGGAACTGGAGAAAGGATTCAGTTGGGAAGGGCTGGCAGGTTGGAGCGCAGTTGAGCAACGAAGAACAGGTGGACGAGAAAATGCACCTCAACAAGCACGACGCAAAATGGATCGCACCATAACAAGGGTGACTAGTTCCATATGAATGAAACGGCCTACAGTGGGTGGAACAGGTTGAAAAAGTACAACCAGATAGCATAGCGAGGCGTGAGATAAGAATTGGCACACATGTAGGATAAATGGCATTGGTATATTCAAGGCCTCAACGCGGGAGCCTCGATCTCCAGGTACAAAACAATCATTCCCCGTAGCATCTCCAGAGGGGTATTCTGCACATAAAAGCTCATGCAAACAAGTGCAGACGGCAGCCGGTATTCCAACTGAGGAACACGCACAGTGCTCCTCCAAAAAAGCAGGTGTATGAATGACAAGACATCTTCTTTTCTTGTTTTCAATCTCTTTTATAAACGTAAAAAGCATTGTAGCATCTCCTCCACAGCTCCGCGCCATCGAAAAGACTGCGCAACCATAGTGTGGAAGGGAAAAAGGACGGTGCAATTCCTCTGCGAAGCCGGGAACGGAAGGAGATCCATGGTCGAAAACAAGAATAACCCTCAGCAAGCCACACGATGGTGGAGCTCCGGTGGTGTTAAGGTAATGTTAACACCTCTACTGATGATGAGGAAAGGAAAAGGAAAAAGAAAGAGGAAATGAAGTTTGGGCGCGATGAATTTTGTACAGGAAAATTAAGTGGAGAACAAGGAAGGCTTGGCAAGTTGCTTTGATCGTCTGGCTGCTTTAAGCGGTCGCTGCATTTCTTCAGCCTTGTCTTTGACACTCTGTTGAGATGATCTTCTTGTTCTCACTCTCACCACATTCTCCGATATCTTCCACGGGTCGTGTGGTAACCCGGGCGTCGAAAATTGCCCGGATCGGGTGATCTTCGACTCAGACCGTGGCCTGTTTCGCAACATCAGCCGCCAAGTGCCAAATCCCAGAAAATCCCAACTCGAGACCTGCCAACTGCCTGCTTAGTCCCAGAGGAGCTGAATCCTTCTGCCCAAAAAGGGACAATTGGTGTTCAAATACACAATGGTTGCACAAAGGTCGCATGCAGCGCACAACCGCGCCCTCGAACGAGTCCAGACAGATGCTTATTCGACACAAATTTGCTGACCTCAGAAAATGCGGAGTATCTGTGCGGCCGCCAGAACATGTTGTATCACTCTCGTCAGGCGCCCAAGATCCCAATCCAGACTTCTCCCACGCCACATGCCACTGCGCGAGAACCACTTCCTTCGTTTCTGCTGCCTGATCGACGTACTGGGTTAGTATTATGGCGCCTTCTTCTTGCGCGCCCAAGACCCTGTCTGCGGCGCTGTCCCGACAGTCACGCCGTCTGTAACAAACTTCAGCTTCGGAAATGTCCTGTTCATGGATCGTTGATCATGCCAAATCTCCGTCCATATCGTCCATTTTGACCAAGTGATAATACCCTCTGATCGTTGCGAGAGGCTCGATGATTAGATATCACGGTGGGTCTGTCAGGATCAGAGTATCTCAATGCCCTGTGGATGATGGTATGCCCCGGTGGCTGACAGTCTGATGGGCGCCACGCGAGAACTGGAGGCATAAGCGATAAGTTCCTCGGAATATCAGCCTATCTACTCGTTAGTGACAGCGGGGAAATGGCTAACTCGACGGTCTTGTCAACCCCAGAACATCAGCTTGGATGCAGGGTGGGCATGTGGCATTCATCGGGACTGTCAAGTCCTTTGGCCATAGGAGGGGTTGATATTGCTAACAGCCCTGGATTGCACCTTCCTGTCTTCCAGAGGCCTGTGCGCCTACGTCATTTTCATGTTTCCCAGATGCTCACTCGAGGTACCTCGCACGTATTTTTGGTATAGTTGTGAGCATCCCCTCCAGGTACCCTGGACTTACACCATCAGGTTTGAAGACGTCGCCTCTTGCTCTGCGCCACACACTTTTGCGTTATTTCTCACTCTATCCCTCTCTGTTCGAATAATATTTGTTGCTCATCTCGGTCGCAGGCTGTTTACCGGGCGGCCGTGTTTGTCTTGTATCCGGGTTATATACCTAAGTACCCTACTCCAAAGAAGACCTTCTCGACAAGTTCTCTCTTCTTCGCTCGTGTTCGTCCCCCCCAAACCATCGATGGCCTCATCTTTGCCGACAATGCTCACGCCAGAGCTCACGCCCTCTCAATCTATTGCCTCTTCTCCTTCTTTGCCCCCAACCCCAGACCCCTGCCCGCTGGATCTTGTGATAGCCAACTACAACGAGTGCTTGACGTGGCTTTCGACTTGTGCTAGCCTCGCAACCGTCTACAGCAAGGGTAAACTTCCACCTGATCTGTCAATATTCCGAGCGGTTGAGATTCTGCCCAACTGGGGTCGAGAATCCCATACCTATCTCCACCACATCGTCCACAAATACGACGACCTTGCCGATGTGACACTGTTTCTTCAGGGCAACATCCACGACACGAATGATGGCACACCGGCACACACAGCCCTCTCCTTGGACGAGATTGTTCGAATGGCCCAACGCTTGACAGAATTACCCGACCTCCTCGGCAATAGCATTTGCATTCAGAACCAGCCTCAAGATGGCGTGTTAGCACTCGGCAAAATACACTCCTTCGCCGACTGGGACGGTGTCAAATACCTACCGGACTGGATCAAGAGACGCGGCAAGGGACTTCAACGGAGCCCATACTCGCCGGAGCAGTTTTGGAACTACATACTCAACGATACCACGGATAACGAGGATCCCAGATGGGTTGCGCCGCCATCCGAGATCAGATGGACGCAGGGTGCTCTGTTCGCAGTGACCAGACAGACCATTCAGCGACATCCCAGAGCGGTCTACGAGCGAGCATACAGCTACTTCCACACGCTGGCACACGTCAATCCCGAGGAAGGTCACTACATGGAACGTTTCTGGCTGGGCATCTTCGGTCAACACGAGTTCAACAACCCTCAGGGAAAGCTTTATATTCCTCGACCTTTGAAATTGTCAACAGAGGGGGCCGACCCTCTTGCTGCCGAAGAACACAGCGGAGCTGTTGAGGATGGAGATGTCATCGTGTTATGAGAGCTTGGGCGCTTTTCTGATCCCACAATGTTCTAAGGTATTCGGCTGCTGGGCTGGTCGGAAAGGCAACTTTGACATTAGGAAATGACATGGATCGATTGGGTGTGGGAAATGGCTGGTGGATTCCTATATATATGTGTGTGTATGTATGTATGTATGTATGTATGTCTGTATGTATGTACCTTGTCGGGTATGCTTAGTGGAGGTGCAGTTGGACCGTGTCACTCTCTTCTACTCTCTTTCATGTGGCACGGACATACAAACCACGACTTTTCGTTCGTATGTTCGGAGGGCCGTCTCTCACTGTTACAATACTTCTGCTACACTGCTACACCCGGCTCAAGCGAGATTTTCGGCCAGCTAGATAGCTTACTTGCCTTCCTGGGCTGACGGTTTTGTTACCGTCCCTCTCACCTGGAGGGTGAGATTGAGGTTGAGGTTTGACCGACCGTCCGTCAATGATATATTCCAACCTACTACGTACGCATAATAGAAGACAAGAAGACAAAGACAGCAAGAAAGCGGTAGGGAAAAACAGGAAACAAGGGAAGACTCGACTCGAATCGACCCGACTCGCTAGATCAGATCGAATCGGAATCGGAAACGGTGTCGGTGTCGGTGTCGAGCTTTTTTCTTGTGCTTGTGCTTGTGCTTGTGTCTGTCACTGTCTGTTCGTTTTGGTATGGTTTGGTTTGGTTTGAATCTCTTTCCTCAATTCAGGCTCGAGCTCTAGCTTGGTCTGATTCGGCCTGATCTGACCTGATCTATTCTGTCCAACTCAGTCGACTGAGAACGCCGACGATCTCTTTCTTTTCTCATGCTCTTAGCACAGACTTCCATATCCCCCATATCCTGAGAAGTTTGATTTGAGTACCAGCCACACAAAGTGTTGATCCCGACCCTAGTTCCAGCAAGCGAGTGAGGGATGATAGGGGACGTTAGTCAAAACTCCCCCAAGATCCCAACCTTTACTTTCAGTCCGGAATTTCCAAGCACATTCTTGTCAGAGACCGGTGTCTCCCAGCTAGATCTTGACGGTCCCGGCTCTTGACCTTGACGGTCCCGGTGTGTTGATCATCTCTTCCTATGTTCTTTTTTTTTAAGTGTTTCCATTAACTCACTCGAGCTCGTATCCTTTGTTTTCGAGAGGCGATTCTGGTCGGACGAACGACACGTCCGTAATGTATGTGACATGCCAACATGCTGACTGGGGCGTGAGAACATGAGAAAGAGGCCCAGCCAGGGCGGGGAGGAGGCGCGATGTTCAAGCAGAGTCTTCTTCCTTTGCAGTAGTGTCGTCGTCGCTCGCAGAAACTTCCTCCTCCTTCTTGACGGGCGCGGCGACTGGTTGCTGGGCTTTCTTCGTACCCGCGGCACCAGCTGCAGACTTTGCACTCTTTGCAGTCCGTGTCTTCTTAACCGCTGGTTTGTCTCCGTCCTCCGAGTCGTGGACTTGTTCCTCCGAGTTAGCCTTGGCCTTTGGCGCGCGTTTGCGTCGTCCCGTAGCCGGAGCCGGAGCAGCTGATGCTGCAGTAGTGGCCGCTGCAGTTCCATCAGCCTCGAGCAATTTCGCTTTGTTTTTGATGTTGGCGATGCGATGTGTGACGGCTTTGGCGGTACAATCTGTAATTGTGGACATGGTTAGTGCCCGGCCTCATATTCATTTTGGCGAGGCTGAAATGGACTATCCAGCTTGGAGCGGCCATATGGAGACTTACCATTTCCCATCCGCAGTGCAACTGCTGAGTGGTCGATTTTGATCTCCGATGTGGCGAGTACCGCAGCAAAGAGCTAGAGGAGAGGTATCCAAATTAGTCATGTGAGCTGCCAGTTATGGTTTCTTTTTTCACCAAATAGAGCTCAAAGAGTGCTGAGCGGAAAGGGGTATTCAGCAAAGTGGTGTTTGCCGAGTGTTGAAGCTCCAGCCCAAACTTGGAGGGGGGGAACATGTACTCACCCGGGCATCAGCATCAGCATCCCATTTAATCGGCATCTTCAAGGTAGTGAAGGCTTTCTTATCGAAGGCGCTTGAGGACAGGGAAGTTCTTGAGAAAAGGATGTTCAAGGTGAGATCGACTGTATATACTTGTTAGTTGACATCGCCTGCTCTCGAGGTGGCCCAGGGAGGACTGGGGACAGTAGACATACCACGTAGGGTATTGGTTGTGATTGAATAGGAGGAGGGAACAGGAGATCGTCGAGCTGGACGGACAAGGTGATATTATGGAAGGGAAAAGGAAAACTGGGAAAGAGAAGGGAGTGAGGCAGATATTTATGGACAGTTTGGGGAAGGGGATTGAAAAAATTTCTCTGAAAAGTGAATTTTAGTGAGAAACACATGCTGAATGAGAAGAGAGAGGGAAGTGACGAGGTTTTCAATTTGCCAGATGTGTAATCCGGGGTGCGGTAGAATCAGGTCAGGGCATTGGATGGATCAGAACAGACTGCCAACCGATATAGAGAGCACAGCATGAAATTGTCTGAATAGCAACTTCATCCACACTTTAATCATTCCCATTGACGCTTTTGATGATTTCAATCTCCGTTTTGAAGCCGAGGACGACGCCTTGACGCTCTTTACTTGGACCTTTCTCTGTAGACTGACGCTTGCTGGCCCTAGATCATGTTCCCATTTCACCAGTTCTCGGGTGTGTTCGATTTCTCAACTGGCATATTCCCAGTTCTCACCCTTTCGTACCCAAGAGAACCTTGTACCCTGCTGTTGTTCAGAGTCCTTCCGTATAATGACGTCCAGATATCATTTCCACTAACCCACTCGTGCTTCAGCTGCTGGATAGGGGGTTTACCGCAGTCAGTGGTGACAGGGACGGAAATCTGAGTAGTGGATGACTCATTCGTATCTCGCCGGCTCCTGGAGTGGATGCTGGTCGCTTTGTGCGAGACATCAGAGCATTGATAGTGCACAAGGAGATTAATGCCCCAGCTATCCTCTCCTCAAGAAGTCCAGGTTTCGCTTTGCAGACCGACAACATCATTCTAAACTTGCAAGATCGAGCGGGACACTACTCCCCCTCCCGGCACGATATCTCTTCGGCACGCCTGTAAATGGGCGCGGCGGAGGTAATTGGCTTTCATCCTGAAACCTCCACCGGTTATCATCAACTCTAATCTGACTCGATCCGCTTGATGCACCAAATAAACTCCCATTGGTCAGAGTGTACGAGCTTGCGTCTAGTGTAGATCGAGATGGCATTTGTGAAACTCGTCGAGAAGCAGGCGGTGAAACAGGCGACGAGGGCGAGGGCGGGGCCTCCGGAATTGAGTAAGATGATTGTCTTCCAAATGCTGCTACAGCTGCCCTTTGCGCCAGAGACGAACCTGCGCCATTTGTTGCTGGTGGCAGACTTGGTGGTGGAGGCGGGCCTGGCGGTGGAGGCGGTGTTGACCTAGATGGTGGTCCTGGAGAAGTAGAAGGCGGTAGGGGAGGCGGTGGAGGTGCTAATGAAGGTGCTGAGCTTGAGAATGGCGGAGGAGGAGGAGGAGGAGGAGGAGCTGAGCTGACCGCTGGCGGTGGTGGTGGTGGCGGAGGGGGTGGTGCCGCAGGAGCAGGGCTTGCTACCGGTGGCGGCGGTGGCGGCGCTGGAGGAGCAGGGCTTACCGAAGGCGGCGGAGGAGGTGGTGCAAGAGGGACGAAACCCGAGGATGAAGGTGGTGGAGGTGAAGGGGGAGCGGGAGGGGGAGCAGCGGTGCTGACTTTCCGCGATGATGGCGGAGGAGGAGGTGGCTTTCCGGCCACCAGATTGGCCACAGACGAAGGTTTGGATAGTGGTTTTGGAGGTGGCTTTTTGAGATGTGCCAATGGACTTGGAATTGCCGGTGCTGAGTCCGTTGACTGCGGTAGAGGAGGTCGGAAACCCGGGACAGGAGGAGCAGGCATTGATGGCGGACGCGGTGCTGCTGCTAGGGGTAGTCGGGGAGCAGCTGGTGTAGATGTTTCCGAATCTGAGTGAGCACCGTCCAGACCTGCTCCGGTATCAATTCCTCCTCGTGTCTTCCTTAATTTGGGCATTCCTGCAGCGAATAGTCCTGCTAATTGTGGTGGCCCATCAAGGCTGGAGTCGTTGCCTGCATCACTATGACTCCGGGCTCGATTCCCACCACTTGGAACTGGGGGGGCGAGACCACTGGGTGCCTTTATTCCTCCAGGGACCGGCGGTGCTCCTGCTATAGGCCCTCCTCCGCCTCCAGCAGGCTTGCCTACCAGAGGCGCTGAACGGTCATTCGTGACGGCCTTCTTCAACCTCGTCCCTTTGGTGATGTCTGATAATAATGCGTCCTGCACAGCAAGTCAGCAACTGTATGGGATATTTTTGGCACCCTCTAGGCCTAGCCCAATTTCCCCCCTCGAAACCAAAGATATGACAGCTCGCATGACATACACGCCCTTTCGAAGCTGCTTTAGGGGGCGCTGATGGCAGCAAGCCCCCGGGACGGTCTCTTATACACATCCTACCATGCCGACCCTCACCCCAGTTGAGACCCTGGTGGTCCCCCGACCCTACAAAAAAGAAAATAACGAGCTCAACAGACTACAGATACACAAAACACACTACAACGCAAA